ATTCCGATGTCAAAATACAACTTTGAGACAGAATTAAATGTAATTAAGCAGATAGCAGTAAACAACGGATACAACGAACAAACAATTAATAAAATGTTAAATCAAAAACTACACAAGAAAGCCCTGAAATTAGTATTTCCACCACCAGAGAAAAAAACCCAGTACCTTCTGCTCGATTACATGTACAGGCAAAATAACAACAAAAATTGCCAAACACATAAAAAAGAAAGGAATAACACCAGCTTTCCGAACAAATAACAACCTAGGCAAATATAATAAAAATAACAAGAGCCAAAATAAAAAACACTTAAATAGTGGTGTGTACAAACTTAAATGTGGCGACTACCCAAAAACTTATATCGATTAAACTGGTAGAAACTTTGATAAACGAATAGCAGAACATAAAAGGGCTTTCAAGAATAGAAAAACAGATTCGACATACGCACTTCACCTTCTAGATCATAATCATTCTTTTAATGACAAATATAAAATTCTTCACATTCAAAATAAAGGCCTTATGCTATCTTTGTTAGAATGTATGGAAATCAACAAATTAAAAAACACAGATATATTTCTGAATGACCAACTTGAGACAAACATTTCTCCCCTCCTCAACCTATTTCATTAGAGACTATAAATTTGTACACCCAAGCCAAAATAGATCACTTGAGAAAGGCAATCAGCCGAAACAGCTGTAGTGATAATATTTAAAATAAATTTTGTGGAAGTTTGAAAACAAAGTTTTCAGTGTTTTATTGTTAGATAAAATGAATTTCCATCAAGTAACGGTCGAATCCATCAATTATGTAAATATAATTGTTTTACATTAGCTTATCATGGGCCTTTTTTCACAGATCATTTACGAAAGTATGAAATAAGTTTAAAAAAATCTTTATTTGGAAAATGACGTAAAAAATAAACATTAAAACAAGTTATTATTATACAAAGAAAGGTATACAGAAACTTTTTGTAGTATCCAGCATATCCATTGTTCATCTTCTTGGGACAAAAATAAAAATAGATCTCTCACGTCTTTTCCTTCGTTGGCTTTATTACAACCACTGGGACAGTTTGAAGAGCAATGTTTGTGTTTATGTTTCTTCCTTTCCAAATTGTGAATGGTATGTAATTTTCCATGTATGATTGAGAACAAGCCAATGTTCCGTCTTTTTTGTATTTCATTTGTACATACTGTTGAATGCTGAAAGCAAGTCCCCTTGTTTTTGGCGTATTTAGAAAGAGTCCTTTCAAACTTTCAGTCCAATTTTTGATTAGCGTTCTGTCCATGACAACATTACAAGATAGATTATTCCGACAATGCACTATTGCTTCCAATTATGGCTTTGCCGTCCCTATATATTCCTTCTTTTTTAAAGATGACTTTGCCAGCCCAAAATTGTGATCGCACTGGTTAAAGAAATGGCCACGATTCGAAATATATGTCGAATATTGACGTTAAACTTGCTTGCTGGCCACATTCCATTTTCCTTGTCCTTCCATAAATGTTTACATAAAAAACGACCCATCATTGTGAATATGTATATTAAAGAGATAACACCAAAGTATACGTTTATAAGACTGCACTGTTACATTGAGTTTTGGAACTGGTAGATTTTGTCCATAGTCAAATTCAATAACAATCGGACTTCGCGCTGCATCTTCGAATAACTCTTGCATATATGCTTTCCATCTTTGTAATTTATCTTCAATGGTAGTCAAAATCTGGCATTTAATATCTACAACTAAGCCTGTATTGCTTTGTTTTCTGGTATTCTCTACCTCTTTAAACTTCTTGTGCACATTGTAATCGTCACGTTTGCCTTGTAGTGTTTTAATTTTCGCAAATTTCTTCATCAGCCACGCTTCTTTTGCTCCTTTTATCTCCTTTAGTATAGACTTATGTAACTTTTTGTATTCTATCTGTCTATTTTTGCTTCTTTTTCCTTTTTGATTTTAGATATTCATGCGAAATTATAGATGTCTTCATTTTGTTCCACTGTTCTTCTATACCTTTAGTAGTGTCCTTAACTATTTTCGCAAAATTCTTATTAATCTCTGTTTTTATTTTTTTCTGCATGTCATTTTTTTTAGTAGTCTTATATCTCTCTTGGGCCTCATTTTCTTATGAATTATTTTGAGTCGTATATTGATAGCTTTAACCAACAGACTATGATCTGAGAAAACATGTGCACCTGGATATATTTTGTTGAAGTGATAAAATTTCTAAATCTTTTGTTTATATTGATAAAATCAATTTGGTTTTTTATAATTTTCCCTGGGGTATCACCGGGTGCTTTCCATGTATAAAGCCTTCTTGGGTGTAATTTAAAAGTGTATTCGTTACAACCATATCCTTCTCTTAGCAGAATTGGATCGGTCTTTTTCCTCTTTCGTTTCTTATGCCAAGACCATATGCCCCCACGACATTCTCGACTGTACCTTGTTCTATTTTGGCATTAAAATCGTCCATGATAATAGTGTTCTTGTTTTTTGGTTAGTTTTAGATAGTCTTCTAGAGTCTGATAGAAATTTACTATTTCTTTTTCTCTGGATTCCGATGTCGGTGTGTAGACTTGAATGATATAGCACGTTGCATTCTACTCTTCTATTTCTTACCCAGTAAATGATGTTCTCCACCTTGCACCTACGTCGAATATCTGTACTTCGAGCTCTGTCCCATAGTGTTTTCATCTCTGCTGTTTCTAACATCCTTTTTGTCCTCTATGTGTCAGGTCATGTTTCTGCCGCGTGTGTCATTATTGGCCTATTTCTTTATAAGTAATTTTAGCATAGGGGTAAATTTACCCTAAAAAAAGTCGTTTTTTTTTTAACTTTTTATTAAATCGCATATAAAGGCCTTAAAAAATATGAAAAAATTACCTTTTAAAGGATTATTTATTAAAATCATGAATGTGTTGCTTGTGTGAGTCCATTTCAAATAGGTAAAGAAATAGTAAATAAGACTTACTCACAATCAATTTAATTTGACTATCCAGACGATCGGGTTCGCTTTCTACAATATGCAAAGCATCTTCAGGTCTCGATACAAAGTTAAATAAATGACGCCGGTACTCTATTAATTGATGGATGGTAGAACATGGTTGAAACTATCATGTATTGTTGAATGGAGAACTTAAGTCTCCTATTGTAGTTGTTTGACAATAAACGGGAAGTTCTTGAGGAGATAGATTTGATCCAATGAAATAGAGATAGGTGTAATGTGATTGTTTATTAGATGAGAGTGATGTTCTATACCATTGTATTATTTAAAAGTTATTTATATTTATTTAAGAGATATATTTATTTGTACATCTAATCTTATTTGTAATCCCCATACAATTTGTACATCTAATCTTATTCATTGTCATAAAATTGTCACCTTCATAAAATAAATACTCAATAAATAACAGACATTTCATAAATATATCTCTTGAATAAGTATAAATAACTTTTAAATAATACAATGGTATAGAACATCACTTTCATCTAACAAACAATCACATTACACCTATCTCTAGTTCATTGGATCAAATCTATCTCCTCAAGATCTTCCCGTTTATTGTCAAACAACTACAATAGCAGACTTAAGTTCTCCATTCAACAATACATGATAGTTTCAACCATGTTCTACCATCCATCAATTAATAGAGTACCGGCATCATTTATTTAACTTTGTATCGAGACCTGAAGATGCTTTGCATATTGTAGAAAGCGAAACCAGTCGTCTGGATAGTTAAATTAAATTGATTGTGAGTAAGTCTTATTTATTATTTCTTTACCTGTTTACTTATTAGTTTTAAATCTCACTAATTGTATTCCATTGAAATTTAAAACAAAATACAGCAAGGCAGAAAAATGTCTCCCAAATTAACATGTATCTTTTAAAAGACGTTCTCTACAGTGGTGAAGAACAACTGAAAGTGTCAAAAAAACTGAAAAAATTATGAACATAAATAATATTTTTTGTTTTTTGTTAAATATTTAAAAATTGTCTTTTTTCCAATTTAAAAAGTAAAATTTCCTTTGTATTATTCTGCCGAGTAAGTCTAGTTCAGAGGTTTCTTCGGCGTACTTTTTCATTTGACATATAATTTAGGATCCTAAGTCCCACTAGAATGTTTAACCAGCTACAATTATGTTTTTTGTTACTTGTTATGTATGTATCTTATATACTAAAAGGCTAAGCCCTTTTCTTGTGCGCAATACTATTCCTAAACGGTGATAGATAGGAGAATAATTTTTTCGAATAATTAAACAGATTGTTGAGTAGATTCCCCTTGAAAGGTTTCAAATTTAAAAAATTCGAACCAATTTAAAAATGGCGGCCATAAAATGAATTTTTCCTATAATAAAGTATAGGTTTACAGGTTTCATTCTTCAAAATTTACAGTCCTAATTTTCAATCTATTTTTAAAATATGACCGCGTCTACTTTTTTCTTATACTTACTGATTGAATTCAGAATTATGAAACCGGAAGTATTTACTTCCCTACTTCCGAATTTAGTTTTGAAAATTATGGTTTCTTTCACGGTGTTCCAGAGCATATGGACGGGGCCGCGAGTTCTCAAACCGAGTTCTTTTTCTTAAACGTGGCATTTTACAATCTAAAATTGCATCTATGCAAAAAAAAAGTTACTTCCGGTTTTTACTTCCATTGGGAAAGTTCCACACTTCCCCAAGAGGGGCGGAGTCTAACAATCATATTGTTTCCGTTTCCTAATGTAAATCTTCCTGAAAATCCTAAAAAACTACTGTATCGATTTTTAATTTAAAAAAATTGGCGTTGATACAGTTTATTTTTAGGACTTTTGGAACATTTACATCGGAAACGATGGATCGTTAGACTTCGCCCCTCTTAAATATCAGCAAAACTTACATCAAAACTCGATGTCGAGTTGGTCCGCTAGTTAACTCATAATTTTTTTACTTCTTTTTTTATAATTCTACACTTATAGGAATGATTAAACAATTTTTCTTATAGTTGTTTATATTTTTACAGGGTGAGGATGCCCTGTGTTCGGTGGCTCACGTTACTGGCTTTAACATCGTCCAATATAGTGTCTGGAATTCAATTACAATCACTTGATGTGCCTTTTAATGGAGAATCGGAATGTGCATTAATTTTGGAAGGACCCGGAAAGAGCAGCAACTTTGATTATTCATTAAACCTGTTAAGAGGCAGTTCACTGTAAGTATAAACTATTGTAATTTTTTATCGGATTCGATTCGAAAAATTATTCGGTAATCCGATTTCTAAAAAATAATTTTGTTATAGTTATGATAAATATTTCTCTTGCAGAAACTACGACGGTCCTAATACGTGTATAACATATGATGCGGTTAACTCAGCCTATTTAGATGCCCGAAAACGGATACGTAAGTATTTTGACAATTTTGTGAATTAGACTGAATAAAAATATGTTTTATGCACTTAATAAGAAAATGTAATATTCAATTTGTATGTATTTCCATCACCCAATCGCTTAAGTCAACCATTTAGTGCAGTCTACCAAGGTTTTTAATTCCAAATTCTCAACAAGCAAAATCTACTCGGTATCGAAGTGTACACAAATTGTACAACAAATTTATCTGAAACCGACATTGTATTGTGACAAACGTCAACTTTTTTGTATATGTTTATTTCTTTTCTACTTAGTTATTAATGTAGAACGATCTGATCATGAAGCAGTATATACCAAATTTAACATTCTTAACAAATCCTCGAAAACCTAACGTTTAGGTAGGATATTTTTCACTCGAAACTTTCGTAAATTCCAAAATTTGTGCTTGACTTCTATGTAGCACTTTTCCTCTGTGGACCTGAACTATCATTTTAGTGATTTTTAGATAGGTTTGTTTGTATTTTCAATAAGGCATTTCCTTTAATTACAATTAAGTCAAAACATCATAAATCCTGGTATCCGCATATCAGTCAAGAATATGCGTTCATTACTGTACATCAAGAAATTTACTGCCAACGTTTTTGTCACCGAATATATCTCCAAGTACAGTGAAACCTATCTAAAACATCAAAACAGCTAAAAAAATGTACTATCAAAATCGTCTGGGAAGCTCTAAAAATATTGTTCTGAAGCTATTTTCTTGTGGCATTGTAAATTAATTACTATTAAACTGGGAATAAGTCACAATTAAAGATAAAAATACGTTTATTGACGTTTCAATTTCCACTTCGGAAATCGTTCTCAAAATACAAACAGTAAATTAAACAAATTTTGTTTCTTGTTACATAGTGAAAAATTCTTCTAATAATTTAATTTTATCTGACTCATTTATATTGACAATTCAGACATACATTATGCATTTTAAAGTAGATGACTTTAAAATGATATTGCCAATATTGTTGAGTTGCGCTCCTGGGACGACTTTACTTATAAGATAGTTCATTCGATTACATGAAATCAACTTTAACTTGAGAATATCAGTCAGAAAAAAATCATAGCATGTAATTCGTCTTTAAAAAGACAAACACATGACATGATGACAGTAAAATTCCCCTGTTAGTGATATAATACTATCCCGACATTGTAAGTATTTGTTCGTGAATTTAGTTTACCCTCAACAAACATTAAAATTCTGATTTTATATGTTACGTTATTTAAAAAACATAAATGATGTATCCTCTATATGTTACTGACTTACTAATACTGGTATTTACTTATTAATAACTTCCTCTTTTAATATTGGTAACCAGATCCTACTACATTCTGCCGAGGAATTTGCGACACAATTGGCCTCATTTAGCATAATTAGAGCCGCTTCTTTGATTTTTCTTTTTTTACCATCCGTTTCTTTTAGGACTACATTTGAATTCTTCCATTGAACCCTATGTTCATTATCCCATGCATGTTTACAGATTTGAGATCTATCAAATTCTTTATTTTTAATATAAGATTGATGTTCACTTATTCTAACATTTAATGGCCTTGATGATTCACCTAAATAAAACTGATCGCATTCACAAGGTATTTTATAAATGCAATTCTTTGTCCTTTCTTGTTCATTGTTAGGTTTGGTTTTGGACAAAATAGATCTAAACGTGTTAGTTGTTTTGAATGTTGTTAAAATGTTGAATTTATTTCCTATCCTTTTAAGTTTTTCTGATAGTCCTTTTATGTACGGTATTGTTATTTTCCTCATATTATTCCTTCTGTATGCTGTAGGATCTCGTTCTAAGTTGTTTTGTTCTATTCGATCGATTGTTGAAAATTCCTTATTTATAAACGATAAAGGATAATCATTTTTTTAATAAAACAGATGTTAACAAATGTTTCTCCTCCAAGAACGAATTTTCATTAGAACAAGTAATTTTGGCTCTATCCTATAAGGATTTAATTATTCCCTTTTTTACATTAATATTGTGATTTGATTTGAAATTTAAATATCTGGATCGATACTGGATATGAGACTTAGGTGTATAGAAAACCAATACACACCAATAGATATTTAAATTTCAAATCAAATCACAATATTAATGTAAAAAAGGGAATAATTAAATCCTTATAGGATAGAGCCAAAATTACTTGTTCTAATGAAAATTCGTTCTTGGAGGAGAAACATTTGTTAACATCTGTTTTATTAAAAAATGATTATCCTTTATCGTTTATAAATAAGGAATTTTCAACAATCGATCGAATAGAACAAAACAACTTAGAACGAGATCCTACAGCATACACAAGGAATAATATGAGGAAAATAACAATACCGTACATAAAAGGACTATCAGAAAAACTTAAAAGGATAGGAAATAAATTCAACATTTTAACAACATTCAAAACAACAAACACGTTGAGATTTGTCCAAAACCAAACCTAACAATGAACAAGAAAGGACAAAGAATTGCATTTATAAAATAGCTTGTGAATGCGATCAGTTTTATTTAGGTGAATCATCAAGGCCATTAAATGTTAGAATAAGTGAACATCAATCTTATATTAAAAATAAAGAATTTGATAGATCTCAAATCTGTAAACATGCATGGGATAATGAACATAGGGTTCAATGGAAGAATTCAAATGTAGTCCTAAAAGAAACGGATGGTAAAAAAAGAAAAATCAAAGAAGCGGCTCTAATTATGCTAAATGAGGCCAATTGTGTCGCAAATTCCTCGGCAGAATGTAGTAGGATCTGGTTACCAATATTAAAAGAGGAAGTTATTAATAAGCAAATACCAGTATTAGTAAGTCAGTAACATATAGAGGATACATCATTTATGTTTTTTAAATAACGTAACATATAAAATCAGAATTTTAATGTTTGTTGAGGGTAAACTAAATTCACGAACAAATACTTACAATGTCGGGATAGTATTATATCACTAACAGGGGAATTTTACTGTCATCATGTCATGTGTTTGTCTTTTTAAAGACGAATTACATGCTATGATTTTTTTCTGACTGATATTCTCAAGTTAAAGTTGATTTCATGTAATCGAATGAACTATCTTATAAGTAAAGTCGTCCCAGGAGCGCAACTCAACAATATTGGCAATATCATTTTAAAGTCATCTACTTTAAAATGCATAATGTATGTCTGAATTGTCAATATAAATGAGTCAGATAAAATTAAATTATTAGAAGTATTTTTCACTATGTAACAAGAAACAAAATTTGTTTAATTTACTGTTTGTATTTTGAGAACGATTTCCGAAGTGGAAATTGAAACGTCAATAAACGTATTTTTATCTTTAATTGTGGCTTATTCCCAGTTGAATAGTAATTAGCTCTAAAAATGTTGCAAAAAAAACTTGTTCCACAGTAAACGATTTTTGAAATAAAACTTCTTCTTCTTTTTGTGCCACTCCTATCGGAGATTGGAAATCATCAAGGCTATTCTGACCTTGTTTACGGCTGACCTAAAGAGTTCATTAGTGGTGCAGCCAAACCACTCTCTCAAATTTCGCAACCATGACATTCTTCTACGGCCTGGATTCCGTTTTCCTTCTATTTTTCCCTGCATTATATTTTGAAGTAATGCGTATTTATGTCCTCTCATCAGGTGATCAAAATATTCGAGTTTTCTTCGCTTTAGCGTTAACAAAATCTCTGGGTCTTTTCCTATTCTTCGTATTACTTTACAGTTTGTTATTCTTTCAACCCAACTAATCTTCAACATTCGACGGTAGCACCACATCTCGAAACTTTCAATATTTTTCATGTTGTTTTGTTTGAGAGTCCAGGCCTCTACACCGTATAATAGCGTGTTAAATACATTGCCTCTCAGCATTCTTAATCGTAGATGCTTATAGGATGCTTATATTTCTGTTGCAGAAGAATTTTCTCATCTTTATGAAGGTGGCCCTGGCAATTTCGATACGTCTTTTTATTTTACTGTTTTGGTCTCCAGTTTCGTTTATTAAACTAAAACATCTAGTTAAAACTAGAAATCATCTAGAAATAAAACTAACACATCTCAAACATTTTCTCTTCCAAACCCTGAAAATCTAAAGGAATACTTCGTTAATGTGAGTATAAACATAATATCAACTATTTTACCACAACAAGATCCTATTTTCTATCTCGCCAATTGATAAAAGGCATTCATTCTTTATATCTCAAAATAAGACTGTTAAATCATCACCAACAATTTGGATGGAAGTTGCAGCAGTGATTTTAGTCCATGTTGGCCAGTCATCTTAGTCAAAGGGATCTTAAATGGAAACGATGGGGTATTCTTTGATGAATTCTTGGTGGAGGTCAAGAAGTTGGTCAGAGGAGATCCATTTGCTTTTATCGGAGTTGGAATTTTTGAAGCCCAAGTCGTATTCGTCTTCTTGGTGGAATTCAGATGCAGCAATGTCCATACCAATTGCGATCTTGCCAGTGTATTCAGCATTTGCGATAGCAACCTTGATGAGTTCAAGACCGTCTTTGTTGTTGAGGATGTTGGTGGCGAAACCACCTTCATCATCTACAGCAGTAGCGTCCAAGCCGAATCTGTCCTTGATGACTTTCTTGAGATAATGATAGACTTCACTTCCCATGCGCATGGTTTCTGTGAAGTTGGCAGCTCCACTTAGAAGAATCATGAATTCCTGCATAGCTAGCTTGTTACCAGCATAAGATCCACCGTTGATGACGTTGAAGGCAGGAACATACAAAATGATGTCTTTGTTTCCAGACAAATCAGCTAAATGTCTGAACAATGGTACTTCCTTCTTAGCGGCTCCGGCTTTGGCAACAGCTAGACAGCTTTAGCTCCCAATTTGGATTTGTTTTCGGTACCATCGAGTTTCAACATGAAATTATCGATGTCTGTTTGTGCAGTAATTTCTAGGCCTGATTTGATCAGCTCAGGAGCGATTATGGAATTGATGTTTTGATGGCAGTTTTGAGACCTTTGGCGTGGTATTCTTTCTTGACATTGTAACGAAATTCAAGAGCTTCGTAGATACCAGTACTGGCTCCAAATGGTACAGCAGCACGGAACAATCCCAATTTAGTGGCCTTCGTCGGTGATGTTACCACGAGAGTCAAAGATTTGGCAAGCGAGGATACTTTTGATGGCACCATGGTTTTCCACTGGTCTGATGAAACCGAAGACACTTTCATCGCTGATCGTGTCGTTGGTCTTTCCACTGGTCAAATCAAGACTGGAGCTCCTTACAGATCGGAACGTTTGGCTAAAAATAACCAAATTCTCCATATTGAAGAAGAATTGGGATCCGCAGCTAAATATGCTGGAAAATTATTCGGTAAACCTCAGTAAATGACAATAAGGATATGTAAAACACTCATAGTTTAAGGGTATTGTCAAGAAAATGTTGTTTTCCCTCTAATAAGTTAAGAGCAAAGTAAACGCTACGTTTATGGAGTTGTTTGTTACTGGTAAAAGATATGGGACAGAAGTAGATCTCTGGAGCTTTGGAATTATACTCTACGGCATGTTAGTAGGTCAGCTACCGTTCGTTACCTGTCGATCTACACAACTTTCTTCACAAGAAAAACGAAAGCAACTGATTACTCAAATCAATAAAGGTTTAAATTGTTCTCACCGTAAGTCATTAGCTACATTTAGTACTGACTTTAGAAGTTTAATAAGTCAGTTATTAGTGGCAGATTTTTCTCAAAGAATGACAATAAAAGAATTAATCGTTCATCCGTGGATCACAGATAAAGGAACAAAGATTATTTGTACCAATACGATACAAGAACTAGATACATATGAAAAGAGTAAGATATTGGGTAAAATTAGCACAGCTCTACAACTAAAACCAAAAGTCGTCAGTAAAGCCATTTCCCATGAAACGCTTGGGAAGATAGGCGGTATGTACAATATTCTTAAACGACATTGTCAATTAAGACATCTTCAAGGTGATGGTACGTCAAAAACAATGCAATCTTTAAACGCTATGTTGTCAAAACCGTACCATTTTTATTAAATATATTGGAATAATGATCTTTATAAGAACTAGAACTAATTGAGAAAATTACATGACATTAATTTACAGAATAAGCAATAACCAGTACGTACTGCACTGTATATGGTTTTTAAAGAACAAATTAAATCATTATTATGTTACTTCTAACCATTAAAATATTTTTTTAAAAAAACGTCATTTTAAATTTATATGATTTAATTTTGCAAGATATCCGTCAAACAACAGTTAAGGCAATTAAAAAACATTGTCATTCATTAGCTAATTGGTTTTTATTCGTATTGCGTAAGAACTGGCAGCATTCGATTAACGATGCAATAAAGATCTTCACCGCTGATGCAGTATCGCTCTAATTATCCTTTTTTATTATAGATGTTGCTACACCTGATGACGCTCACTTTAAGAATGAATACGTTGCTTCGGTGGGTGAACTGGTTTTTGATATATCTTTGAACTTGGCAAAGACGTAAGTAATTGATTTTTTATATATATCTTGATTAGGATTTTGATATTGAATAATATTGAATATTGGTATTGATGAATCCGCGTTGGTATAGTGAGGTACAAGATATATGCGAAGTTTTAAAAACCGACCTACTGGTAATCCGATATTGATACCTATTGTAACACAGACCACAGAAAGACATTTACAGAGTTGTACTCATGATACAAATATAAACAGATAAGATACCGTGCATGTAGGCGTGGCTTATGCATGACTTTTGTGACGTCAGCTTGTGCTAAATTTCGCCATATTGTGTTTAGACGTTTATGTAAATTTACGGTTCATAGCCAATATTTAGTAAAATAATATTATAAACGTGTTACAAGGCTTTAAATTTTTCCCGATATGAGGTGTGCAGTGTATGGTTGTGCCGTTGACAATATGTGCAAGAGTTTTGTACCCGGTACAGCATTTTATAGCTTTCCAAAAGACAAGGAAATGCAAGCTGTTTGGAAACATTTGTGTAAACGCCAGGATAATTTTAATATTAAATTTGCTCGTGTTTGCTCTAAGCACTTTGTTGAAAGTGATTATCAACGCAATTTAAAACATGAATTGCTGGGGTATATACCAGCAAAACATCGTTCTTTAAAAAAAGACGCTGTTCCGTCAATAAATTTATACAAAACAAATAAACAGAACGAGAAGGCGAATTTTGATAGAATCAACCGACAACATAAAAGACAAGAAAAAAGACTTGTGGATGATTTATTAAATAGGTATGTGATATTTATTATAGTGAAGTGGTAAATAATCATGTCTAATGATTTCATTAGTAATTATTTGTTTTTGTAGAGCGGAACTTTGTAACAATAGTGGAAACACTTTTGATGATGGTGCGGAGGCTGGTACTTCTTGTTTTATCCCCGAGAATGCTGTTTTGGAAGAATTACCTACTCATCGAAGTATTGGGTTAGTTTGTAGTTAAAAATACCTAACTAATAGCACAGATTATATACTATCTTAACTAGTCTGATTTTTTATATCTAGAATATATGGTCCTGTAATCTTTAACTCTCACTTTTTTTAAGGGTTAATACTGAAGAAGATAATCGGGACAAAATAATACTTGGTCTTCAAGAAAATATTGCAGTTTTGGAAAAGCGCCAAAAACTTAGTGGAAACCTTTTTAGTGAGCAGCACCTAAAAAAATTAGAAAATTCAAAAACTCGCCTTAAATGGAAAGTTGAGGACATATCTAAAGCAATAGTTATCTATTCTGCTGGTCCAAGAGCATATAGGTTAGTTCATTATTGAAATGCAAACAAATGACACTCATATTTTTCTTAATCTTACAGATTGCTTTTAAAAAAAGGATACCCGTTTCCTGCAGTTTCTTCTCTTCGATCTTGGCTAAAAAAAGTACAAATTGCTCCTGGCATATTAAAAAATGTGTTCAGTTTAATGAAATTCTCTGACATGAGCTCATTAGATAAGGTTGGTAGATTAATTTACATTTTTTACAAAAATTTTTCATATTTTATGTTACTTATGTTGTTTTGCTATTTATACATATGATTTTTTTGCAAATATTTAAAACATAATATTTTTAGGTGTGTGTGTTATCATTTGACGAGATGAAAATCAAAAAAGGATACCTTTATGACAAAGCGAACGATGAAACCTTGAAGCCATATTCTTATGTACAAGTGGTAATGCTAAGAGGACTATTTAAAAGTTGGAAACAACCTGTTTTCTATGATTTCGACTTTCAGCTTTCGAAAGAAAAATTGTTTAAAATCATAGAGTTTGCTGAATCGTCAAGTAAATATTTTATGATAATTATTTTTATACCTATTCTATGATTATTATCAGTTGAACTATTTAAAATGTAATGCTATTTGTAATTATACATATTTTATTGTTACTGAATGTGATTATCTGTCAAAACTCTCAAAACACCTAATTTTTAGGTTTTTCAGTGGTAGCTATTGTAAGTGATTTAGGTGGTGGAAACAGAGCACTTTATAAAGAGTTAAATATTAATCATACGAACACCTTCTTTAAGAATCCTGCAAATAATCACAATATCTATGTGATGGCTGATGTACCCCACCTTGTAAAATTACTTCGAAATCACTTCGTAGATCAGGGATTTATTTTAAATGGCGATTCTGAGATAAATAAAACAATTATTGAAGAGGTTATTGATGTAACTGGTACTTCAGACCTAAAAATTACACATAAAATATCAAAGGAGTCTCTTAACATTCAAGGAACTGGAAGACAAAAAGTAAAATTAGCAACTAAGCTATTTTCCCACACCATTTCCAAGGCAATTTTAAGATGTGGAACAATGGGGTTATTGAAACAAGCAAACTGGCTTGAATGTGGAAAATTTTTTAAATTTGTACGTATATATTTTTTTGTTATCTCTAAATTAAATACTTTTATGTAAATAAAACGATGGTATAAATAATAATTTTAGGTAAATGATTGGTTTGATGTTATGAATGTCAGAGAGTATTCGAGTGACTCCAGGGAGCGAACAAAAGCTTATGGATTAGCTTCAAATATCCAAGATGGTATCATTACCAAAATGACAGACACAGTGGAAAATCTCCGGGTTAAAGGAAAGAAATGCTTGCTTCCATTCCAAAAAGGTGAAATAAAAATACATTAAGATTATTTATTAATTCTCATGACACCTATGTTTATTTCAGGCATTATTATGACTAACCATTCATTAAAACTTCTATTTGAAGATGTGAAAACTAGATTTTCCACCAAATATATATTGACATATAGGTTAAATCAGGATGTATTGGAAAACTTCTTTGGAGCTATAAGAGCCAAAGGAGGACTTCATGATCATCCAGATGCATTACAATTTAAATACCGTCTACGATCCTATATTCTTGGAAGAAATGAAGGTTCTCTTTCTAGCTTCGGAAATGTCGAAGAAGATGAAACTCCCAACATACCTGTAGATAGTGCAAATTTATGTGGAAAATATTTTTCTTCAATTCAAAATAAGACTATTACCGATTCAGAGGCACCTACTAATATGTATGATAGTGAACTCAGTGATATCGAATATGACGGCTTAGAAAATTTGGCAGGTTATATATGTCACAAGCTGAAGGATATAGATTCATCTTTAACTTTATCCAGTTCAAATGAGTTCACCTGGATTTCTCATTTAAGTGAAGGTGGTCTTTCAAAACCTACTCCTCAAATGATGGAATATCTCGAAAAACTAGAGAAAATTTTTAATTCTGAGAATAAAGATAAATTATTTATTTCTAAACAATATTTAAAAAAAATATTAGATGAGAGTTCTTCAGTGTTGTGCTCTAATCAGACAAAAACCCTATTTTTTAGATCCAGGATGTTTTTTCGTATTAGACAATTAAATAAAGATTTACATAAAAGAAAAATGGCAAAAATTGTACATTAAAGATGTTTAAGAATTAAATTCAGTCTTTCATTTTACCCAGAACCTACCGATCTATTGATCATATATATATATATATATAATATATATATATATATATATATATATATATATATATATATATATATATATATATATATATATATAAGCTTAAATTCACGTAGTAAATAAAACATCTAGTAAATTATATTAGAATTTCAACAGTTCGTTTCATCCGCAAGCATGAATAAATTTTGCAAATTTAGCACAAGGTGACGTCATGCGCGTAAGTGTACGAGTTTAGTGCGTGGCAATATCATATCTGGTATCCTTATATCATGAGTTGTACTAATATGTATCCAACATTCAAATAAAATTATCGGAGATAGTGTTGAATTTCGAACTATTAATTTGTGTACTTAAATGTTTTTACCAATTGATCGAAATACTGATTGTTTTTAAAGTAAACTACCTCATAATATCCATAATATGCACTGCGCTCCAAAATTAACGCATAATTTTAAAACTCTTATTTTGAGTTGTAATAAAAAAAACTTTGTTTGTCCTTTTCTGCTTTATGGTTGTTTTAGAACATCTTTAATAAAAAACTATTCTTTTTTACAAAAAATGTATTGAAATTAACAATATAACATCATAAATCTAAACATCTAAACAAACAACTGATCTAAACAAACTAACATTATAAATTAATGACGATATTGAAATTTTTAAAGTTAAATAAAATACTAGTACCGTGTACTAGTATCGAATATTGCCTCCTCAGGTATTAATACTGCTTGACAACGATCTCTCATACTGAGAATAATCGTTCTGATTTCTTCTTGATCAATTTGATCCCAAAGTTCAACCCACCGCAAAAACAGTTCATCTAATGTGTTTGGTGCATTAGGTAGTTGTCGTAGTCATCTGCCTATGATGTCCCAAACATGTTCTATTGGGTTGAGGTCAGAACTTCTCGCAAGCCAATCTATGGCAGGAATTCCTTCTTCTTCTTCTTCTCGTGCCACTCCTAGCGGAGATTGGAAATCATCATGGCCACTGCGACTTTGTTAGCAGCGCGCCTGAAAAGTTCAATCGAACTACACCCGAACCATTCACGTAGATTACGAAGCCACGATATTTTTCTTCTTCCCACACTTCTTTTGCCCTTAATTTTGCCCTGCATGATGTTTCTTAAAAGTTCGTACTTTTCACCTCTTACAATGTGCCCCAAGTATTCCATCTTTCTAGTTTTTATCTCATTTAGAATTTCGCATCTTTTGTCTAAAGTTTAGAGTACTTGCGTGTTAGTGACGCGGTCCATCCATGATATTCTGAGAATGCGCCTATAGCACCACATCTCGAAAGCTTCGATGTTTTTTATGGTCAACTGTTTTAGTGTCCAAGCCTCAACTCCATATAACAGGGTAGAAAAGACATAACACCGCAGCATTCGTATTCGTAACTTTATATTGATATTACGATTGCAAAAAAATTTGCGCATTCTGGTAAAGACTGATCTAGCGATTTCTATTCTACATCTAATCTCTTTTGTTTGATCAGTATCGTCTGCGATCCAAGCACCTAGATATTTATAACAGGGCACACGCTCAATCGTTGTATTGTCTATTACAAGATTAGATTAGATTAGGAATTCCTACCTCCTGACAATACTGCTGCACAATTCTTGCCGTGTGTGGCCTGTTATTATGATATATTCTAACTAATTCCGTACTAGCCTCTAAATTAATCCCATCCCACACTATTACCGAGTACAGGCCCTACTGTGTTACATTGTGCGGAGCGTTCCCTAGGCCTTCTATACACTCGGTTTCTCCTGTCATCAGAAAAAAGACAGTCCCTGGATTCATCGGTGAACACTATTCTTCCCCAATCGTCATTATTCCAATCAACATGTTTACGGGCAAAATGAAATCTTTGCCTTCTATGGTCTCAGGTCAATAATGGGCCAATTGGTGCCCTTCCAGGGTGTAGGTCGTTTTCGGCAAGTCTTCTTCTAATCGAATTTTAGCTAATTCTAAAGTTATAATGATTCAAAAATTAATTTTGTAGAAAAATACTGGTAACTAACCTTTATCTTAGTGTACGAAGTGTCAAAAACCGGTCTTGATTAGGAGTTTTGACCGGGTCTTCCCTAGTTACTTCCAGTTACAGAAAAACGTGTTAACACTCTTGAAATGGTTAACTGGGTGACGTTTAAACGTTCAGCGAATTCTACTTGAGTGTATCCTTTCTCGCGAAGAGTGACGATTCCAAAAGAGTCACTTTCTGGTAAATTTCAATGTTCTTGCTGCTGGTGGTTCATTTCAAAGAAAAAACACTTAATAAACTTGAAAAACCCCTTTAAAAGTTCTTTCGATGAATTTTACAATATGCTGGGAGTAACAATAATATATTAGCACAAAAATCGAAACATTAAAATTATTTGATTTTCCAGGGCTTTTAAAATTATGCGTTAATTTTGGGGTACAGTGTAGTTGGTATCAATGCAGATTGATTGATTTGTTTAGAGCAGCAAGTTATAAAATAAAAGTAGCCATTATGATTGCCAACCTCCGTAGGGAGACGGCACTCTAAGAAGAAGAAGTAGTTTTTAGAAAAATTTACCTTCACCTTTTTTCAAAATTAAAACTGGCAAAATAAAATATTTTTTCAGTTATGAAAATAAAAATTTTCTTTTGGTGGATTTACAAGTTTTTTTATTAACCGTGGTAAGTTCGTTAATGAACACTTAATATTAATATATTATACAGTGAGGTCCTAAAGTAACGGATAAATGTAATTTTTAAGTAATTATAAAGTAGGTGAAAACTACTGAACAAGGTCGATTTTTACACACAAAAATGTACATATACAACATACAAATCAACAGTATATAGACTAGTCACCGTGCTAATATAATCGAATTACCAAAAATACCAATATATATATTTTTTTTCACACTTTATTTGCATTAATACCTAACTAAAAAGATTTCGATGTAGCAACTAACTTCATGCTGTGAATATGCGCGTACTTCACACTGTGGTTTTAAAAAAAATTCACTCTCATCAATTTTTTCCAATCGCGCCTAAAGAAGTATTCAAAAATAGTTTTTATTTACTTACATGTCACATGTGGTGCTACAAGAAGTTACCCATTGGTTTTTTACTATTATAAATTAAATGGTATACTAGCCACTTTTCACATTCACTTGGGATCTTCCAGTTAACAGTTATTCCAACTCATCGTCATTATCGTTCTCTTCATCATTCTCAGCCAAATTAATAATAATTTTCTTCAAGGCTGGGACATTTTTTATGTAATGTTTTTTTATCATCTTTACAAGTTCCATTGCATTTTGCCAGTTGTGAGCACTGATATTTTTGAACTCTGTTTTTATTAGTTCGACAACACTTTGGATATCTTTTAGAGATGTGTTGTTCCTCCGTATATGGAAATATAAACCTTTTATATTTTGTAATAATTGATTTTTTACCAGGGCTCTTCGATTTTTTCAAATAAAATTTTAAATTTTACTTTGTCACGGTTATATATTTTTAATATTTTTTCTTATTAGGTATGGACTTAGTTATCAAGAAATCGAAAAAGGATTGCCTTTGATAGACACCAGCAAAACTTTGATAAGAGACGTGTGTCCTGCCTATTTGTCCAATGTTGAGTGTAGAGCAGGAAAGTATAGAAGATACGATGGTCTTTGTACAAACCTTGAACATCCTACATGGGGAGCAAGTCATACACCGTTTACAAGGTACGCATATATTTATATAGGTTTTTTATTTATTTAAAATATTAATATAAAAACAATACGATCTGATCAAACAATATGTTCAATGAACAACTTTTTTCTAGTTCAAATGACTATTAAAACTTAAAAACACTAAGATAAACTCACTAGTATCCCTTAGGTTCTCTTAATTTATTGCACAAATAATAACCTATAGTATCACTTAAACTATACTCTGCTTTTCGTTTACCTAACTTGTACGGTTTCTTCCTTTTAAATCTTAGAGCCAGGTCCATTTTGTCGAAGATCTAAATGGTCTTAACATTGACCTGTTGAAGAGTCATTGTTCTTGTTTTGGAATCGCTTTTGTTTTGGAGTCGCTGGATAATGTCTAAATTACTCTTAATAGCATAACCCCACAACTGGATGCCACATGCCCATATAGGTTTTAGAATCTGTTTATACAAAATATTTTCTTGTAGATTGACAGGATGACTTTCTTTTCAACAGCCAATACACTTTATAATTGATTAGTTAATCTGCTCTCTTTCCTTTTTAACACGAACAATCCAGCTTTGCCCAACGTCAAATTTGATATACAAATATTTTGCGATATTGGCGTATGGTATCTGAGTGTTATCTATATTAACAGGACTGTGTTATATCCTCTTGTTTTGTACATTAACTCTATCAAGGATATCACTAGTGTATAATAGTTATAAGACTGGTCCTATGACACTACCTTGTGGTACACCTGCATTGATTTCTTTTAATTTCGGCTAGGCTTCTTCTTGCTTAACCCTAAAAACTCTATCTGAAATGTATGATTCCAATTATTTTATGTATTTACTTGATAAAATCCTGCTTAACTTATATGTAAGATATTTGTACCATACTTTATCAAAAGCTTGCTCCACGTCGAGAAAGACAGAGGAGCAGACTCTCTTTTTTTCTAGTGACATCTCTATTATATCGGTTATTCTATGGAGTTGGTCGATAGTTGAATAACTTTCTTAAAACCCAAATTGGTGTGATGAAATTAGAACCTTAGCGTCTATGAGAGGTCATTATGACCTCTGCTACTTTCTATATCTTGAGAACATATATTAATCTGAACGAGACATTTATGACATGTCAGCTTTACTGTGGCTTTTCTAGGGGGTTATTTTAAGATTTCTCCAGTAATTTAAACAAACCCAGGTGTTTTTTTGAGATTGATGTTTGTTACAATTTGGTTGGACACTTCTTTTAGAGTAAATAGTGTAATTTTACCTTTTTACTGTGTGGCGTTTTCTCACTTAAGTATGTTATCACTCCTCACATAATCACATTCAAAATACTCATTTTGACGATTCTGCCATTCACGTACTTTTTATATTTAGCTGTTCCTTGTAATTAATTGTTTGTTAACAGATCTATCCTGTTTTAGTTTAAGTATGAATTAATTTCTTCCAATGTCGTAATTGCAACTTTAAATTTTAAATTTAAATTTTTCGATTTTATTGATATTTACTTTTATGCATATATTTGACAGACTTCTAGGACCAGTTTATGCAGATGGTATCCAAGCACCACGTATAAGTGTCACAGGAAGACCATTGCCCTTATCAAGAGTTGTATCCAGAACAATACATCCTGATGAAGGCTACCATGACCATGCAGGAACTGTTATGATAATAGCATGGGGTCAATTTATGGACCACGATTACACATTGCAAGGCACTCCGTTAGGTAAGAAGGTTTTAGATATAAAAGTTGTATCAATTATAGTTTTAAGAAGAAAATATAACATGTATCTTGTGATTATTTGATAACGTAGAGTTTTCCATGTAAAGATCCCTTTTCTACTCCATACATTCATATTTTATTATTATAAGTCAAAACTTTAATTCAACTTCTAAGAAAGTTTATTATCCGTTACGAAAATATGTTTGTTAACTGATTAGATTCTAACAAGGCCTTTTCCAAATATTTCTTTTATAGATAAAAGTATAGATAATTTTAGAATTCTGAATAAACACCTTGGCTAGGTTGGGGGCGTTTACAAGTCACCATTCGGGTGTTTACTTGGGAGTGTTCCTATGCCATCATTGATCGACACACGTTGGGTCGTGGGGATATGAGAATATGAGGATACGTACTGGTCAGGGCGTAGGGATATGAGGATACGTAAGCTTGACAGACGAAAGAAGAAGAATTGACGCCATCTTCACGTTTGGGAGACAACAGTTGACATGACAGTTGATAGCTGTCAGAAGCCATCTTGTGACGTCAGATTGGGAGTGAAGGGGATGCGCTCAACCGGCGCATATTCTGCTCTTGTGATAATATAATTGTTTTGTTATCTACATATTTTTAATACTTCTACTAAATATTATTTGTTCCATTACTAATTTAGTTTATTTCATTCTAATAGATCCTCTTAACAAAAATGACCCTGAAGAATGCTGCAATCGACCAGCCCATCTTAAGCATCCGTACTGTAACGAAATTTACATACCCGAAGATGACTTTTTCTACAAACTCTTCAAAGTTAACTGCATAGACTTCGTCAGGACATTCCCAGCTCCACGTCCAGGATGTAGGTTAGGTTCCAAGGTTCCCTTCAATACACTTACCGGTGTTTTAGATGGAAACACTGTATACGGTGTAACGGAATCCCATGCCAAGTAAGTTTTTTAATTAAAATTTTTAAGATTGCATTTAAAAAATGTTTATTTTTGTAGAAAACTGAGATCGTTTAACGGAGGACTTCTAAGGATGCACCCAGCGTTTGAACATTTTGGCCTCAAGGACTTACTTCCATTAAAGGTAGAAATTCCTGACGAAGGCTGTACTAGACCTAATTCTTCGATGTATTGTTTTGAAGCAGGTAATGTATCTATTACTACATATTACTAAATTGCAAATATTTTTATGTTTGACATCTTATAAACTTATTATTTTATTAAGATCACTATCAAAACATTACTTAAAACAGGAACATATTAGATATGATATAAGAAAAGATAAATATCTAGTGTGACAGAAATTGACACCAACTAACCATATAGGTACAAGGATGGTTTTACACCACGTTCTTTTGCTATGGCTTAATTGGCCATTTTGCTATGGCTAGACATTTAAAAGACCTTTTCAATAATTTATAACACCCTCCTTTTTAAAAAACACTATAGATAATATCTTTGTCATCTTTAATTTGGTCATAAAGATGACCAAAATAAAAAGGTGGCATAGGGAAACGCACAAGTAGAAATAAAAATGAACCCATTTGTCGATTTATGTGAAAAAACCGCCAAACTGAGTAAAAAGTGTCAAACAAATATAAATTAGTAACGAAACGTTGCAAAATATTTGTAAATAGTTGTAAAAAGTATTCGCTATTTGAGAAGGGAGGTGTTGACCATAAAACACCACGCTGGTCAGACTTGACCTAAAGTAATGACTAATACAGAAGACAGATCAGTAATTACCATAGATGGAACAAACATATAACACGTCAAAGAATATATTTACTTAGAACAAGCTATCAGAGCAGACAAACGTAACCAGACTAAAGAAATAACCAGAAGAATGAGAATGGGTGGGCTGCATTCGGAAAAGTCTCATATTATATCAAAACCCAAAAAATACCTTTAAAATTAAAAACGTGTACCAAGAGCAACTTAGATAGAATAAAGAAAGCTCAAAGAGCTATGGAAAGACAAATGTTGGGAATATCGTTGAGAGATAAAAAGAGGAACGAGTGGATAAGATGCAAAACCGAAACAATAGACGCTGTCAAACATGCATTTAAATTAAAATGGATATGGGCTGGACATAACAAAAGATATCAAGATGGAAGAGGAAATAAAGAAATTGGCCGCAGGAAATCATATAGGTACTGCAAAAAGGTCAAGAGGTTGACCGCAAATGAGATGGAAATTTGATAGATAGTAAAAAGTAGGGGAAATGTGTCAAAACACATGTAAAAATAAGTAAAAAGTCGGTTATAAACATATATTCTCTCATTCGGTTGTGGTGAAATAAATTCAATATATCGAAAGCCGTTTTTTTTTTAGAATAGATTAAATTCAATTTTTTGAAAACCGTTCACATTAGAAAAAATTTCAGTAGTCCAGCCAGGAGGTAAAGCAGGTCATCATTTTTTTAAATTCCATTTTATTGGTTAATCTGTATCAGCAATAGAATAATTTTAACCTGGTTGAATTCTTACTTGGATATAAAAATCAACCTGTTTCAGGATTTTTTCTTAAAGCGATCTGTTTCCATATAAGTAAGGCATTCATTTTTTACTTTTATTTTATGCAAAATACCTGTATATATACTCTCATTTGCACGGTTATAATGCAATAAATTTAGTATATTGAAAGTGTATCTTTTAATAACGGTATAAATTCAATATTTCGAAAACCTTTCAAATTAGAAAAAATTTCATTGTTCCAGCCTGTAGATAAAGCAGGTCATCAAGTTGTAAATTATTTCTGGTTTGAGAGTCTAAATTTTGGCGGAGGCGTAAACCGAATTTTTAAAATTCTATTTAATTAGTTTATCTGTATCAAAAACATAATAATTTTAACCTAGTTTAATTTTTACTTGGATATAAAAATCGACCTGTTTTAGGATTTTTTCGTAAAGTGATCTGTTTCTAAATAGATAGGGGATTTATTTTTTAGTTTTATTTTATGCAAAATATGGGTATATATACTCTTATTTGCACGGTTACAGAGCAATAAATGAAGTATATCGGAAATGGACCTTTTGAGAACCGTATAAATTTAATATTTCGAAAGCCTTACACATTAGAAAAAATTTCAGTGTTCCAGCCTGGAGATAAAGTAGGTCATCAAGTTGGAAATTAGTTCTGGTTTTGACAATCTAAATTTTGGCGGAGGCGAAACCCGAATTTTTAAAATTCCATTTTATTGGTTTATCTGTAGCAGCAACAGAATAATTTTAGCCTGGTTAAACTCTTATTTGGATATAAAAATCGACCTGTTTCAGTTTTTTTTCGTAAAGCGATCAGTTTCCAAATATGTAAGGGCTTTATTTTTTACTTTTATTTTATGCAAAATACCGGTATATATACTCTTATTTACATGATTACGGTGCAATAAATTCAGTGTATTGGAAGTGGATCTATTGAGAAAGGTATAAATTTAATATTTCGAAAACCTTTCACATTAGAAAAAATTTCAGTGTTCCGACCTGGAGATAAAGTAGGTCATCAAGTTGGAAATTATTTCTGGTTATGACAGTTTAAATTTTGGTGGATGCGTAACCCGAATTTTTAAAATTCTATTTAATTGGTTTATCTGTAGCAATAACAAAAGAATTTTAACCTAATTACTATTTAAATGAGAATAAACCACAATTAAAGGTTAAAGTACGTTTATTGACAAGAAAATAGCTTCAGAACAATTTTAACCTAGTTTAACTCTTACTTGGAAGAAAAAATCGGCTTGTTTCAGAATTTTTCCTAAAGCAATCGGTTTAAAGTTAAAGAATTTTTTTCTTTTATTTTATGCAAAATACCGATATAGACTCTCATTTGCAAGGTTATGGTACAATAAATTCAGTATTTATATTGAAAGATGATTTACTTAGAACGGATATTAATAACGGAGATCAATATTTCGAAAACCGTTCACTTCAGAAAAAATCCTTAAACAGGCAGATCTTTACTTCCAAGTGAGAATTATACGAGGTTACAATTATTCTGTTTATGCTACATATGAACCAATTAAATCGAATTTTAAAAATTCGGGTACGCCTGCGCCAAAATTTAGACTTAACTAAAAATAATTTCCAATTTCATGACCTGCTTTATCTCCAGGCTGGAACACTAAAATTTTCTCTACTCTGTTTTACTGACTAGATTAGGAAGTCAATCGAAATTAATTTTACTGCCTAAAAAACATTTATTTTTGATTTGACATTTATAAAACTTTTATATTTATAAACTTTAGGTGAAATTAGAGTAAACGAACAACTGGTCTTGGCCTGCATGCATACGCTGATGGCACGTGAACATAACAGATTAGCTAAAGGACTAGCTGAAATTAATCCTCATTGGGACGACGAAACTCTTTTCCAAGAAGCAAGGCGTATCAACATAGCTATCATTCAACAAGTTACTTACAACGAATTTTTGCCTATTTTGCTCGGAAAGGATGTTATGGAAAAGTTTGGACTAACTTTACAGAAAGAAGTAAGTAGCTATTTTAAACAGTACAAACTTTCAGGAAGATAAACATTGGAAAATACTATGTTCTGAAATATACGCTGAGTTTTGTAAATTTTACCTTATTTCAGGGATACTGGGATGGCTATGATCCCAATATTAATCCAGGAGTTATAGATGCGTTTGCAGCTGCAGCATTTAGATTTGGTCATTCACTATTACCAACTGCAGTGGAGAGATGGAGTAAGGCACACAAATTTATATGTAAGTATTTTTAAAAGCTATGTTTACGAAAACTTTACAGGGAGAGTGGGCCACATTGAGAAATTTTTGATATTTTTGATGATATAAGCTGTTTTATTACCAATTTTTTAATGAAAATGCAATTATTGAATCTATTTATAAGCAAATAAAAATAGCAGTCTTTTGTAATCATGGTCAATGTTTCCTCTAATTTGAAAATGCGTGTGTCTTCAGAAAATCCATCAAAACGCTTCAAACTTCCTCCAAGTTTCGAAAATATTCATCCACATGACAACTATTAAATGATGTAGTGTTAGATAATCAACCATTATGTGAAAATATTATCGGCGAATACCAGACCGGTTTTCGACAAGGCAGGTCGACAATAGATCAGCTTTTTACAGTAAAGCAAATCCTTAATAAAGCTTGGGAACACGATATTGATGTTCACAATATATTTGTCGACTTCAAACAGGCTTATGACTCCATAAATAGAAGCCGGTTATATAACATCATGGAAAGCTTCAATATTCCCTCGAAATATATCCGACTAGTAAAAGCAACGATGGACTCCACAATAGCAACTGTACGCATACAGTACGAATTAACTGACAGCTTCGAAATAGTTCAAGGGCTGAAACAAGGTGATGGACTAGCCCCAACACTGTTCAATCTGGCCCTTGAATATGTCATCAGAAAGCTGAATGTCGGAAGATCCAATCTCCTAACAAACAAATCTGTCCAGCTCGCCGCATATGCGGATGACATTAACCTCATGTCCCGCAGAGTGGATGATGCAGCAGAAACATATTCGCAGCTGAAAAAAACGGCCAAGGAGATTGGACTTGAAATAAATACACAGAAGACAAAAATACTAACACAGACGCGGACAAAGCGAACAAGAAATCAAATCAAAGTAGAGGATGACATTGAAACAGTGAAGAGTTTTACTTGTCTGGGAGTCGAAATGAATACGGAGGGAACAGAAGAGGCCGAAATTCAGAAGAGAATAATGAAGGGAAATAAAGCCTATTTTTCCCTGATTAACATATTCCGCTCCAAGACGGTACATCGAAAATCGAAACTTAAGGTCTATAAAACTATCATCAGACCGATAGTATGCTATGGATGCGAGACATGGGTTTTGACAGAAAGCACTAAACGAAGATTAGAGGTTTTCGAGAGAAAAATCCTAAGGAAGATCTTTGGACCCATCGCTCAAAATGGGATGTGGAGATCTAGATATAACCATGAACTCTACCAACTGTTCAAAGAAGCACCTATTGCAGAGTTCGCTAGAGTACAAAGGCTTCGATGGGCTGGTCATGTGGTACGGATGGATGCCGACAGATTGCCGAGAAAGGCCTTGGATGGTAAAATGCAGGGCAGAAGACCAAAGGGAAGACCACGTAATAGATGGGAGAACGAAGTCACAGCAGATGCGCACAACTTATTGAACGTCAGGGCTTGGAGACGTGTGGCGCGGGATCGCCTTTGTTGGAGGCAGAAGTTACAGGAGGCCAAGGCTCAATTTGGGCTGTAGCGTCATTTGAAGAGAGTGTTAGATAAGCTGCAACCTTCCAGTTGGCGGGTCGTTACAGAGTTCGGCATGTCTCTTTTTCAAACCATGATGCCATTCAAGTCCAGCAGACTTCATTTCTCAAAGTATATGAATTTTATTATACAGACAGAGTTTGTAAGTCAGTTGTCTCACGTCTTTTGTAGACTTTGACTTTCTGTAACACAATTTGCTGCATTGCATTACGTAGTTGTTAAATATATATTATTTTAGCTTCTAAACGTTTGTCGGACTTAATCCGCCGTCCCTACGATCTGTTCCGAGCTGGAGTATTCGACGAGTACTTCATGGGTCTGATGAACCAAGTTGCCCAAGCTATGGACGACTCCATCACACAAGAAGTCACAAACCATCTATTTAAGAAAGCTGGAGCCAAATTCGGTATGGATCTGGTTAGTTTCAACATGCAAAGAGGTAGAGAGTTCGGACTTCCTGGGTATATGGAATACAGAAAATTCTGCGGACTTCCATATTCAGATAGGTTTGAAGATCTATTCCACTCAATGCCTAACGAGACTGTAAGAAAATATAGTTCAATATTTGAGTAAGTTAATACAATATTACATAAATATTTATTAGGACATTAAGCTTTTAGGAAAATATATTATTAGTTGTATTTGCATAATAATTTACCTACTAGTCTAGTTGTCATAATATTGTCATATATTTTAAACCAAAAATGTAGATAAAATAATTTTGAACAAAAATCTTCATAAGCTCTTTTTGTGTAGAATGAACTGTTCTCTCAGAAACAACGCTTGAAACTATCGGCAGTTTTAAATGACAATTACGGGCGAAATCATTTTTTATATTTGTATATAAAATTTTTCGCTCATCGTTCATTTTAGATATCTTTTATCTTGTATATTGTTATTTCTTTCCGTTGGTTTCATATGAAACTCCATATTTGTTTTTGTGTACCATAGAAGTCGCTTTCCATCAATTTTGTAAAATGTTCTCAGTTTTCATTTTTTTTGTTTTTCTTATCAATTACTTTGTTTCATTTCCTATTCTTCTATAGGTATCTCGAGATTCTGGAGTATTTAAGTATTTGTATTATTGGAGTATTATTAAAGTCATCAAACGTACGCTTTCTAAATTCTGGACTTTCTAATATAGTGATATTTTTCGAACAGCTACCGCCATCGGTAGGTCAGGCCGGTACTTTTGGGACTACCTAGATATTATCCATCACAATTATGGAATTACATTTCTTCTGATATACAAATAAATAATTTTATTTATTTTCCAGACATCCAGCTGACATAGACCTTTGGTCAGGCGGAGTATCAGAAAAGCCTTTACCAGGTAGTATATTGGGACCTACCTTCGCATGTATAATCGCCACGCAATTCAGTTATTCAAGAAGAGGAGACAGATTTTGGTAATTATAAAATGTGTTTAAGTTAAATTATATTCGATAAACAAAACTGGAATAACTAGATAAAACATATTTACAAATGTAAACTCTAAATATATCTTAAAAACCATTAGGACTTTCTAATTAGTCTCAAACCTAAAACTAGAGAAATATTTCATCATCATCAGTTGGCGCTACAGCCCTTCGTGAGCCGTGGCCTGCTTTAAAACATTCTTCCATCCTTTCCTATCGAGTCTTCTCCAGCCCCTCACTCCAATACCAGTATTAGTAAGTCAGTAACTTATAGAGGATACATCATTTATGTTTTTTAAATAACTAAACATATAAAATTAAAATGTTGATGTCTATTGAAGGTAAACTAAATGCACGAACAAATACTTACCATGTCGGGATAGTATTATGAGGTATTTTCCTGGTTTTTCCCTCATAATTTACTATGGAATCACTAACAGGAAAATTTTACTGTCATCATGTCATGTGTTTGTTTTTTTAAAGACGAATTACATGCTATGATTTTTTTCTGACGGATATTCTCAAGTTAAAGTTGATTTCATGTAATCGAATGAACTATCTTATAAGTAAAGTCATCCCAGGAGCGCAACTCAACAACATTGGCAATATCATTTTAAAGTCGTCTACTTTAAAATGCAAAATGTATGTCTGAATTGTCAATATAAATGAGTCAGATAAAATTAAATTATGAGAAGAATTTTTCACGATGTAACAAAAAACAAAATTTGTTTAATTTACTATTTGTATTTTGAGAACGATTTCCGAAGTGGAAATTAAAACGTCAATAAACGTATTTTTATCTTTAATTGTGGTTTATTCCCAGTTAAATAGTAATTAATTTATTTCAGGTATGAACTTCCCAATCAACCATCATCGTTTACCCCAGAGCAACTCCAGGAAATTAGAAAAGTTAGATTAGCAAGACTTATTTGCGATAACACAGACCTAATAGATACTGTTCAGCTGTATCCAATGGTATTACCAGATCACGAAATGTAAGCTTTTTGTTTACTAGTTTTATTTATATTTAATACTGCTTTATTTAAAATAGAAACAAATTAAAAGAACTACATTCCTTGCTAATAAAAATAAACTTAAATATTGTCAAGTCATAATCAATTATTAATTAAATTAAATTAAATTAAATTAAATTAATTAAATTAAATTAAATTAAATTCTTTATTTTCTTTCTGACAAACATAGTTTGTATAGAATTAGTCATAAATATACATTGCTACAAACTAAACACTAAACTAAACTAAACAAGACATGAAATGAATTTAAAAGCTAAACGAAATACAGCTAATATCTAAGATCTAAAAAATTCTTCGATTGTATAAAACACTTTTTCACATAAAAATTGCTTAAGATTCCTCTTAAATACATTTATTGAACTGGTGACTTCACAACTGTGGGCAAATGATTAAACACCTGTAGCCCGTATACCCTGGGCGATTTAAGTTTAATGTTACCTTTTGAAAATGGTATATAAAGTTTATTACAATATCTAGTATTTAAATTATGCATATCACCACTCGTTTTAAACTGATGTAAGTTATTAAAAATAAAAACACATAAATCAAAAATGTATAGACACGACAATGTTAAAATTTTATATTTTTTAAAATATTCTCTATAACTAGTTAGTCGGGAGACACCAGCGACACAACGCAATATTTTCTTTTGTATGACGAAAATACCATTTGCATAACCAGACATACCCCAAAAACATATCCCGTATCTTAGCCTGGACTCGACGAGTGCATAATAAATCATAATTAGCTGATTTTCCGTCAGAACATATTTTAAATTTCTAATTAGATAGTTAATAGAACTCAACTTCGAAACAACCGCTCCACAATGCAACTTAAAATCCAAACTTTCATCAATCGTTATTCCCAAAAACTTGCCTGACGACACGGTACCTATTTGCATGTTGTTAAAAGTAAGCTGAAGATTTTCCAAGTATTTTTGTTTATTGTGAAAATGTATAACTTGCGTTTTTTCTGCATTTAGATGCAACGAGTTATCGCAAAACCAAGAATATAAAGATGAAAGAAAATTATTACATTGATGTTGTAGGATTACGTTGGATTTGTTAGATAGAATAATTGACGTATCATCCGCATATATAGTGAAATTTACCGCTCTGTCCACTTGTACGATGTCGTTAATGTAGACTACAAAGAAAATTGGTCCTATTATAGATCCTTGGGAACACCCATGTTTGTAGTAACAAGACTAGATCTATAACTGGTCACACAATCCTCGATCCTTGTCTGCAGGCTCACATATTGTTGTCTATTGTTTAAAAATGACATAATCCACTTTAAAGAGTTTCCTGTAATACCTATCTGTTTTAGTTTTTTAAATAATATTTCATGGTTCACACAGTCAAATGCCCTACTAAGATCACAAAATATTCCAATAGGACATTCGCCTGCATCAATCAGACTGGTTAAATGAGCATAAAATGCATGGACTGCCGTATTAGTAGATTTATTTTCTTGAAATCCATGTTGATTTATAGTTATGATATTATTGTTTTTTAGATAACCATTTAATCTCTTTAAATATCCATTCTCAAATACCTTTGAAAATATACTGGGAATTGTTATAGGCCTATAATTGCTGACCAGTTTTGGATCTCCTTTTTTAAAAATGGGAACTACTTTGCCTGTCTTTAAGTAATTAGGAAAATCCCCATTGCAAAAAGACAAATTGGTTAGATAAGTTAAAGGATTGATTATAAAAGGTAAAACTTTTTTCAACAAAAATGCAGGTATCTCGTCAAAACCACTAGAGGATTTGTTTTTAAGTTTACTCTGGAGGAGTTCGATTAGTTCCTGCCCAGTAAATGGGTACAATTGAAAGAAATTTTCATGATCTGTAATAATTGACTGACTGTCTTCGTCTACTGTATTACCTGGAATTTTCGACACGATATCAATGGATGCATTTTAAAAAATGTGTTAAAAGTGCATGCTATCTCTTGGGGATCTGTTATTATATTATTGCCATCATACATTAAAAAAGTATTAGCATTGTTATTAGCACTTTCTGAGAAATCATTGACAACTTTCCACGTGATTTTATTGGGATTATCAGATGAAGTAATGATTTTCTGGTAATAATCTTTTCTTGTTTTGGTCAAAAGCTTTCTATGTATTTTCCTTTGTTGTTGATAAAAATCTCTAAGAATTGGTACTGCCCTTGATAAAGCGTGTAAATTTCTTAATTCAAAACTAGACTTTCGCACTTCACTATTAATCCATTTATTTTTAGTTGTTTTGATTTTTTCCCTTGTTAATGGAAAGCTATTATTAAAATGATACAAAAAGATATTTATAAAAGCTTGAAATGCTAGATTAGTGTCTAAGATTCCATAAACATTATTCCAGTTTTCGTTAATGAGGTTAACGATAAAGTGATTTATCGATTCCTCGCCAAATTGTCTTTTTTGTATAAAGTATGATAATTCCGCTTCAAAGTCAAGTTCATAGACCAAAACCAAATAGATGGCGAACTCAATAATGACATTTAGAAGCTAAAAGGCGACATCTACAAATTCGAAGAAACTAAATACAACGTTGCCGCTCTATTGCCTCTTATAGTTTTCTTATTCAGTTATAAATACAGAGTGCACATAAATGTGCACTCAGTGTGAAATATGTTTCGAATGTTTTTAGAAAAAAAAAGGATAAATAAAACTGATAATTAACAAAATAAAATTTTTATTTATTAATTTATTTAATTTTATAGTGTAAATTGAACATGGATATTTGCACCATACCACACATAAGTTTTGTAAAAATTATTATTATCTATATTGAATATATCTATCTGAAGTGAATAACAAAACAAACATATTAATCAAAAAAAATTAACTTTTTAAAAAAATCTACAATTACAATAGATCATTCTTACCTTAACAAATACAGATTAAAACTTAACACTATAATGGAACAAATACAGATTAAAACTTAACTTAACACTATAAAACTTAAACACTTTAATAGACTAATAAATTAAGAACTATAAATGCCACACCGAGTTAAATAAAAATACATAAAAGATCCTCAAAAGATAAACACCACCACGCTGTAAATAGTAAATAATCACACAAGAATCTTGACAAGTTGACAAATTTAATGTTGACGTTGACGTGAAGTTGCCATGTCTTTTTAAAATATGTAGGTACTGTAGCGCCATCTGTGTATTCGAAGAAACTAAAATAAATTTCAAGGTCGCCAATATGAGATAAATATCTATATTGTTTTTGTCTATGGTCAAGTTCCACTAAAACCGTTCTGTGATCTGATACAGTGTTGTCAAGTACACATGACAAACCGGTGTTCGAGAAATTTACAAATACATTATCTAACGTTGTTTCGCTGGTATCCGTGACCCTAGTTGGCCAATTGACAAGATTAAAATTAATATTAAAATTCAGTAAAACATTTAGTTGATTAACATGGTCGTTACTCATATGTCTGGTATCTACATTAAAATCACCACATATTACAAAACGTATATTTGGTTTATATAAACAATTTAAAATACCTTCGAGGTTATTAACCCTTTCACTATTTTTGTACATCACCATGTACATTGAATTTCATTGCCTTATATGAAATTCAGAATTATTTATCTCCTAATCTACATTTGTACGTCAGAAAGTACAACCTATTTTTAAGTTTTTAGGTTGGTAGTAAGTGCGATAAAGTTTGACAATAGACGTTAGGCAACATTTAAAACGTGAGTGGCGTGTTGTGCAAACAGGTGCATTTTAGGTTATGTGATATATTTTACGTTTTCTTGTAAATCTACTAAAATTAGAAGTTTTATGATTTGCTATTGGTAAGTACATGTTTCAACGTTGGAGTTCCATAATAATTTATATTGCTTTATATAATACAAAGTCCACAGATGTAGTTTGAATTAGTATGTACATTACCATGTACAAACGCAGTTTGTGGACAATATATTATTAGACCATGTTTTTGCAAAAGTTATAAATTTTATTTCTATTTGGTATTAGTAGTGTCGGTATGGTGGAGACGCGAGACAATAAATTGTTGAGGGAGGGGCACCCCTAAAAATTGACTAAATGTAGTTTTCAAATTTTTAATTTTTTTTGTTTTATATGGATATTTACTAATGTTTGTCCTTCATGCGTTTGTTTTTGTTTTTTAGATAATGGCAAACGCAAGAAAAAATTCAAAAAGAAAGCTAACCCAAGAAGAACTTCTTTATTATCTCGAGAACGATGATGTTTCAGATATTGAGTACCTGTCAGATGATGATGATGGTTGGGAGTCAGACGAAATATCTAGAGAACAAAGAAATAATGACATTCTAGATGTAACTATAGATAAAAATAATGGAAAGGAAAATGAGCCTGAAAACAGCGACGTTGAAGATGTAGATTTGGCAGATGAAGAAGAAAGGTTGGTGCTAACTGTAAGTGGTGAAAATATGGGGGAAAATGACAAAGATGAGATGAAAAGGAACCAAACAAATTTTGAGAAAGAACATGGTCTTACTGACAAATCAAAAATAAATTGGATACAAGGGGAAAATGTACAATACGAAACAAGAAATATTCATTGGCATTCAACCGTTCCGACTACCCCTGTTGTAGATTTGCCACCACCAGTTGAATTTTTTACCAAATATGTTCCTGATGAGATACTACAACAAATGGCTGATATGACAAATTTATATGCTACACAAAAAAATATTGCTCGATTTCCACCTACAAACTTGGATGAAATCAAGACTTTTATTGGGGTCCATATTGTTATGGGAAACTTACAGTTTCCTAGAGTCTGCATGTATTGGCACCGTAGTATAGGAATACCATTAGTAAAAGATTCCCTAAGTCTGTCTAGATTCTACAAGTTGCGACAGACAATACATTTGGTCGATATTTTGAGTCGCAATGAAGACAACAAAGATAGGTAGGTATTTAGATAACAAATTTTGGTATTTTTTTTATATATAATAATTTATTAACAATCAGAATTTCATATTCTCAAAGTTAATTTGATAACAAGCACAATAACAAAAACTATAATATTGTACCCTAATATGGCGTTATGAGGTACATGACCCAGCGATTTCACCTCAGTTTCAGCGAAGATCTATGGGCCATAATCTTCGCAATCTTCTGTTGTTTATTGGCTGCAGTATGTAAATACCACGGGGCATTTGGTATGGTGCGTAGAATTTTTGATTGCGTTATTTGGATTATTTTTGTATTTGATTTGCTGGCACAACTCCATAGTTCGATTCCATATGTCCATATAGGTCTGATGACTGTTTTATAAATTAGCAGTTTGTTCTCAATAGAGAGTTGAGATTTTCTACCAATAAGCCAATTAATTTATTTCACTCTCAACTCAATTTGTTTTTTCTTCTTCAAAATTTGCTTCAACTTGCTTTATTTATATTGCTTTGTTACAGATTGTGGAAAGTCAGATGTCTGTACGAGTCAGTAAGAAAAAGATGCCAGCAGCTACCACTAGAAACTAACTTGTGTGTCGATGAGCAAATAGTCCCATTCAAGGGACAAATAAATATAAAACAATATATGAAAAACAAACCCAACAAATGGGGTATCAAAATCTACATCTTGGCTGGCCAGAGTGGACTGATATATGATTTCTTGATTTATCAAGGTTCAACAACGCCCATTAATCCCATTTACGTAAAATATGGATCGGCAGCTGCTGTAGTTATGCAACTTAGTGAAAGAATATCTGAGAAAAACCACGGCCTATTTTTTGACAATTTCTTTAGTACCTATAATTTGATCCAATATCTGGACTCCAAGTCTATATACTGTATAGGAACCATAAGAGTTAACCGGTTTGCCAATCCAAAGTTACCCAGCGATAAAGAAATGAAAACAAATGGGCGTGGTTTTGCTGCTACCGCAATTAGCAAGGACGGTATTGTCATCACAAAATGGTATGATAACAAGGCAGTACTGACAGCATCTAACTTCGTTGGAATTGGAGAGTTGGATGAATGTAAAAGATGGGACAAAACAAGAAAAGAATATGTGCAGATTCCCAGGCCTGAAGCTATAAGACGATACAACAGTAATATGGGCGGCGTCGACAAGTTGGACTTCTTACTAAGTCTATACCGATCCTATGTCAGATCAAAGAAATGGACTGTGAGAATGATCACTCATGCCATTGATTTAGCCCTGGTAAATTCATGGCTTGAGTATCGCACTCAAGCTATTCTTTTGGGAGTAAACAAGAGGGAAATTCTTGATTTGTTAGCTTTTCGCCAAGAAGTGGCCGAAAATCTAACCTGCAGTAGACATGCTCCTAAAAGAGGCAGGCCTTCAAAAAGCTTCGAGGATCCAGGTCCCTCCAAAAAGAAAAAAAACTGAAATAAGGCCTCTAAAAGACCTTAGATTTGATGGATACCATCATCTTCCACAGTATGATGATAAAAAGGAAGCCTCAAGATGCAAAAATGAGGGGTGTAAGAGCAGGACACATATATTTTGTCAAACATGCAAAGTTCATTTATGTATTTTAAAGGAAAGGAATTGTTTTTCCACATTTCATACAAAGTAAATGTTATAATTTATATTACTTTTGACAATGATCTGATTTATAAGAGTTTCTAATAAAAAATTAACACTCAATGGTTTTTTTTATTTCCATGAACTTTGTTTGTACATTGTGATGGACATCCTGTACTGGAAGGGTGGGGGTAGTTAAATTCTTTTTATGTAAAAAAAAATAATCTATAGTGCAACAGTACTTTGTATACCAAAAATTAGAATTTTGTAATCACTCTAAAGGGAAGTGATAGTGAAAGGGTTAAAAAAAATACTTAAATCACCAGATGGTGATCTGTAACAATTTAATATAACATATGAATTATTTTTCTTGTCTTTGAAAGAAGTAATACAATATTCAGAATGTTTATCAACACAATATTGCTTTATCCTAGAGTTGAGTTTGTTATTAAAATTAAGACCTTTTCATTTCACCTTTATCAATTCATAATGATAATATTTTATCGACAAACTCTAAAATATAAATGGATCTCTATGTATAGTGCGCCTATTCACCTAATTAGGCTCCCTATCTCCCTTAGGTTCCCTAGACTCTCAATTTTGTAGAAGAAAGACGAAAACTTAGAAACGGCACATCAAATGCAAAACAAAAAGAAATAGAGATATGAACTATAGATACAACTATAAAACAGTTTTGCAGAAGGGACAGAAATAATTATACTAAAAACATATGTGTACAATTAGAGGAACATGAACCGTCAAGAATCTAGAGAACTTTTCTCAAAAGTCTAGTATATACCGAGAGAATTCAAACCGCAGACACAGATCATCAAAGATAATAGTGAAAATACCATAACAAACCCAGACGGTATCGAAGAGGTGTGGAAACAATATTGCGAAATACTATTCTCTAACAACGACCCAGACAATAATACAGAGAAAAAAAAATTATAAAAAAAACCTCAAATATTGAAATCCGAAATTGACCCGACAATTAAAAAACTAAAATTCAGAAAAGCACAAGGAGAAGATGGAATAACAGCTGAAACGCTTAAAGAAATGGGAGAATTAGGGACGGAAGTAATGCTCAGAATTTGCAATGAGATCTGGAATACCGGAAAGTGGTGAAATGACTGCGGTAAACTCACGTTTATTTCCATATATAAAAAAGGTTTACCGACAGATTGCAGTAATTACCGTACAGTAACATTAATATCAAACGCGAGCAAAGTTCTTCCAACCATCATCAATGTAAGACTAAAATCAATTTTCTTACCACAAATTTTCCAAGAACAATGCGGATTCGTCCCAGGTAGAGGAACAAGGTAAGTCAAGTTTTTGAGGAATGGCAAAGGCAGAGCAACGATAATAGGAAGAAAAATCAAAAACCTACGTTATGCTACTGACACTGTTATATTGGGGTCATCACCAGAAGAACTAGAACAAATAATGAATAGGCTAGGCACAGTAAGTACGAAACATGGTTTGAAAATAAATATGCAGAAAACCACAGTGATAATCATCGATAGATTCAGAAACAATCGAGCAGAAATAAGAAACATGGTAGGTTACGAAGTGGTCAGGCAATTTAATTACTTAGGTTCCGTTATTACTTCGCATCCGTGACGGATGCGAAGAGGAAATCCGTCGACGCATTACAATGGCCATATAGGCAACAGCCAAACTCACAAAAATATGGAAGAGCACTGGCGTCACAAAACCACAAAATTACTCCTTGTTCATATTGCATTGATATTTCCTATCGCCATCTATGCTTCAGAAATTTGGACAATAAAAACAATCGATTCAAAGCGTATAATGTAGAATATTGCGCATACCATGGACCGCCCATCGCACAAATAACTAAATTTTAGCAGAACTTAACATAAAAACTAGACTCATCACAACTATCAACCAAAATATACTGAGCTATTTTCGACATATAACTAGAAGAAGAGAAGGCATGGAACGAATGATAGTTGTAAAGTAAAGGACATGACTGGTGACTCATTTTGCGAAGCAAAACAACTCACACCGGAGAGAGATAATTGAACAGATAGTTAAACAAATTACATGACGCCACTACATCCTTACGAAGAAGAAAAGATAGAGGAAAAGGCTCCCTATTGACCAATAACAGGAATGTAATCGTTTATTTCCATTTCAACGTCTTTTCTCTATGTAAAGAATGGAAAGGAGGAATATAAAATTATATCTAACATCGCCACCTGCTTCAAGTAAGCTTAGATTTGCAGTTCACCTAATTCGTCATCGAAGAGAAGTCTCCTGACTTCCTGTTGCTTCGTATAGAGATCGCTGCTAGCGTACTCAGACATGTTATGTTACTATAACATCCCAATAGATTGTCAGTTTGAAAAAATCAATAATTAACGTAACAAAAACAAAATATATTAATCAATATTTATTTTTCAGAAATCCTCGTGTTCCCTGCAAATCTGGAATAATCCCAAGCTTGGATCTTAGCAAATGGGCACATTTTCCGCAAGAACATGCATTTCAGCTAAATGATATTTTAGGAAAATAGAATTATAACTTAGATTTAATGTAAAAATAGTTGTACAGATGCCATTGTACTAATTTATTTATTGAGCAAATCAACCGAATGTACTTACGCAGAAAAGAATATTTTTTAGTATTATTATATACCTAGATATTATAAAACAGTGCCAACACCTATGTCTAATATTAGTAACTATACAAAGTGTTTACTTAAAAGCTCGTGTATAGCTCAGAATCTTGAAGTAAAAATTTAAGATTGAAACTTAGTGTTATAAGTAATTGTATATTTCTTTGTTACATTAAATAGTTAAATTATTTGTAAATTTTGTCTTACTTACGTTCATGTGCTTCTTTGTTTAATATTTTAACGATATTTACTATACTTTATTCCACGTTAAAAACGGTATGTTTGGCTTATGCAGACCAGTTTGCTAAAACTTATTTTACCAGACTGCCGATATACGAGACATTCTATTCAGAACCGTATTCAGCACTATGTAGATGTAGTTAACTCAATTTCACTAATTTGCGGATACGTGTAGTTGAATCATCGAGCAAAAAGACAAAAGAGGGAATGTAAAGGTAGTGGGGGCAAACATATAGTTAGACAGGAAGTGCTTTAGATGCCACATTAAACAAGGAAAGAGAGTCTCTTTCCTTGTTTGACATCAAATTTAGTTGGGTTATGTTATTGTTTGTCCCAAATGTCACATGAAATCTTATTTATATTGAAGTTTTTTAACAATTGTGTCGCATTTTAGACTCTTATCATTAATAATTAATTAAAACTTTCTCGTCTAAGACACATTCTGAAAAATATTATATAGCTATTGTTAATAACTGTCGGAAAATTTAAATTTGGCGCATTCGCATTTCCGGATATGTCCGCCATCAGAGGCCACTTTTTTGGTCTCCTTTTCATAAGGATTAGATTCCCTCTTTTGTCTTATTGCTCGATGAGTTGAATACAGAATGGAACTTTGTTCTTCAATATATATACTTGCTTCTTCAATAGCCAGATATACTTTTTTGGTCTCCTTTTCATAAGGATTAGATTCCCTCTTTTGTCTTATTGCTCGATGAGTTGAATACAGAATGGAACTTTGTTCTTCAATATATATACTTGCTTCTTCAATAGCCAGATATAGGTATGTAATTATTACAGGTCTGATGAAAATAGTTTAATTTTACTACTTTTGATAGTCATCTTTTTGGGTTTCGTCACTCGCCTATTACGAAAACAATTAAATAAAAACTAAAAATTTTATAAAGTATGGGCATAAAAATCGCAAACTGAATGGGCATAATAAATTGCAAACTGTTTGAGAATAATAAATTGTGTAAGCATAATAATTTGCAAACTAATAGGAAGAAGGCAAGGTGACAGAAGACAAACATGGTCACCACGCCATCAGATAAAGGGATCTAAGAGAGAGCGACTAAATGGAATTAGGTTAGGTTAGGTAAGATTAACAGGAATAAAAGAGAAAATAATGTAGTCAGGCTAAATGAAAATAGAAAGGACGACAATTTTGTTAATTATATATTCAGTTAAAAGATTTCAAATTTTATTAAATAACTGTAATTAAGCATGTAAATTATGGTGCAAAAGATAATAATTATTAAATAAACTCCTTATTACAAAAATGTGTTTAAGTTATTCTTAAATATTTACATCAAATAAATCTTTACTTCAAGAAAATTATTGATAGTTTATAAATAGGTATTGTCTCAATCTTAAATACGCTTACTATCTTCTTGTACGCCATTTAAAAATATTATTCTGTAATAATAGATTTCTTGTATAAATCGATGTACGTGGTAAATAGTATCTAAACACCATCTATCAAAAATGTTCAGTACAAATACCAGAACTAAGCTGAATTCATTTGTATTACACTTCTTTCAAATCAATTTATTCAAACAATAACAATATTACAATACTTTCAAAATACTACTATGCCTTGAACATCGAGCAATAAGACAAAAGAGGGAATCTAATCCTTATGAAAAGGAGACCAAAAAAGTGGCCTCTGATGGCGGACATATCGGGAAATGCGAATGCGCGAAATTTAAATTTTCCGACACTTATCAACAGTAGCTATATAATATTTTTCAGAATGTGTCTTAGACGAGCAAGTTTTAATTAATTATTAATGATAAGAGTCTAAAATGCGACACAATTGTTAAAAAACTTCAATATAAATAAGATTTCATGTGACATTTGGGACAAACAATAACATAACCCAACTAAATTTGATGTCAAACAAGGAGAGAGACTATCTTTCCTTGTTTAAAGTGGCCTCTAAAGATCGCACTTCCTGTCTAACAATATGTTTGCCCCCACTACCTTTACATTCCCTCTATTGTCTTTTTGCTGGATGGCCTTGAACTGTCAACTTCTTGTGTTTATATCATCGAGCAAAAAGACAAAAGAGTGAATGTAAACGTAGTGGGGGCAAAAATATTGTTAGACAGGAAGTGCCCATTGCCATCTTGAGAGGCCACATTAAACAAGGAAAGAGTCTCTTCCCTTGTTTAAGAAATCAAATTTAGTTGGGTTATGTTATTGCTGATGTTTTTGTTTGTCCCAACTGTCATACGAAAGAATATTTGTATTTTCTATTGAAGTTTTTTAACAATTCACATTTTAGACTATTATCTTTATTGCTTAATTAAAGTTTATTGTGTTCTAGTGTTAAACAAAGTATTTTAAGTGTATTATGTATTAATATTACGTAATATTAATATTATGATTTCGGCGCATTCGCATTTCCGGATATGTCCGCCATTTTAGAGGCCACTTTTTTACTGTTTTCTGCCACATTAGCAGAAAACAGTTTCTCTCAATGTTATTAAATTTAGTACCAAATTAGTTTGATCGGGTTCTAATTTTCGTTAATATTGTTAATAATAAATTTTTGGTATTTTTACTGAATATGCTATAATATATTTTCATTTCATCCATCATCTTTTTATTGTATATTTTTGTATAATTTATTTTTAAAGGAAACTAATAAATAATAGTTTATTGTATTGTATATTTTTAATAAAAATCTAAATATGAAGCATAATTTTCTATTATATTTCCTCTTAACTATTATACCAACTAAGTTCCACTGTTGGACACAAACAAAATTGCTTAAGATTTTTACTCAGAATTGTATAAGCGAGAAGAACTTCCAGATCCTGATCGAAATCAAATACGAAAAGTTCAAAATGTAGGCTCAGAAGGCATGTCAACAGAGGAAATAAAATCAGCTCTCTCGGAGATGAAAAACAATAAATCACCTGGCGAAGATGGGATAGTCACTGAACAAATCAAAGAAGGAGGAGGAACGTTAGTAAATGTGTTGAAAAAGATGTTCAATGCTGGTTTGACAAGAGGCGTAACCCCTTCTCAGTGGCATAATGCAATAATAACCATAATGTACAAAAAGGTGACATTTCAGACCTAAAGAACTACAGACCTATTAGTTTGCTCTCAAATAGAACGTGGATACATGATAATACTATCTCCCATAAATTGTTTACAGCTGCTCTTGAATAAATATGTTCAAGCAAATGGAACAAGAGGATATGGGAATTAATATAAATGGGGAAGATCTGAACCACCTAAGATTTGCCGATGACATTGTTTTATTATCTGATAAAACGTTGATAAAACTACAAAAATGCTGCACACGCTCTATAAAGTGTCAAAAACAATTGATCTTAAAATTAACACCTCAAAGACAAAATTTATGACTAATTTTGTAGTCAGCGGGAAAATTCTGATTGAGAGCCATAGGATCGACCAAGTAATAGCTTACAAATATCTAGGGCATGAGATTCACTTAGGCCGAGATAATCAGACAACTGAAATACAAAGAAGAATAGGTCTCACATGGGCAGCTTTTGGTAGATTGAATAACATTTTCAAGTGTATTATCCCAGTTTAAGAAGAAAGGTTTTTAACCAGTGCGTTTTAGCGGTTCTTACATATATGGTGCAGAAACACTGACTCTGACAAAAAGAACAATAGATAAAATAAGAGTTACACAACGCACTATGGAAAGATCAATATTAGGTATTACCATCAGAGATAAAGTACCAAACTTAGAAATAAGAAGAAGAACAGGAGTCACAAATGCAGTTGAAAAAATAGCTATGGCTAAATGAATTTGGTCCGGACATATTGCCAGATTAACGGATGATAGATGGACCAGAAAGATTCGGGAATGGCGACCAAGGCAAGAGGCATATCGAAGCAGAGGACGACCACCGACTAGATGGACGGATGATATCAAGCTCATCACCACAAACTGTAAGAAGCCAAAGATAAGAATAGGTAGAAAATTTGAAGGGAGGCCTACGTTCAGCAGTGGACAAATATAGGCTAATTGATGATGAATCTAACGTTCCACCACTGACTTTGCGTTACAAGAGTTTCCACTATCAGTTTTTATTGTCTTCTTATCTGTTAAAATGGAAATTCGAAATCGTTTTATATATCGAAAGTTAAGATCTTGTAATGTGGATGTATAGTTGCGGTAATAAATATAGTAGAACGCTCACATTTGTAGGTTTTGATAGTTCTGGTTTAAGATATAGTGTGGCGGATGGCACTTACAGGGAAGCTTCCTCTACCGCATGCTTACATTTATATATGATGTATCCTCGTCTGTTAGTATTGGGACCGTGCAAGTTCGGAAGAACGACACCTGGTGTCGTGAATCAGTAAAACTTACTGCGCATTCATGTTAGATCGAGGTTACCGGATAACTGTCAAGGACGTAGCCCCAAAAAAGAATAAGAAGAAAAATTAAGATTGAGGTTATGTCGGTATGTTATTAAAAGGTAAAGATTGTATGTAGTGTAAATACAAATAAATATATTATTAAATTACAGCACTACTGTTAATCATCATCAACTAAAAAATTGACAATTTTTTTGTTGTATTTTTACAATTTATAACACAGCATTTACTAAATCCCATTTTCTTCAGTGACAGAAGGTGTAAATAAAACATCGAGCAATAACACAAAAGAGGGAATGTAAAGGTAGTGGGGGTAAACATATTGATAGACAGGAAGTGCTATTTTGAGAGGCCACTTTAAACAAAGAAAGAGAATCTCTTTCCTTGTTTAAGAAATCAAATTTAGTTGGGTTATGTTATTGTTGATGTTATTGTTTGTCAAAACTGCCACATGAAAGCTTATTTATATTTTCTATTAAAGTTTTTTAACAATTGTTTAACATTTTAGACGATTATCGTTATTAATTAATTAAAACTTTATTGTGTTTTAGTGTTAAAAAAAGTATTTTAATAAATAATTTTAATAAATAAATGGATAAATATATAATATAAAATATTATGTAATATAAAATAAATAAATAGATAAATTAGAACCCCTACACCACTGTATGATTATTGTCAAGTGTCATGAAATTTAAATTTGGCGCATTTCCATTTCCGGATATGTCCGCCATCAGACTCAGAGGCCACTTTTTTGGTCTCCTTTTCATAACGATTAGATTCCCTCTTTTGTCTTATTGCTCGATGAAATAAACCAATGACGTATAATATATAGACGAGTGTCCGAAAGATCTCGGCTCAAGGTTGAAGGTATGTTTATCAGAACAGCGGCGTGCTCATTTATATGTTAATGACAATAATTATTTTTTTAATTAAAATTAAATATTTATGATTTCTTTTTGTTCCCGCCTGTAAGAGAACTAATTATTTTGATAAAATAGTATGGCATTTTACTAAAATAGTAAGTAAATAACTCTCAACAATTTAAAATAAAATTTGCTTGTCACACAAAATGGAGAAAATGTTTTCATTTGTCCATGATGTTTTCAAACACAAGATCAACTTCGTGATGCTTCGTAAGAAATCATGAACTTCGTGCATCTTCGTATCAAAACAATAAACAATAACAAAGGTATTCATGTTTTGGACACTTTTTAAAGCGTTCACCGAGTCTATATATTATACGTCATTGAAATAAACAAAAGAATATGAAATATGACAATTTGACAATTGACAATATGAATTTATGAAATCTATGAAATGTGCAGTAAAAAATGTTAGATTTCTCGGCTACTCGCGCACGATCGTTTCTCGTATCACATCCAAGTACTTGCACGTCGCCAATACTGCAGTTTGTTGGTATCGATATGCTATAAGAATTTTCTTTACAGTAGTAGGCAGCTGCGTGACCATTGGGACAGCAGTTTATGTTCGGACAGGTTGTCTCCAATTTCTTTCTTAATTTTTCTATTGTCTTTTATTTAATATTGTAACAAATAAAACTAGGTAGTAAAAAAAATACTGTATATTAACTGTTTTAAAAAAATATTTACAAAATACTTGGTAAAAAAGTAGGTGTCTCCAAATGCTAAAAATATTTGTAAAACTTGTATGTATTTCTCTTTTCGACTCCTAAAAATTGAGCAATAAAAAAGAAAGTACTGTATTATACTACAAGCTTATGATAAATCCAATGGGTATAAAAATAGATGATTAAAACTTAATTTTAAAACTAATAAGTTAAAAATTTAATCTTCTGTGATCATCGTTTCTGGTACTGTGTGTATAATCACTTTTCTCTTGGCATCATAGACGAAGTTGTTAGATTCGAATATTTGGCTTTGGTAGAACGGCTTTAGATCGTGAATATCGATTTGTTTGGCCTAAAAAATAAAAAATATACATGCAAAAATATAAGATATAAGATATAGTCATTAAGGGAATACAAACAAAAATTGTTAATAAATATTAAAGGAAATACGAAAGTTCACGCATTCGGGTATCAAGAGAGCCACATGAACATGAATTACTATTTTTACTTCGATTAAAATAGGTCAAAAAATTTTTTTAGATACTTTTAGATAAAATACACATAATTGCTTTTAGCTAGAGCTGCTTTTAGAAGGATATCCAAGGTGTTATGTAACAGAGACATCAAATTGGCATTGAGGATCCGCCTACTTCGCTGCTACGTGTTCTCGGTCTTACTTTATGGTATCGAGTCCTGGACTGTGAATAAAATCGATCTAAATCGCCTTGAGGCTTTCGAAATGTGGTGCTATAGAAGAATTTTAAAAGTTTCCTGGGTGGAGAAGATTCGAAACTCCACAATACTAGAACGTCTCAGCAAGACTACTGAGATCATAAAAAGCATCAAGCAGAGAAAGCTGGAGTATTTCATATATATAGGTCCAAAATATAGCTGCTACAAAATATCATGCAAGGAAAAATTGCAGGCAAACGCAGTCCAGGACGAAAGCATGCCATTTAGGGTGGCATTAAATTAAGATAGCTATGATGTTAATCAACGTTCTGAAAGGAGATGGTACATGAAGAAGAAGACATAATTGTCACTCAGGTAGTAAAGGTGTGTATCAAATAAAAGCCAAAAACTCACTAGCATATAAATTTGCATTCATTTATTATTCACTTATCAATTTCATACTAATGGAATTTTAGAATCTGAAGTGATTTTGTAAAACAGAAACAATTAAAATCTCGATTTAAGAGTGTTCAGATAACTTCTTTTAACTTTTGACAGTTCTTTTATCATTTGAATGGACCGCAGGAGTGATGACGTAGATTTGATTGACATCTGTCAGTTTCACTTTCCAAACAAATGTTGTTTAGAATTATAGTTTATTCGTCTTCCGGGTTTGGACCGTGTCATTTGTGAGTGACCCAAAAGTGGGTTCATCTCGACGTTTCGCTACAATTGTATGTAGCTTCTTCAGGAGAACAAAGAAAAAGAAATCAAAATACAGGAAGATGGGTAGTTAGCAACGGTAACTCAGCTACTCAACGCAACCAGAGGCGAATACTAACTACCAAGATGGGCATTTGGTCACAGTAACTCAACTACTTAACGCAGCCAGAGGTGAAAACCGCCTGTCCTGGCATTTGGTTTTTATTCTAAATCTTTCGGCTTTTATTCTAATAGTTACTACAACAAGTTTACAAGGTTTTGTAAATAATAAAGCATGTTGTTTTTATAAAAATAGCAATAAAATGCAAGCATCAATAAAGTAAGGTTAGAATGTTTTTAATGTATACTTTTAAACTATATTTCATAAAAATAGAACACTGAATTGTGATGGTATTATCGTAAAAAACACTATACTTAAAAGAAAAAGTAGTAAAAGAAGCAAAATGTTAACTTTATAGAAATTAAAAGTCTTGAGATTTGACATTTCAACTATTGTTTGGAAAGTAATGACAACAATATGACATATGTGACGTCATACTCCGGCTGTCCATTAATTATTTTTTTTTATGTGTCAAGATTTTATATAACTTGGACGCTTTTAGAGCTTATACGACGATATACGACTTGGACGATTTTATATATTTTTTTATGTGTCAAGATTGGACGCTTTTAGAGCTTAAGGAATGCAGGAAGAAAAAGATGTAACTTCAAAAGGGACATTTTAAACATTGCTGTTAAAAAAAAGTTAGCTAAGATTCCTAAAACAATTTTCTCATTATGGAATTGGCAACTATATAAAAAATAAATGTTGCATGTACAAAGTTGAAATAAAATATGGAACCACGTCTACGAAATACGAAACCTCTGCCCTGATGAACCGAAAATTCCAATGCCTATTCGACTTATGTATATATTTAGTCGTTGTCCAGTATTATCAAAACCTTCAATCTTCGAAATCTATTAAAGAAGCTTTTGAAATTACTCACTACTAATAAGACCTGCTTACCTTATCCATAAGATCTTTCTCGTCAATCTCTATAGTTAGTGCTTCCATTTCTGTGGTATTTCTTTGGAAGGTAAGTTGATCCTGTGCAAGTTGTCTTAATATGTAGAAGAGGAGCTCACTGTGATCCTTCTTAAAGAGTAAATATCTTTGGAATACCTGTAAAAAAAATAAATTACTATAATTTGGAAACTACTCTATTTTATTTGGATTATTTGGATGGCAAAAAGCTAAAAAAATGACAAATTGTGTAAGTTGAAAAATACATATTTAGATATTAGTACTATTATATACTACAGAGTACAGATTCCTTTATCTACCTTATATAAATCTAAATAGAAATTAGAAATAAATGTTTGAAACGCCAGAAATAGTACAATGTACGACAAGAATAATATTCAAAACAAGAACCGGAAAATCTGTAGGTCAGCACCTCAAATTTTTAACAGTAGTTAGTTTTCTTTTTTTTTTTAACCACTAGTTTTGTTTGTCAGATTACAAGTGCGTCATATCCATGATGCTATAACAACAAGATATGCTCACTTGCCGTTCTAATTTTAATCGACTTTGCGCATGACGTCATAGCGAGACAAAGACTAGAGTCTAGCCGTTGGCAGGTCAGTATAATCCTGACCAATCCAATCGCACTTGATTTTGTGTGTAGCGCGTCATTCAAATTATGTACAGGTTTGAATGTAACAGTTCTCATTTCTCATATCACGAAACGTTCTCAGATTGTTCACACAAATAAGGAGTTATGTTTAATTGTTTTGAATACACAGAAACTCATAAAAATGTTGTAGACACTTCAAGGGAAGATAGCAAAATCAAGAAAGATTATAAGAAGTGTCCTTTGTATAATTTTTATTCAAGTTATGTTGCAGAATTGCATTCTCATTTTCAAGAAGAACACAACCTAATCCTAAAAAGTGAAACACTTCAATTTTCCAGTTTAGTCTCTTTTCAGGAGTGGAAATGTTTTTATTGAAAGTAGTACAAAAACCAAATACGTTAGAGTCGAGAACTTTTGCGCAAAGACTCACAAAACAATGACGCGCCACACACATACTCAAGTGCGATTGGATTGGTCAGGATTATCCTGACCTGCCAACGGCTAGACGCTAGTGAGACAAAGCCAGGGACTTGTATGAAATACTGTAGTACTATTGTACTACATCAATGAATAAAAAAATATATCATTCACATTTTGAAATACACAGGATAGCAAACTCGATTAACACAGCAACATAATTAACATGAACACTTGAGCATTTAACTTGCCGTGATTAAAGTTGTCTCGGGCTTACGTCATAAAAACATGCGCGTTGACTTATCTTGTTTTGTTATAGTATCACGTGTCATAACTAAGTAAAAAAGTTTAGGAATAAGCAGTGAGAAAAACTGACAATCATATTGGGAACAATCATATCGCAAAGGAAATTACCTGTCTCATGGATTTCATCACACTATATTTTTGGGTTTCTACGAAGCTTTCTAACATCATCCTTACTGCCATATTAACATCGTCTTCTTGTACATATTCCCTTAGGTGCATTTTGGCGTGTGCTTCGCTCATTCTAATAATACTTTCAATATGACGGACGGTGATTGGTAAGGAACCAGTAGCCTAAAAGGTATACATTTAGTTATATGACAAATTAACAATAAATCATTTGTATAATCTTTTATGAGAATATTAACACATTTATGGAAAAGAATCAGACTTTTATCAAGCATGTGACCTTAAGATAGGTCATTTAGGTCACGTGTTCGCTAATTTTTATTGTATATCTACGCCACAAAACGCTATTTTTGCCCTTTTAGGTTACGATATCTCAAAAACCAGAGCCAATCTGGCAAGTTGGAGCTCGGATTCACGTCCAGCACACAAAAAAACTTCAGAAAATTATATTCTGATCTCTGTCTCCGAATATTGTTCAAATTTTTTATAATTATATGGTTTTGCTTGTTTTTTAAAACTAAGAAATTTTAAAATACGATATACCAGCGAAAAAAAAGATATTTGAGTAAACTAAACGCCATTTAAAAGATTGAGACTTATGCTTTAAGATAGTTAACCGTTTTTGGGAGAAAAAATATATTACGACGCTGCATAACCTCAAAAACGTCCAAAAACCACTATTTTGCACTTTTAGGTTAGGGTATCTCAGAAATCAAAGCGAATTTGACACTTTCTCAGCTCAGGTTTGAATTCAGCGCAAAAAAAAACCATCTAAAAAGTATATTCTGATCTCTGGGTGCGAATATTGATCAAATTTTAATATAATCACATGATTTGCAGATTTTTTAAAACTAAGAAATTTTAAAATGCAATATATCAGCGAAAAAGATATGAGTAAACTAAATGCCACTTAAAAGATTGAGACTTATGTTTTAAGATAGTAAACAGTTTTTGGGAGAAAAAGTATATTACGACGCTGCATAACCTCAAAAACGGCAAAAACCACTTATTTTTCCCCTTTAAGTTTAGGGTATCTCAGAAATCAAAGCGAATTTGACAATTTCTAAGCTCAGGTTTGAATTCAGCGCAAAAAAAAAACATCTAAAAAGTATATTCTGATTTCTGGGTGCGAATATTGATCAAATTTTGTTACAATCACATGGTTTGCAGGTTTTTTTAACTAAGAAATTTTTGAGTAAATAAAACGCCATTTAAAAGATTGAGAATTATGCTTTAAGATAGTTAACAATTTTTGGGAGAAAAAATATATTACGATGCTGCATAACCTCAAAAACGGCCAAAAAACACTATTTTTGCACTTTTAGGTTAGTATATCTCAGAAACCAAAGCAAATTTGGCAATTTGGAAGATCAGATTTGGATTCAGCCCAAAAAAACCAGCTGATAAGTATATTCTGATCTTTGGGTCCAAATATTAGTCAAATTTTATTATAATCACATGATTTGTAAGTTTTTTTAAACTAAGAAATTTTAAAATGCGATATAGCAGCGAAAAAAAAGATATCTGAGTAAACTAAACGCCATTTAAAAGATTGAGACTTATACTTTAAGATTGTACAGTTTTTGGAAGAAAAATTATATTACGACGATACATAACCTCAAAAACGGCCAAACACCACTATTTCTGCACTTTTAGGTTAAAATATCTCAGAAACCACAGCGAATTTGACAATTTGGAAGCTCAGATTAGAATTCAGCGCAAAAAAACATCTGAAAAGTATATTCTCACCTCTGGGACCGAATATTGCACAAATTTTGTTGGCCTGTATTATGTTATATAGTGCCATGGAAATTTTAGATGAACTAACATTTTTTAGAATGTAGAAGAATATATATACTTAGGACAAAAAATAATACTAAATAGGGAAATTCAAACTGAAGAAATAAAAAGAAGAAGAAAGTTAGCTTGGGCAGCTTTCTGTAAACTGAACTATATACTCAGAAATCAACAAATTCAATTACATCTTAGATCTAAAGTTTTTGATGCATGCATTATTCCGATATTAACTTATGCGGCACAAACATGGACAATCACAAAACAGAATATGAATATACTTTCATATCAACACGCGGTGGAAAGAGCAATGCTAGGTATATCACTTAAGGACAAGAAAACAAACACATGGATAAGACAGAAAACCAAAGTCACAGATGTGGTACAAAAATCATGAAAGTTGAAATGGGAATACGCTGGACATATAGCTAGGAGCGATCTAAACAAATGGCACAGATCAATTTTAACCTGGAGACCATACCAACACAAAAGACCCAGAGGCAGACCTCCTATGAGATGGACAGATGATCTGAAAAGGAGTGCCGGGAAAAATTAGCTACAAGTAGCGTACAATAAAAAACAATGGAAAGGAAGACTTGAAGAGGCTTGTGTTCAGATGTGGACGTGAATGGCTAGACGAAGAAGAAGAAGAACATTTTTTATTTGTTTTTGCTCTGGATATTTTGTTGTCTAATTTTTTGTTGTCCTCTCCAATATTTTGGTTTTGTTCTGGTTTTTTACTTCGATTTCCAGCACAAGCAACATATGTTGTTGGCTCACATTTATGCAAACATGTTGTTTTCTTATAGCAATATAAACTCAAAGAAGTAAAAATTACTATGAATTTGTGGCGTTCATCAAAAAGAGCTAAAAATCTCCTTACTTCGAATAGCCCAAACCAAATTTTTACAATTTTTACTGAGAATAAACCAAAATTTGACTTAAAATTTGTTATTCCTAAAAAATATTGTAAAACAAATGTCACAAAAAACAAAAATATTTTCAAATAAGCTCTATAAAAAAAATTGTTTACCAAAGATTCTTGTCTCAATTGACTATAGATATTAGCAACTTTATCTTGATCCATGTTTTGTAATTTTGGATGAATATTCTGTCTAGCATACACTATATACTTCTTTAACATTTCTTGTGGAATCTGCATCTCATTTTCTGGTTCCTCGGGTAATTCCTGTTCTTTCTTTGACGGATGGTGACGAATATGTGAACCGACTACAAATCTAAAAAACATAAATCTTGTTACTTATTGGGAATAAGCCATAATTTGACTTTAACCCTTTAAGCCTATGTTTATTATTATTGGAACTTGGGAAGTCCGGATAGAAGGGCCAACTATATTGCTTCTCTAATTAACATAAATCCAAAGAAAACAGAAAAACTAGAACCAAGAGAATGTTTATATAAATATAGCACCATTATTGCTGACATACAAAAGTAAATTTGTAAAACTTGCTTCATTGCAACCCTTGGCGAAACTAAAGGATTTATTGAGATAGTGAGTGAAAAGAAAAAAATGTATTTTCTGGAATTATTTCCCCTAATAGACTTGAAATATCGCCTTCGGGTAATAAACGCTTTGCGGAAGAAATTCAAAACATCAAAGATCACATTTTGTCGTTTCCTAAATATGAAAGCCACTATTGCAGAAATATGACATCTAAAAAGTACTTGTCTAATGACTTATCTACTTCTAAAATGTTTGACATGTACAAAAAAACAGATAAATCGTCTCATTAATCTTATACAAGAACTATTTCTACAGTTTGAACTTGTATTTAAAAAACGCGATATGTGATATTTTCAAAACAATTAAAACATTAAAAGTTCTTGAAGAGGGAGAGGAGAAAGAGATTTGAGAAAAGAGAGCGATAAACACCATCAGCTCGCAGACGGTGCCCATAAGGGGAAGCAGGTGGATAAGGAAGTTGTGTCTTCAGACACTAAAAAAAGAGCATACCACATAAAAAGAGTATCAACCAAATATAAATACTTATTCTTACCTAGCTAAATGTTGATCTTGAATGGGATCCACTTCATCCCTTACTACACATAATATATCAAAACGAGACAAAATAGGATCGGATAAATTAACGTTTTCGGCAAAAGTCATACTGGCATCATAACGTCCACCGATAGGATTACTAGCGGCGATTACTGAACATCTTGCTTGAAGACTGGTGACTATACCCGCTTTTGATATGGAGATAGACTGTTGTTCCATGGCTTCGTGAATTGATGTACGATCTTGATCATTCATCTAAAAAATTAATAAATCAATTTAACCAGTTGTTTTTTGAATATAAATGAAAAGAGCTTCGAACTAAATAATATTAAGACTTCAGTGTCGAGTGGTATAAAAAAATGTTTTAACGAAGACGGGAGTTTTATATCAGATACAATTGTAAAAAAACAGTCAAAGTTGGTGACTAAATGTTCACCTGAGAGGCCTAACAATTCCTCTCTCGAGTAAGATATAGTAGGTGTTGAAAAAAAGACACATAATTGTATTGTTAGATTAACCATTCTTATTCTAAGTAGAGAGTTAACTCACATATCAAAAGATTAATTGGGATAAAGGAGTCTTTTTTGGATTTTTGATAAGTTGCATAAATTTTTTTACTATTTTTGATTGCGATCAAATATAATTTAATGATGTGTCAAAATGTCTTCATTCAACCAAAAAAAAATAACATTAGAAATAATAATATATGGAGATCCTACAGGGTAAACTCATATGAAGAAAACCATTAGCAACATTGTCAGCAGACTTTTATCTAGTCTAATAAATGTTAGCAGACCAAAGCTAATAGTCAAAGATAAGTGGATTAGACACTGCCAGAAGAGGAAACAAGCACATTTTCAATAAAGATAGGATCAATGAACCAAGGTGCAGGAAATACAAAGTGGAGGAAGAAATCGCCATACATGTCCTCTGAATGATAAATCTTTAGTGATATGAGGCGGATATACACGGCAAAACAAGTATTGAGTTAGCAAAAATACCTTGATAGCTTTTATTAAGAGTAAGTAAAGGGTAAGGTTTAGAATAAAGGTCTGACGACGAAGTACTGGAGGCAAGTAGAATCTCTCTCGATATGAAGGAAGTTACATAATTTTTAGCTTATAAATTATGTTTTTACTATTTTTACTGGAAATTTCATTAGTGCTTTGAAGAAGAACGATTTCCAAAGTGGAAACCCAAAGGTCAAAATAAAATTATTTTAAAGTAAAATTGTGTTAAGTACAGTAATACATATTCAATAAAAATAGTAAATAGCTTTTAGAACAATATTAATTACATTTTGAATTATACTGAATAGAAAAAAAAAGTGTAAAATGCAATAAACATTATAAGTCTTATCATTACCTTATCAAACTCATCAATTAAACAAACACCTTGATCTGCCAAAACCAAAGCACCGGCTTCCAATGTCCATTCTCTGGTCGCAGCATCCCTTCTTACGTAAGCTGTCAAACCTACAGCACTGGCACCCTGGCCAGTGGTGAAAACTGCTCTTGGAGCAATTTTCTCTACGAATTTTAAAAACTGCGATTTAGCAGTACCTGGATCTCCACAGATAAGAACGTTTATGTCACCTCTAACCTTATGTTTGTCACCTAAAATTGCAAAATTCATTTATTGGACATACTTGATTGTTGTGAACGTTATTGGAAATATGTATTACTAAAATAACTTCCAGACTATCTGTGTATAGAAAACTATTTACTAAAATTGCCCAGAGCAAATAAAATGGAAAGAAATGAAAAAAAAACTTCATTCTTCAAAAATTTCAGGAAATATTACCATCTAAGTACTATATAAACACTTAATAAGCTTAATAATTGCCAAAACCGTTAGATAGTAAAATGTAGGGCCAAAATGCAATGAACATCAAAATGAAAGCCACCAAGAAGTTGGGAGAGTCCGATTAAAGCAGACAGGCAAAGCAAGAAGTATGTCAGAAGGTGTGCAGCATCTGAACACCAATGTTGGAAGGCAAGAATTAGAACCCAAAAAGCTGTACAGCCAATTTGGGCTGTACCATCATAGTGAGAATAAGATGTCACAGAAATCAACATGACCAAACAAAATATAAATGCCTGGAGAACCCAGAATAATAACTACTAATTTTGACAAGTAATTTATTAATTATCAAGTTTTTTTTAAGAGGATAGTCTATATTTACAAATTTATCAAAAATTAAGGCAATGGAAATGGACTAATGGAGACGGTGTTGCTGGCACACTAGACTTGATGGGGTGAGGAACATAGACTAGGAGAGAAATGGAAATTGACCTAGACACTATCGAAACCAAATGACTAAACTGGTCAAAAAAAAGAACTGCGCCCACTAGAAGAAAATGAGGTAGACCAAGATGGTCATGAAAAGAGAAGATGTCGAAGATGCAATGACTTCCTTATTAAAAACTGAAGATTGCTTTAACAGAAAACGCTGGAAATTAGGATGCGAGAAAACTCACCTATTATATATGTCTATATTTACCTGGATTTTTAGATTCTCCTCCGAAAAGAGACATAGCTAACGCCCTTTTAATAAAATCATGTCCATATATAGATGGCGCTATAGAGGTTAAAATCCTATCAGACACCCGATGATCTTTACTCATCTTAATAATAGAATTAATGTCATCATCTGTTAAAGATTGAACGATCTGCTTGCAGTCCTTGACAATCAAATAATTAGCTAAAATTACAGTGGAAAATACTGGGAAACCATTATCAGTATTTAAGGAACCATCATAGCTGTTAGTATAGATTCCGGTAATATCAACTTCATCGCCAGGTTTACAGCGGTCGCACAGATCTGCCAAGAGAATGCAATCTTTTGATCTGGGTACCCTACCTGCGGGAATACGACCAGGAGATTCTTGTAGAGTGATCTTCTGGTAGTTGCGATAAACTGTTTGTTCCATATTGATCTAAAATTTTAAATACTGAGTTACAAGTAGTTCTCTGAGAAAGACTCAAGGAGAGATTAGCTGTTTTTGGTATTATAATGAACAACTTAAAAATAAAATTTTACGATCTGCAAAAATATATTAAGTTTTAAAAGCTCTAAAATCTCAAATCTACAGATATTATATACAGTAATTACCATAAATGGTCCATGACTCTGACACTGTGGGCAAGCATTGGGTTGAACTTCTGATTCTTGTGTTTGTGTAAACGGTCCTAATACAAATCCACATTTTCCACAATCAAATTTGACAACAGACAGTTGGGGAAGAACACCTGTCGTTGCAGTTACTACACCCAAAGTTCTTACAAGTTGATTTACATGAAGTTTCCTAAAAAACAATCAACAATTACTAAACTTTGTACATTCAGTACTCAGTAGACTACAAGATAAGTTAAAATAATATACTTCTTTTACACATATTTTATACAAGAATGAATTATCAGATAAAAAGTTATTTCTGTACTATCTTGTCAATATATCGCACCCTCAGTGCAAGACTGCAGTAAGTCAGAATAAGTAAGTTTCGAGATAAAGGATGATTTTGTTTATTTTCATGCTAATATCGGTGAAATAAGACACAATTTTTAAGAAAAATTAATCATTAATTATGATTTTGCATGCTTTTCAGACTATATTACATTAACCAAAAATAGAAATTTAAATAAAATGTTTCAAAGTTACAACACTTTTGCACAGAGAAAATTGTTAATCACTACAAATTTAGTATTAGAATTTTAAAGTTACAACACTTTTAGACAGAGAAAAATGTAAAAAGTGTAGACACATTTTCTGATAGTAAAACTGTCAATATTTTTATTTAAATTCAAATCAAAAAGACTATAATAAAAATATGCAAATCAGACTACCTTGAGTACAGTGATTAACAATATTGGATTGAAATTCACTACCTTAGTAAAAGTTGGGAATTAAGGGGGGACAATATGATAAGACAATCGCCCTGGAAGGTTACATGAAGATTTAATACAATTTGGGATTTACTTTTTATAGAACAAGTTTTCTGAGAATAGATATTTTTAACCTGTCAGTATTGTTAATAGACAAGTTTTAAGATAACTGTTTTTCCTTTCAAAAGAAAAAATACTTTTTGGCTGTAAATAATTAGTCTTAATTTATGTGTTTTTAATCCAATCTAATAAATAAATGGTCAAACGACATCGCACACATTTTATGGAAAATATGTCACATAAAGGACATACAACTAACATAAATAGATTGGCCTCGTAAATCTTTGTTTATTGTCTTGGCCGTTAATAGATTACATAGACAAGCTGTATATTAAAACTAACTATAGATATAGATATTAAAATAACAAATATCTTACTTTTTTCGTGCCTTTCATTGCTTCTTATAGAAATCATTGCAATGTTTTGTGCAAAACTGTTGTAACTCTGTTACATTAGAATTACAACAGTTTTGCACGGGACTTATGTACAAAAATGCAAAATAGTTACACAGTTGTTGTAATATTTAGCCGGTTAAGCATTTGAAAGTTACTAAAGTTTTACAGGGGATAGATATGCATGTTTACAATCGAATTCCATGATTACTTCATTTTCATAAAATTTTGAGTTACTGCAGTCTTGCACTGAAGGTGCGATATGTGATATAGTAAAATCAACTATCCTTAATGTACTTTTTCATTACATGTACTTACCTAAAAGTACGGAGTTCTTCAATAAGTGGTAAATCAGAAATTCTAACATGAATTTCGTTAGTAACTCTGTCGTAACTTGGATACATTGAAAGAACTATATCCTTAGCAACTTCATCAAAAACTTCTATCATCTGAAATGGTGCTTCAGGCAAAAAATAAGCCAATACATGTTCCTTGTGAGCCAAACTAGGAAACTCAACATTGAAACTAGACTGAAAATTAAAAAATATATTAGAAATCAATTTTCATGTTACCTATAAAATTAAATTAGACAATAAAATATCGGAAGGCTTTAATCTTATATACTAAAACGCTAAGCCCTGTTCTTGTCCACCACTTTACTCAAAAACCATATTAGATAATTAAAATATTTTTTCGGAATATTATTAGTATTACGTATGAGATTGTCAAGATATGCTTTTGATACAAAAATTCACTTCTGGTTTTGAGATGACCTGAAGTTAAAATTTACTAAAAGTTTTAGACCCCACAATGTATATATGGATCGAAAGGTCTCGTCGAGACGAATCTAAATATGTACTTCCGGTTGCGATCCGACACCGGAAGTGACCCAAAACGCGCATAAAACGTCAAGATAGAGCAAATCTGACACTGGATTTGTGATCAGCATGCAAAATTAACTGCTAAATGATATCCATGTCGACATTTAATGAACTAAAAATTGCATTCCGGTTTTGAGGTCGACTTCCGCTTTTGTTTTTATTAAAAATTAAAAAGTAAAAGTTGACATAACTCCCAGTACCAAGCAAAAGTTTTCAGAAAATGGAGACATTGTAACAAACAACATTGTTTTGGACGAAATGTTTCGTGATATTTAATACACTTTTTACTTGCATTATTATTGATGAATGTTATGTATATTCTTGCTTATATTGTTTGTATTGATGTCTTAATTTTTCTCGCAAAATAAAAATTTCATTTAAAAAACTCGATGTTGAGTTGGTCCGCTAGTGATTTTAATAAATTCATAAATAAATAAAAAATGTACCTGGTTATTCTCACACATTCTTCTAATTTTATCCTTGTAGATATATTGACCTTTACTGTTAGTACAAGTTCTCAAGAAGTTTTTAAATCTATTTGCAATTTCAGTTCTTGGACCAATCATAACAACCCATTCTTTAATTGTATATCCTTTGGTATCTTCTAAGTTTTCGATTGATTCAATCATTTCAGCATCAGCTTCTTCCCCGGCAGCAGCCTTTTCTGCCTCTTTACGTCTTCTTTGCCTGGGATCCTCTTCATCGTCATCTTGATCATAAAAAAGTTCTCGATCATCTCTTCTAATTATACCCAGCTCCCTTGAGAATGACAGAAGAAAGATTTAAAAATAGTAATACATTTATCATAGAGATTTAAAAAATCACACATTAGAAAAAGTCAAGACCAAGTATAAAACTCAATAAAACTGATGATAGCATGAATGGAGAGCAGGGAAATGAATTTGTTTCAAAAACAAATAGTCTTCGTAATCTAACGTTAAAACACTGAAAACTTTTGTTTTCAACACTTCCACAAAAATTTATTTGTCCCAAGTTCATAACTATATCTGTATCTTTTAATATGTTGATTTTCATAGATTATAATAAAGATAGCTTAAAGTCTATGAAATTGGTCATTAACAGAATGATTATAGTCTAAAAGGTAAAGTGCATACATACGGAAAGTACTTTTGTGTTCTGCTGCATGTTTGTTAAAAGTTCTACCAATTTGACCTATGTAAGTTTTTGGGCAGTCGCCACAGTCTCGTTAGTATTATTTAATTAGGCAAATGATTATTATTGATGTTATATTTTTAAAGGTACAGGAAAGAAGTTATAGCATAAAATTTAATGTGTAAGACAGCAATTAGTAACGTTAATGTTTTGTGAATTATTTTAGTACTTCAAATTTTATGCACATATATTGCAATATGGGACGCCCTAAAAATGACCGCCTATACATACCTGTCTCTTCTCCGTAGTTCTTCTTCAGCAGCAAGACGTTCTCCAACAGACATTTGGTCATAATCATCCTCATCTAATATACGGTCATCATAACGATCTAGATGGGGCATGGGACGATAATCGCTAAAATTTTACAGAACATTTAGAAAGTTAAAATTTCCAAAACCTGACAAAGCATTTGTAAGAAGTAGTAGTAGTTACTTTTCCATATTATCGCCAAACAATTCTTCTCCATCTTCTTCTTCAATATCAGAATTGATATCTCCAAGTAAAGCACCTTCATCTTCAAATGGGGCCAGATCTGGACCAGGAGATGACACATTTGAACGAGGTGTTGGCATTGGTGATTCTTCAGGCTAAAATTAAAAATTATTAATTTTAAATATATTTAAATAATTGAAATGCAGTCTACTTACCCTATCAGACATTTTCGCTAAGATAAAAACAAATAAAATAATTTAAAACACAAACAAGTTTTACCAAACTACAAAGATCAGAATTGGCGCGAAAAGTCGGGATTATAACCTAATAACATATCTGGCGAGTTCTTCTTTTTTAATTCTTACTTATGAGAACCAATAGTTAGGAAATATATATAAATATTATGAATAGGTTTGTAATAGAAATACGCTAAATTGTTTTAATTATACTTTAGTTAGTATTATATAACTAGCTTTGAATTTAAAAATTGATATATTTTACTATTAAGATACTGAGTGCAACTCTAAAATTCGCAACCTATTTTTTTTATTTGCTGTCAAATAAAATTAGTTTCGGCCCGTCCGTATGTGGCGCAAGGAATGCTCTGTTAGATCTTTCTATTCAATTTACCGTCCTGCTATGTACTCTGCTCAAATCAAAATCAAACTATGATCAAACTGTCACTTTCATTTTAGAATTAACAAGTTTATTCCCGCCCAATTTAATCGTGGTATTTACTAGTATTTATGAATTAATTTTCAAACAACGTCTGAATCATAAACATAAAATGTGGGGAGACTTTTCAAGTACGTATAATATGATATATTTTGTAATCATTATTATAAGTAACATATTTTAGGAGGAAATGATTCTGCTGCCGGTGGCTTCTTAAACACCACAGCTAATCAAGAAACCACTGAAAACAAAGGGGTAAGTAAGTTAAATAAAAACAAGAAAACTGCAGGGGAGGATTGTTGTATCAATCTGAAATTTTTACAATTATGCCTATTTGTAATTTCAGGGTGTTAAAAGATCTCAAAATGTTGTACCAGTGGTAATCCAACAAATTAGAAACTGTAAAGATGAAGATTTCACATTATTTGGAACACCAGTTCAAATCGTAAGATACTGAAATAATTTATGTTGTGTTGGTTTTTTATTGAAAAGTTTTTTCTAGATTAAGTTGGTTGGAATTTTAAGAAGTGTTGAAATCTTATCCACAAAAGCTACTTATACTATAGAAGATAGCACAGGTTCTGTTAAAGCCATCCTGTGGTTGGAAAATGATGGAGATGCTGCTACAAATTTACCAAGCGTTAAAGAAGACAGCTATGTTCAAGTTTTTGGATCTCTTAGAAATCAAGATAATGAAAAAATGATTATGGTTCTTAGAATGTTTCCTGTAGATGATTGCAATATAGTTACTACTCATTTGTTAGAAGCTATTTATGCCAGATTGCAAGCAGAAGCTGACAGCAAAAAAATGGTAAGACTAATTATATATTAGTGATAATATATGTAATTTCTACTAAACTTACTATATATAACTTAACACAAATTTATATTCACTTTTATACTTAAAAAATAATAACAATATGTACTTATTTGAAGGTTACTGATATAAAAGTTAATAATCCTGGTGCAGCTTTGGCTAACTCAATGAGCTTTGTTGACCAATATGATAGTGGTACATCAGGATTAACTCCAATACAAGAAAAGGTATTCAAGATACTTCAAACAGATCAGACATTAAATGGAATGAGCAGAAGTACTTTACTAACTAATTTTCCTCCCAACCAGCATAAACAAATCAAGTAAGTAAACTATTAATTATTTTTTAGTAGTAAATTGTGTCATAAATGGAAAAAAGTAAATAGTACAGTCACTGAATGTTTTCACTCCGATTTCGTTCGAACTTCCATTGATTTTAATAAAAATTGGTGAGTAGTGAGATGATACCTTAAGAAACAAAAGTGACATGGTGTCAACTTGCGCTTTTACTTTGGGGGTGGATGCCACCCTTCTCGGGGGGTGGAAATTATTTTATTAAAAATAACCCTAGGAATCGATAGATGTATGTAAACAAAATTTATCTTATAAAGTTATTAAAATAAATCCATACTTTTTGAGCTATTGAAGATCAAAGATTTTGATTTTTGTGAAAAAAAGCAGTTTTTCATAAATAACTCAAAATCTGCAAGTTTTTATAAAAAGTTGTCATTATCAAAATTGAAGCTAATAAAAAATTGAATAAATTCCTTGTTTCAAAAACCTTTTAGTATTAATTCAAAGTGAGTTATAGGTAATTAAATGTATTTTTTTTTTTTCGCCAAGTACTCAAATCTGAATATTCAAGCTTAAATAACTGAAAAACAATGCATTTTATAAAACATACTTATTGAACAATTTTCAAAGTACTCAGAAATACTGAGTACTTTGCATACTGTTGCATATTGCAAAAAATAGAAAAAATTATTGTAAAAAAATCAATATTTTTTTAGAAAATTTTTTGGAGTAGAGATTTTGTATGTATCTCTCTCTCTTGTCGTTTCCTCATTGCTGAGGATCGTGATTCCCTACAATGCGGGCTGTCAATTCTCTCCATCTCTTGCGATTTTGGGCTGCTCTCATGGACTCGGAAAACGTCTCTCCAGTGGCTTTCTGTACTTGATCTGACCATCGGATAGGTGAGCGTCCTCGGCCTCTACGTCCTTCTACGTTTCCGCACACAATTAGTCTTTCTAAGTTGTCATTGTCTCTTCTCGCAATGTGGCCAAAAAACTTTAAAACATTTGTAAGACACTGAGAGGAGAGTCTGGTCTGAATGTTTAGCTCTTCGAGAATCGACTGATTGGATCTGTGCTCCGTCCACGAGACGCGTAGCATTCGTCTCCAGCACCACATTTCGAATGCGTCAATCCTTTTCCTATCCTTTTCCTTTGTATGTATATATAGGAAAAAAGATAGGTAATAAGAAGTACGTACTGCAGAATATTATTGTACGGAAGTGCAAAAGATGTGAATATGAGTAAACTACAACGCATCGAAGACCTATCAGCTTATCTGGAACAGATGCGTAACGAGTCCATTATTAAGGCTACCACTAAAAATAGTGCAGTAAAGTTTTCATCTCTGGTCCCAACAGCTGCTCCATTAGATGAAGATATCAAAAGAGTTTATGTACAAACCCAGATATGGCTTGGAAACAAAGACATTCATCCAGTTAACTGGGGATGGTGCAAAATTGAAGAGTCTTTGTTTCCAACTAAAAATCCCAATCCACCTGCTCCAGATGAATTGTTAAAAATAATTTTTTGGTTGAGGGTTGAAAAATTAATTAAAATCATAAATCATGCTTATAAATGTTGCAAAATATTTATTTTATTTAAATAATCGAGATTACTTATGCCATAATGCTTAAATTTGCATTTTTTACCATTTTTAACAAAATGGGTGGATTTCACCCCTAAAATGCAAAACGCGCAAGTTGAGCATATGTCACTTTTGAAGTTGGGGGTAAAATATACTTAATCCCAAATTTTCATGCAAATCGATGGAGGTTCGCCGAAATCAGAGTTAATAGTTGATTTTTACCTTCATTCACTGTACTAATATTAAAGAACCATCATTTGAGTCTGATTATTTTGTATCTCATAGTTTGCATCATAGCTTCTTTCATCTATATTTTGTCACTCACTGATTCATAATTTTATTTTTGTTATATAACTTCTGCAGTTGGCTTGGTGTGTTTTGGTAAATATCGGAGAAGAATGTATACTTTTATGCATCTTTCACTGATATTTGTATTTACTATAAGGGAGAGCGCCCACCAAAATGGCGTGGCAGTGGCAAGTAGCACGCGTCTAGCATAATGTAACCAATGAAAACGAATGATTAGAATGAATGACGTTACTGTCATTCTGGTGTAAACTGAATCATTCGTTTTCATTGGTTACATTATGCTAGACGCGTGCTACTTGCTACTTGCCACTGCCACGCCACTTTGGTGGGCGCTCGCCCTTAAAGACATATTTTACAGTGATGTATTTATTTTCCAGTGAAGCCTTGCAGTTCTTGAGCAACGAGGGACATGTTTATTCCACACTTGACAGTGACCATTTTAAAGTAACTACAATGTAAATATATTATGTTGTATTTATCATTGTGTTAATTAGATAGTAGTTTTTAGAAACATTTGTAAACTAATAATGAATAAGTATATGTTATTTTTGTAAATTATTTTTGTAGATTTATTATTACAAACTAAACAAACCTGGATTATGGGCAACTGTTAATTTCTCTTGTACACTATAAGATTGCAAAAATCTGCCTGAAATACAAATCTGGATTCAATACAACAGGTTATTATATTGGTAGAAGTTTATTTATTCAAAAATAGGGAAAGCCCTAATACATACAAAATTAATCAATTTATAACATTTATACATAAGATAAAAATAACAATTACACTTAAAATATAGTATCTACACTTATTAAAAAATATAAAACAATAATATATAACATAAACCTGAGAACAAAACAACTACCTAACTATTGGTGCTTTTAATATGATCCATTAATTTGCTTTTAAACATTTATATAGATGAACAAATTTTGAATATTTATATAGATTTTGATTATTAAATACAAGCATTTGTATAGATGAACGGCTTTTCATTGGCCGAAACTGCCTCCTGTGTGGGGTAGTTTCGGCCAATTGTACAAAAATTTAATAATACAAAAATATGAGCCAACATTATGTCTAGATTTTTTTTCTCTTTTAAAATAAGTTCCTAATGAGTTAGAGTTTCATCAAAAAATATTGTTTTCTGAATTATGTAACCAGTTTTTTTAAATTTGGCTTCTGAAGACCAATATGCCGAATGTGGACCACTTTCCCTTATCATTAAATGCATTTTCAAATTACCTTTTTGAAAAAAACTGTTTAAAACAAAATATCAGGCTATTCAAGGCTTATTCTCTTTATGTGTTGTCAAATGAATTTTCAAATTACCTTTCTGGGAAAACTGTTTAAAACAAATATCACACTTGTAAGGTTTTTCTCCAGTGTGTACCATCAAATGCATTTTCAATTGACCTGTTTGGGAGAACTTCTTAAGACAAATATCACATGTAAAAGGTTTTTCTCCAGTGTGAACATGCAAATGGTTATTCAAAGCAACTTTATAAGAAAACTGCTTAAAACAAATATCACACTTGTAAGGTTTTTCTCCAGTGTGAACACGCAAATGGTTATTCAAAGCAATTTTATAAGAAAACTGCTTAGAGCAAATATCACACTTGTAAGGCTTATCCCCTTTATGTGTTGTCAAATGATTTTTCAAATTATGTTTCTGAGAAAACTGTTTGAAACAAATATCACACTTGTAAGGCTTATTCCCTTTATGTGTTGCCAAATGATTTTTCAAATTACCTTTCTGAGAAAACTGCTTGAAACAAATATCACACTTGTAAGGTTTTTCTCCAGTGTGTACCATCAAATGCATTTTCAATTGACCTGTTTGGGAGAACTTCTTAAGACAAATATCACATGTAAAAGGTTTTTCTCCACTGTGAACATTCAAATGGTTATTCAAAGCAAGTTTACAAGAAAATGCTTAAAACAAATATCACACTTGGAAGGTTTTTCTCCAGTGTGAACACGCAAATGGTTATTCAAAGCAAGTTTAGAAGAATATTGTTTAAAACAAATATCACACTTGTAAGGCTTATTCCCTTTATGTGTTGTCAAATGATTTTTCAAAGTAACTTTCTGAGAAAACTGTTTGAAACAAATATCACACTTGTAAGGCTTATTCCCTTTATGTGTTGTCAAATGATTTTTCAAATTACTTTTCTGAGAAAACTGCTTAAAACAAATATCACACTTGTACGGTTTTTCTCCAGTGTGTACCATCAAATGCATTTTCAATTGACGTGTTTGAGAGAACTTCTTAAGACAAATATCACACTTGTAAGGTTTTTCTCCAGAGTGAACACGCAAATGGTTATTCAAAACAAATTTATAAGAAAACTGCTTAAAACAAATATCACACTTGTAAGGCTTTTCCCCAGTGTGTGTTATCATAGTATGTTTCTTCAATATACTTGCATGATAAAACAGCTTGAAACAAATTTCGCACTTATAAGATTTTTCTCCAGAGTGTGTCAGTAAATGTATTTTTAAATTACTTTGTGAAAAAAAAGGCTTAAGACAAATTTCACACTTGTAGGGTGTTTCTCCAGTGTGTATTGGCAAATGTAATTTCAACTGGATTTTCTGCGAAAACTGTTTAAAACAAATATCACACTTGTGAGGCTTAGTGTGTACTCTCAAATGTTTTTGTAAATAACTTTGTGTAGAAAACGGTTTAAAACAAATTTCACATTTGAAGGGTTTTTCTCCAGTGTGTACTGTCAAATGATATTTCAAATAACCTTTATGAGAAAATTTTTTAAAACAAATATCACACTTGAAAGGCTTTTCTCCAGTGTGTGTTCTCATATGCTTTTTCAATACACTTTCGTGAGAAAACAGTTTGAAACAAATGTCACACTTATAAGATTTTTCTTCAGAATGTATCAACAAATGTCTTTTTAAGTTACTTTTATGAGAATATTTCTTAAAACAAATTTCACATTCGTGAAGTGAATATTTTTCCTTAAAAGATGAATTGTCTGTTAATGTTTTTATAACTGTCATTTTGATCTCTCCCTCGGGAAAACCTAAAATAATAATCATTTATAAAAATTTTACTACAAAGGAAAAATTATTGCATAAACAAAAGAATGTATATAGTTGGCACATAATTTCATGAGAAAATTTATAGGAACGAGAATGAGTAAAATACTATACCTGATTTCATTAAGCTATGCAGGGCACATACAACGATAAATTTAACAGATAATTGTTAAAGATGTTCCAAATGAGTCTACTCGTTCCAATAAGTAACAGTATAATTATGACACTTTATTATGTTTTTTTCTTTTCTCAAATATTCGTGTTCATTGCATAGTAAATAAATTATTGTTATCACTGAATACATAGTAAGTGAAAAAATAATCCAATTTATAAAATTAATGAATATTTTATGCATAAATGCAAGTAACAGTTCTTCAAAAATATTTAAAAACTAACCGAAATGTCCATGTTTATTTCGTCTGCCGACATTTTCGGCAGCTCATACCCGTTCGGACACGATTTAATGTTTACATCTTCCTGCATCGCTTAATGAATTTTACTATAGAAAATGGCAACGATGTTAGATGACCACCACTTGTATAGATATCTACGCTACTGAACAGTAAGCACTTTCTGGAAAGCAAAACATGACTAGGGAGAAACCTTGGTAGGCCCAAAACCATTGTGGAGTATCACCAAAGATGCTGCAAGAAACAATGTTCAGAAGTGGCTGATAAAAGAAACAGAGCCATTCAAGGGCAAATCCAACAGACTAAGCTAATAATTGAAAGATAAAAAATTCTCAATTTGATGAACCTTAATAAACGCCAGATGAATAAGGTCAACAAAACCACCTATACAAAATAAAGCATTGTGGATATAAAAGAGAATGACGTAATGGACCAATAAAGAAGGAAGAACAAAAAGTGTTTAACATAAATGTGTTGACAATAAAATTTCTCCCCACATAAAGCCCATACTACTAACAGAATATAAAGAAATAAATTAAAGTAAGTGATTTAGGTGACAGGAGGAGGAGAAACAATATTATTTAGTACTTACTTATTGTTTTAATTTTCTCACCTTTCTCTGGCTCATCTTTCACAGTGCCCAGATCGATTGATGTGGATAACTGAGGTTCAATGTATTTTTGGTCATATTCATCAAACTCTTTCTTAATTTCAACTTTACCTTCCATAGCTACGTAGAATAATATCAGTGTTGATAAATTAAATAATAATATAGTACCAGAGTATATATATAATTTGAGTATATTATTTATAGTACAACCAAACAACCAAAGAATATAAGGCGCTTACAAAAGGACTGACGTTTAATCGTTTAATCAGGTTTGATACAGTTTAATCACAGTATTTATTTATTATTCTGTGGTTTATATTGCTTACAACTCTCTTTCCTTGTCTAAAAGGTAAAAATGACACTTGTCAAGGTAAAAATGACATGTTGACCGATGACAGCCCAGCCACAGCACACTCCTACCTAGCAGTGCTAGTCCTGCTGTAAATAGTAAAACGATGATTAGCGCATCATTTAGTGCCAGGGTGCGTAACTATACATGGCGGTAAATTCAAAAGGCAATTAAAATAATAGTTTCTCCAGAGAGCGCTAGCAATCCCAGAAGTTCTTCTTTAGGACTTTGGGAAGACATAGATATATCAATTATGTGCGTCTTAATTCTTTAAATAAAGGAATTTATAAACTTACAGGAGTCAACTGGATGAGTAAAACATATGTCATAACCCAAAAAAAAAGAAAAAGAAAAAAAGAAAACACATAACCTTACAAAAGTTGTTTTGATTTGAACCAGACTGAACATATTTTTAAAATAAGTTCAAAACAAGTTGTAACACACAATGTCTGAAAATGAAACTCTTATTTTACTTGATTTTAAGGATAATTTAACAAATAAAACTTTTGAAAAAGAAACTTTCATTCGTGTGGCCAACTTACACAAGAAAAATCCACTTGTTCAAATTAATGATACAATTTTTGAAGGTAATGAATTATATTTTCTTAGCTCTAATCATTGCCAATAATTTATATTAGAATTCGGTGAAAATAGATCACTCACATAATTATTATTTTTTAGGTAAATATGATCATGCAATGGGTACAAATTTATTTTTCGAAGAAATTCAAGATGTTCCTCCAGCATATGACCCTTTTTTTAAAAGAAAGCCAAACCAATATGAGTGTACATTCCATGGAATAAAAACTATAAATTTAAAGCAAATGAAAATTCCACCTCCCAAAGTAGAAAAAAGTGAAATCACAAAAGATATTGAATTTAATTTAGATTGGGATTATAATACACTTTTACAGAAGTTTTCTGATGGTGTTTTAACACTACATGACATTATAAAGAAGAAGGACAATGATGATGATCAAAACGAAAAACAATCAGATGTTAACATCACATCAAATAAGAGAAATGATTTACAAGAAAATGTAAGATCTAAACAACCAATACATGACAGTGAAGCAATGGAAATAGAAGACCAAGATAATCATATACTAGCTGAAACACTGGCTAATAGTGCTACTCAAGATTTAATAACCTATGGTGATGACATAAATAATGAACAAATTTTGGAAGATATAGATGCTACAAACCTCCTTCATGATTATGAAAAACTTAGAAAGCTTGCTTTTCGTCCAGTCAAAAGGAAACCTGTACTGGATCAAATGGCTGAGTGTGATCCAAAATACAGAGAAGCTTACGAATATCATAATTTGGAAAAACAGGTAAGTTATTTCAATGGCATCAAGTAATTTCAAAATATTGTTTTAAAGTTATTTATGACATTTTAATGTTTTAAAAATATTTTGCATCCAAATCTTAATTGCCAAATACACTTGCAACATGTTTTGGTATGTATCTTTCAGTCCTTAACTGCTGTCTTTATATATGGTAGAGTACTGCTGGACTCTTATTTTCAATCCAAGAGGGTCTCAAGAAACTCAATAATCAGTCAGTAAATCAGTTATTATGTCCTGACTAGTATGACTTAGTAGAAAAGATCTTTCATCAAGAGATAGCTAACAAACTGGGACTTTTATATAAATCAACACTCTCCCAAGCCCAATTGATGTCAATCAGTAATCCGAATCTCACAATGTATCCAATCCAATTGAACGGGCTGCTCACACAAGGATGGAAATGTTAATATTAAAGGTGATCACCAGTTTGCTGAGGAAAATTTGAAGTAAAAAAACAGCATTCTAGAATTGTTGAAATCAATTTTAATTCCACCCATGATGGTATCCCATTAAATTCAATTCAATTGAATTATGTATCTAAATTAATTTAACTCACATTGAATTGCACAAAAGTATTCAAAAACGCTCTCAAATATAAAAATTTGCACAATATTGTCTGCTTAATGTGAGCCGGAGATAATTTCACAATTTGCATAAATTCTCATGTCACACACAACTCTAAATGTCATCAATTGTTTGCTATTTTTGTTTCAATTCAAATTAGCATGAACTGTCATGGCAATATATGAAATTCATTTGAATGACATTGGCTCCATCTGTCCAAAATTGATTGTACCAACTTAGAAATCTTTGTGGGTTATGCACAACAATGTTCAAATGCATAGTTTATGATTCTATAAAGGACATACAGATGAACATTCATTTTTATATGTAGAGATGATATTTACATGATTTTTTTCTATTACAGATATTACAACCTTGTGATTTCTTCGTCAAAGAGCCAGTCAGTAATATAAATGAAGAGACTCTCTCAAACTGTGTAGATATTGATCGATGTGTTCTTTATGGTATACTAGAAAAATCTGCAACAAAATCTAGAGTACTGACAAAACAAGAAAAACAGAATGTTTTAGCTTTAGATAATTTTGATAATCTATCATTGGTTGGTCGATATTATGTTTTAAAAATGCAGGTGGAAAGTTTAGAAAAATACTTTGAAGGTAAAAATGTTGCAGACCTTAATAGAAAAGATAAATATGGAAGAACATTTTTACAAACACTTGAAATTTATAAGAGGTTATCTGAGAGGGTAAAGAATCGCATTGAAGAAATAAAAAGTAGTTTAGATGAAAGACAGGTTAAAGTTGAAGTACAAGATGAGGAGCCAGGACCAAGTACAAGTAATGGTTGATATCAGTATGAGTTTCAAAAGTGAAATGAGATAATAGGCTGTGGTGCTGAGAATATGTTTTAGAAAAAGATATATGCTCTTAATGTATACTATATAACTATGTGTAATTTTAATAAACTATGTGTAAATAATATCAAAAGATTTTGTTTTGACACGTCTTTGAATTAATCAGCTAGTTTATAAAGGTAGTAACTCCCTATATCTCTCCCTCACACTTGTCTTTTCCCATTACTGAGGATCGTGATTTCCTCCAGTCAAACACATTTTCTCTATTGGTCTATATTTTCAGCAGCTCACACACTCGTAGAATGAGTTGCCCACTAAATTCTGAAATAGAACACTGCTATATTACTACCCATCCAAAATGATAACAAAATCAACAGTCTGACACAGTGGAACAGGGGTACAAGTACACTTGTACCTCCTCTCTTTCAAGCCCTACTCTTAGTTGGTTTAGAGGTTAAGCAACTTGCCACTAGAATGCAGCACCTGTTAGACTTATCGCTTAGATTTCTTTACCTCCAAATAGAATGAAAGATTTCCAGTTCGACGATGCAGTTATCTCAATATTTACAAAAATGTCATTTATACCTCTTTATTTTTAGGGTCTTCAAATATTGTATCGTTCATTGCAAAGTGTATGATCATATGTCAAAAAAAAGACAGTTACAAAAAAAAAACGTAAATTTTGCATATTGCTAATAAAAACAACCTCTCTTTATTTTATTCTGTTGATTTCTCTAAGTTTTGATAAAAATTTAATTTTGAACATTAATGGGTTAAGTGGGGTATCTGCTTATACTTATAGTGTGTGGAGGATTCGAAAAAAAAAACAATATTGCTAGGTAAGTTATATATTACATTCCATTTTTATACAAAAATAAATAAAAAAAATTGAAGACACTCCGTAAATTGCGCTCGTTAATTATATTTAAATTTACCATTTACATTTAGCATTTAAATATCAATTCAAAACTTCAATGTTCAATTAGAAAAACATACAATTCATCACAAATATAATTACAGCACTGGCGAATATTTAAATACCGATACTTAACTTGTAATATTCAAACGCGAAAAACAATCAAAAATTGACTCACATCGAATACAGCTACGTTAAAATTAATATAAAAAATATTATAATAGTATCTTAAATAATTTCCTCAAATTTTATTTTATCAGATTCAATCGGACTGCTCGTCATCAGACGGAAACGCTTCCATTTCAGGAGACGTCAGTTTTGTTCCTTTCAAATAGTTCAGTTTCAATAATTCTTTTGCAGTCTTTCTTTTTGATGGGTTGTATGTCAACATATTCTAAAAAATACATTATTTACAATAAATAATATTTTTAATAAATAATAAAAAATTGTGATTAAACAGCAGATTATGATAAGGGGTTGTTAAAGTATTACTTAACCTTTCAATAGACGCAGCTTGTTTTGGAGACCGGTGGGAGTTAATGACAACTAATTCTAAAAACAATCAGAAACTTTCGAGTTTCTCTGACTCTGTACATTCTTTTGATCGAAGGTAACCTAAATTTCGACTTATCATCTGTGTATCAATTGTTTTATAATAAAACTTTATTTTTCAGATAGGAAAATGAAAAAAAGCAAAAAAAGATTATTAGCACTTTTTGAAGAAGTTTCGACGGGTGATGAGTATGATGATGACGAGGAATCGGGAAAAGATCATGTATTAGAGGGAAGCGATACGGAACAGGAAAATTAGGAATCAGATGATGAGACATGTTTTGCCATTGGTCCATATTTTTTGGGCAGAGATAATAAAACAAAATGGGCTAACCATATTGCCCCTAAGAACTCGAAATGAAAATATTGTTCGGTAGCTTTCAGATTTAAAACAATGTGTCAGACAGAAAACCAATATTTTAGATATTTGGAACAATCTATTGATACTGATATGTTGCAAATTATTGTAGATGAGACCAATATAAAAATAGAAGCAGAAAAGCGAAGTTCAGTAGCGATCGAGATATATATCCAACAAACATTGATGAAATTCGAGGCACTATATATGGAAACAAATCCCAACTGCCTTTTCTTTTAAAATCGTAGGCTTCCACGGCCAGAGTCAGAATTATAGTTTATTTGTCTTCCGGGTTTGGACCGTGTCATTTGTGAGTGACTCAAAAGTGGGTTCATCTCGACGTTTCGCTACTATTGTATGTAGCTTCTTCAGGAGAACAAAGAAAAAGAAATCAAAAGACAGGAAGATGGGTAGTTAGCAACGGTAACTCAGTTACTCAACGCAACCAGAGGCGAATACTAACTACCAAGATGGGCATTTGGTCACAGTAACTCAACTACTTAACGCAGCCAGAGGTGAAAACCAAATGCCAGGACAGGGATTCACGTCCAACAGCTCAGAACACTAACGCGTCGAGTGGCGGGGAGTGAATCCGACGATTACTCCGCTACCGCTCTATTTATAGTCGCGGTGACCTGTCGTGTCGGGATGTATCGGCACACTCCGTGGCGCGAACGTCAAGAAGCGCGCGCTGGCCAATCATGTGGCTGCATCGTGGTAGCGGGACCGGACGGCGGCTCTAGACTGAGATTCCAGATGGGAGACAAGTAGTATCCTTCCTCTCGATTGATATTATGTGGATTTTTTCGGATCTCTAGAGATTCGCGGATTTTCCTGGAATAAAAGAAGGGGCTCTTAGAAATAATATGGGTTTTTTCGAACAATATGGAATGACCTGTTTCTTGGCAGTGTTCTGCAACTGCAGAATGGGAGAAAAGACCTGATCGAATGCATCTTTGATGCTCTTGAATCCGAGTTTTGACGGAACGACCAGTTTCGCCAATATACACATGTCCACATGAACAAGGAATAGAATAGACACCACAGGAAGATAGGGGCGGTAATGGGTCCTTAGGAGAGGGTAGATATTGTGAGATTTTCTTGGATGGTCGAAAAGTAGCCCTGATACCTTCTTTGCGAAGAATTTGGCCAATCCTATCAGTGACACTTCGAATATACGGAAGAAAAGCCACAGGAGTATTACCCGAAGATTCTGAATTTGTCGTCGTAGGGTGTAAAGGGGGATGTAGATGTCGGTGTGTAATATTTTGAATTGTGGACTTGGAGTAACCGTTGGCGACAAGGGTTTTTTGCAGATGGCCAAGTTCTTCTCTAAGGTTGTCAGGTTCAGAAATCGAAATGGCCCGATGGATGAGAGAGTTGATCACAGAATTCTTTTGGACAGGATGGTGGTGTGATGAAGCATGTAGGTAACGATTCGTGTGAGTCTTTTTTCTATAAACAGAGTGACCCAATCGGCCATTGGGCTTGGAGGTGACTAACACATCAAGAAAGGGAAGGGACCGATTATTTTCTACTTCCATTGTGAATTTTATACTCGGATGTTGTGAGTTAAGATGATCTAGGAAGGGAGAAAGGGTATGTTGACCAAGGGGCCAGATGATAAATGTATCATCAACGTAGCGGAACCAGACTTTTGGTTTTAAGGGGTAAGATTGGCTAAAGACTCAAAGGCTTCCATGAAAATGTCAGCAATAACAGGGGAAAGGGGAGAACCCATTGGTGTTCCAGATATTTGTACTATTTTATACTATCTATATCACAGTATAAAATTCACAATGGAAGTAGAAAATAATCGGTCCCTTCCCTTTCTCGATGTGTTAGTCACCTCCAAGCCCAATGACCGATTGGGTCACTCTGTTTATAGAAAAAAGACTCACACGAATCGTTACCTACATGCTTCATCACACCACCATCCTGCCCAAAAGAATTCTGTGATCAACTCTCTCATCCATCGGGCCATTTCGATTTCTGAACCTGACAACCTTAGAGAAGAACTTGGCCATCTGCAAAAAACCCTTGTCGCCAACGGTTACTCCAAGTCCACAATTCAAAATATTATCCTATATCTTCCTGTGGTGTCTATTCTATTCCTTGTTCATGTTGACATGTGTATATTGGCGAAACTGGTCGTTCCGTCAAAACTCGGATTCAAGAGCATCAAAGATGCATTCGATCAGGTCTTTTCTCCCATTCTGCAGTTGCAGAACACTGCCAAGAAACCGGTCATTCCATATTGTTCGAAAAAACCCATATTATTTCTAAGAGCCCTTTCTTTTATTCCAGGAAAATCCGCGAATCTCTAGAGATCCGAAAAAATCCACATAATATCAATCGAGAGGAAGGATACTACTTGTCTCCCATCTGGAATCTCAGTCTAGAGCCGCCGTCCGGTCCCGCTACCACGATGCAGCCACATGATTGGCCAGCGCGCGCTTCTTGACGTTCGCGCCACGGAGTGTGCCGATACGTCCCGACACGACAGGTCACCGCGACTATAAATAGAGAGGTAGCGGAGTAATCGTCGGATTCACTCCCCGTCTTTCGACGCGTTAGTGTTCTGAGCTGTTGGACGTGAATCCCTGTCCTGGCATTTGGTTTTCACCTCTGGCTGCGTTAAGTAGTTGAGTTACTGTGACCAAATGCCCATCTTGGTAGTTAGTATTTGCCTCTGGTTGCGTTGAGTAACTGAGTTACCGTTGCTAACTACCCATCTTCCTGTCTTTTGATTTCTTTTTCTTTGTTCTCCTGAAGAAGCTACATACAATTGTAGCGAAACGTCGAGATGAACCCACTTTTGGGTCACTCACAAATGACACGGTCCAAACCCGGAAGACGAATAAACTATATTGTCTTTTCTTTTATTTCGATTTACACTTTCTGAGTACAAGAAACCAATTCGCCAATTTGTCTGTTTTACCTTTCAATTTATAGAAGGCACAGAGCAAATATCTGAATAATATATAAGCAAAATCTGAATTTTGATTTCATCAATAGAAACCTTCGCATTTCTACTTTGATGATTTACAATTTGGATAAGATTCTTGTTCAACAAACAAACATAAATAGTGAACAAACTAGTAAAAATAACAGAAGGAATACCATACGAAAAATACACAAATTTTTTTTAATGTTCACTTACTAATATGAAATCTTCCTCCTCTTGATTGTGGAATCTAACAATATCGCTTAAATCCACAGCTTTCCACGTGGGAAATGTAGGTTTGTAATCTGGATACAAAGAAACTCCTTCCCAATTTTCTTCTGTTGGCGTTCCCATGATCTTGAATATCTTGTACAGTTGGTCTATTTCCGAGTCTCCAGGGAAGAGTGCTTTTTTCGTCAGCTTGAATAGAACATAATTGATTACGATGGAAATATATTTTTATTTTAGGCCACATCAGTGGTAGATCGTAGATTGTGTTCGAATAAATCAGATTTGATGTTTAGAGTAAAAGATGGAAATGGTTACCTCGATAGGAATGTTGGTAATACAGAAACAATGTCAAAACTAACTAGTATATCTGAGGATGAAATAGAAATGTTTTTCAGAAGATCAATGAAATAAAAAGACTTTTTGACAAAGGACGAGGCGCTTTCGGCTAATGGTTGTAAGGATAATAGGGGGACATTGGGCTTATGAATTTTGGGAAGGCCGTAAATCTTTGGAATTCGGGATGATTTTTATCTGGGTGTAAGAGATATTTTTATGTCTGGAGGTAAACAGATTTATTTCTGATGGATTTGGTCGTTTTTTCTAGATAGGTACTGTTTAGGACTCGTTTGTATTCTGTGAAGTTGAAAAGTTCGAACATTTTATCGAAATAATTAGAAGAGTCGAGAATGACGGTGGCATTACCTTTGTCGGTCGGAAGGATGACAATGACATGGTTGTTATAAAGTTCTTTGAGGGCACATCTTTCTGAAAGAATGATATTTTTGATGGTGGGAGTTTGGAAGTACGGAGAATACTGGCGACATCTTGCCTGGCAACTTCGGCTTGGTCAGAAGGAAGATGAGAAATAGTTTCTTCAGATTGACAAAAATTTTTTTCAGTTAAGATGGAAAGAGCTTTGGTACCTGAACCGGATAATCGGAATTTATTAGCGTATTATTTAATAACAAATATGATGAAAGAATTATTTACCATTTCTGCCATAATACAACCCAAACTCCAGATGTCAATGCCGGGACAATACATCTTAGCCCCTAAAAGTAGCTCTGGAGCTCGGTACCAAATTGTTACAACTTCATGTGTATATGTCCGAGTTGGAAGGGAAAAGGATCGTGACAAACCAAAATCTGCAAGCTTAATATGTCCTTCCTTATCAACAAGTAAATTCTGCGGCTTCAGATCTCTGTGTAGTATTCTGTGAGAATGCAAATATGCTAGGGCTTCAATCAGCTGCTTCATATAATTCTAAAATTAAAAGTACCTCTGAATATAACTTAAACTATTTAACAAATTTATAGGAAGTTAACCAAAAACAAAAATTAACGGGATAATAGATCACATGCCATAAGCTAGTTAAAAAAATATCCGTAAGGGGCGCTTACGTCGAGGTTTGGTATTAAATCATAACCTCATAGTATTCCCCAGATTCAGATATACGTTTAAATACTTGTAAATTTTCAGCCATAGTTTCACAGTGTTTAAAATTTGTGAAATTAGTGAGTTATTTAATCCTTAGTTTGAACATTTTTGTATAATGGATTTTTCCACGTTGAGTTGGATATTTCTTTTTCTGTTAACTGAGCCCCTTTCTTAAATAAAGGTGTATTTAAATGTATTCCTTTTTCCTCTAAAAGATCTGATATATCAAAACCCCAGTCCGCTTAAATAAATTCTCCTTCGTCAATAAGTCCTAAAATTCCTAAAATCTGAAATACTGCCTCCATACACATCAGATACATATCGCTCTTGCGCGTGCAAACGGAGTTAAGTCTGAAAATGTCCAAATCGAGATAACTTCATAAATGAACACGTTTTAGATCGAAATTTTATTGTGCAAAAGGATTTATCTCTGTTGTTTACGTTTACGAGCAAAACTTATTAGTGATACCGAAGATAACTCATTTTGAAATGTGTTAAAGGAATTTATGTCAAATAGACTCTGTTGACACTATAATGTCGGTCAGTGCAAATGGAGTTAAGTCTAGTTGTATTACAATGCGCCAATTTTTCGGAACTTGCCTAAATCTGCACTAAACACGATGCATCACCTCATCACGTGTTTTCGACTCGCAGCTGAATAACATTGAGTGGCTTATTGGTATTTTGTTTTCATTTGCGTTCTTTACGGTGAGACGTGCACATATTGTGAGATCTACTACTCGTATTAGAGAATAATATCATTAATATCATAAGTAAAAATGTTTGCAGAAAGACGAGAATTTCTTGCCGCTCTGAAAGAACGGGCATTAAATTCAGAAGGTAAGTAAACTATTTTAGTTTAAAATTAGTAATAACTATTTTTTACCTCCGACGCAAAAACAGAAGTGTTATCACTACCAGTTATACGTTTAATATGTGTGTGTCTGTGTCTAAGACATCGTAGCTCATCAAAGATTGTGCCGAGATGTGTTTTTTTATTTAAAGCTGCCGCTGACGTAATCGAGACAGCTCTTAGGTATAATTTGTTTGTTTGTGTATTTGTGTGTCTGTCTGTGGCATTGTAGCTCCTCAATAAATGAACCAAATTATGATACGTTTTTTTTTTGTTTGATGTCGGCACAATAAATTATTTAGATGGTTTTTAACTATAATTTATGAAGATATATTAAGGCGTTGAGCTCATATTTCGTCGGGGGTTAATGAAATTTTAGAATTTTTTTTTATAAAATAAATTATGATAAATAAATTAATGAAATTTTAGAATTTTTTTTTATAAAATAAATTATATTTCAATGTTTCTTATTGTTTCAGCTGAGCTCAAAGTAAATACTGACCAGTCCATTACACCAGAAAGTGATACAGCCATGTTTTCGAATTTGGAATGTGAACAACGAGAAAACAGGAAAAAAAAACAAGAAAATATCGATTCTCGTTTTGATATTTGTAAAGCTGATATTTCTGAAGCTGGTTGTAGCAGAGGTCAGTTTTGTTACATTTTAGAAAATAACAAATATTAATTTATTCTAAATGTTTTTGCAGATGCACCTAGTGAAAGGATTACTGAGTTCTTTGGAAGCGATATCGACGACAGTGACAAGGATCCAGATTATGAACTTCCTGAATCAGATGACTCGAATAGTATTCCATTGGTTTCGTTTGAAAATACAATAGATCCAAATCAATTGAATAAAAATAAAAAAGGAAGAAAATCGGTAAAAGGTGATACTAGAGCAATGAGGAAAAAAAGAAAAATGGAAAGAAATGCAGGTAAAGAATACATGACTCTAAAAAATAAGTTGATGAAAGGCAAAAAATGTAAGGTACTTGGAGATTGCCGAAAAGGATGCGGTAAAAAATTTGATACCGAAGTACGTAAACAGTTATTTACAGAATTTTGGGAGTTAGGGGATTATAATAAAAGGGTTGCTTACTGTTCAAGTCTTATTTTGAGGCAGGAAAAAAAGACAATGAAACTTAATTCATCAAAAACAAGAGCTTGTAGCTATCAGTATCACTTCAAGATCGCAGGTGAGCTCGTTGAAGTTTGTAAACAGTGCTTTCAAAAAACATTTGATTTGTCGAATAAGTTTATAGAAAATGTTATTACAAAAACTAGCTTTTCCGGTATAACAACAGAAGATAAAAGAGGAAGCCATATACCTGCGAATAAAATAAATTCAGACAGAATTGACATGATAAAGCAACATATAGGTCTTATACCTACATACAAAAGTCATTATTGTCGTGAAAAAACTGGAGATAGACGTTTTTTGCCTTCTTTTTATACATTGACCAGAATGTATGATGAATATAAAGCTTGGATCCAACCTCAAAGTCCCGTAAGTAGAAAGATATATGAGACTATTTTTCATACAATGAACATTTCAATAAAAAAATATAGTAAGGATACATGTCAAACTTGTGACAAGTTACATAACACTATAGTGAATGAAAAGAAAGAAGAACAAAAGGAAAAAATAAGAAGAGAACTAAATCGGCATCAAGAAGAAGCAGAAGCTGCATACGCAGCAAAAAGAAAAGATAAAATAATTTGTCAAGATGACAAGTCCCAGAGAGTTTTTGCTTTTGATTTGCAGCAGTGTTTACCCACGCCCAGCCTAAACACTTCAATAGCTTTTTATAAAAGGCAACTCTGGACGTACAACCTTACAATTCATGATTGTGGTAATAACAAAACTACTTGTTGTATGTGGTATGAAACGATTTCTGGTCGTGGAGCCAATCAAATAGCTTCTTGTTTGTATAAAGAGCTCTTAGAAATCCCACCAGAAGTACGAAAAATAACATTGTATTCTGACACTTGTGGAGGGCAGAATAAAAACTCTCATCTCATTGCAATGTTTATGGTCTTAATGGTTAGTTCTGGTCTCGATACATTGGATCATAAATTTTTAATTCCAGGACACACAAGAATGGAGTGTGATAGCGACCATTCGATAATTGAAAAAAAAAAGAAAAAATATGAAAGCCGAATTGAACATCCAAGAGACTGGTATCAACTTGTTCGACTGTGTGGTAAAAGATATCCCTTTAAGGTTCAAGAAATGACTAGAAATGATTTTATTGATTTTGCAAGTTTACTAAAGAGTTCATTACAAGTAAGAAAGGTAGATAATGACGGTAACCGCTTTATTTGGAAAGATGTCAAATGGATTAGATATCAAAAAGAATTTGGACTGTTTTCGTATAAAAATAGTTACAAAGAAGATGAACCATTTAAAACAATGAATTTTCTTAGAAGAGGTTTCTCATCTCCTCCATTAAATCTACCAAAATGTAAATATCCAAATCCAATTTCTTCAGAAAAAAAAAGTAATCTAATGGATTTATTACCATACATAGATGACGTATTTCACGATTTCTATAAAAACTTACCTACGCAGACCGATGTTGCAGACTACTGTTCAGAAGAAGAAGAAGATATACTAGATGACGATTAGTGCAGATAGGGTTATGTACGCTAAAGTTTTGTGCATTTGGAGATAACTATTTTTTTCTCTCATGTTATAATGATTTTCAAAATTACAGGGTAATATTTTCATTTAGTTTGTAAAATTAAATAAAGTTTTTAATTCATCTTTAATTAGATTTAAGTTGTTTTATTTAAAATTTGCTTATAAATTCATAAAAATTTTTAAACGCTTATATCTCAAAATGGCAATTTTGGACTTATCTCCGTTTGCACGCGCAAGGGCGATATATAATTTCATCTTTTTCAGAGGATCATCATCATCATCAGTAGCTCGACAACCCTTTCTGGATCCTGGCTTGTTCTAGGATTTTCCGCCATTCTGTTCTGTTCTTTGCTTTGTTTTTCCAGTTGATAATCTTAAGTGTTTTCAGATCTTGTTCCATGTATCTAAGTTTGGGTCTCCCTATTGGTGTTTGCCTCATTATATGTTTTGGCGTTTCAGTCCCTAACATTCGTTCAACATGGCCCATCCAGCGCAGACGTCCGATCTTTATACATGTTACGATCTCGGGTTCATTGTATGCTGTGTATAATTCAAAGTTATTCAGAGCATGCTATTAGTATTTTAAAGGTATCGGTTCAACAATATCTTGAATATATTGCTTTTTGTATAATAGGGTCATTGCTTCGGTCTATTGGAATTTCGGTACGGTCCAGAATAATTTTGTACTGGTCTTCTGAAGTTGTTGCGATATTCCAAAAGTTAATTTTTTTAAGCAAGTGTAAAGATGCTTCCACTTAACAAATATTTTTCACAGGTCGAATGTCTAGAGCAAAAAATGCTTTAATGTTGAATAAAACAAATTCAGTCTATATTTCATAGGCGGTATTAACAGTTCATTTTCCACTAAAAGACCACTATGAATTTTAATGTATGATTTTCCAAACTCTTCAACAAAAAAAGGAAATAATTTTCTTGAAAAACCAGTAAAGTGTTTCTTCTGACAAAAAGTCATAAGAAATTAATTGACTTCTATTCCATGTTACCACGGTTTGAGTTGTAATACATGTTTTTGAACTCTGATTTATTTTCATTAGCAGGTGTCTCTGTTGAACAATACTTTTGTGTATCATTCTTAACTGTTTGTAATATTTCTGTTTCTGTTTGCTCTGTTTGTTTGTTTGGTGGCAATACTGCTGCCCAACGTCTTTTTCTATATTTATCCCTCCTCTAAAAGTCCTTCACTGGAGTTTCCAACTTTCTTTTTGGTAAATTTACTGGAGGTACTGCACCTTTTTCAAGGATCCTCCATTTCTTCTTCTTCATGTACCATGTCCTTTCAGAACGTTGGTTACCATCATACCTATTTTAATTTTATTCACTGCCACCCTAAATAGCATGCTTGTATTTACACCATACCAATCTCGCAAGTTCTTCAACCATGAGGTTCTTCTTCGTCCTGGACTGCGTTTGCCTGCTATTTTTCCTTACATGATATTTTGTAACAATCTATATTTGGGACCTCTCATTACATGTCCGAAATATTCCAGCTTTCTCTGCTTGATGCTTTTTATGATCTCAGTAGTCTTGCTGAGACGTTCAAGTATTATGGAGTTACGAATCTTCTCCACCCAGGAAACTTTTAAAATTCTTCTATAGTACCACATTTCGAAAGCCTCAAGGCGATTTAGATCGATTTTATTCACAGTCCAGGACTCGACAGCATAAAGTAAGACCGAGAACACGTAGCAGCGAAGTAGGCGGATCCTTAATGCCAGTTTTAGGTCTCTGTTACATAACACCTTGGACATCCTTCTAAAAGCAGCTCTAGCCTGCTCTATTCTGGATCTAATTTCGCCGTGATTTTCTGCATTACAATTTAATTGCTGTCCAAGGTAGACGATTTTATCAACTTGCTCAAGTTTGGTATTATTTACATATATAGACGGTTTTATATTCTGTTGTTTACTTATTACAAGTATTTTGGTTTTCCTTATGTTCAGATCAAGACCTGCCTCCCTACAACTCTCAACGACACTATCAAGTAGTGTTTGCAGATCTTCTTGACTAGAAGCTAGGAGTACTGTATCGTCCGCATATCGCAAATTATTGATGACTTCGCCGTTCACAAGTATTCCTTTTTGTTTTTCAGAAAGCGCTTTTCTGAAAATTCTTTCGGAGTAAACGTTAAAAAGAAGGGGTGACAAGAGGCATCCCTGCCGTACTCCTCTTTTAATATTGAGAGCTTGTGATTCCACACCATCTACTAAAACTGATGTTGTTTGATTCCAATATAAATTTGCAATTATTCGAACATCTCTGCCGTCCAAGCCTATGTCTTTTGGAGCTTCGATCAGTATAGAGTGCTTAACACGATCAAATGCTTTTTGAAAGTCAATAAAACAACAGTATATGTCTACAGATATATCACGACATCTTTGAGCAAGTACGTTCATTCCAAACAATGCCTCTCTCGTTCCAAATCCGTTACGGAAATCAAACTGAGTGTCATCCAGGTATTCCTCACATTTATTGGAGATACGACCATGTATTACCTACAGAAAAATTTTCAATAAGTGGTTTAACAAACTGATGGTTCTATAATCAGCACAGGTTTTTGCTGTTGTCTTTTTAGGTAGAGCTATAAACAGTGAGTTAGACCAACCATTAGGTAGTTGTCCGCTGGTATAAATGGTATTAAAAAACGAAGTTATAGCCTCTAAAACATTGCTATCCTTTATAAGTTTATATATTTCAGTTGGAATTTCATCAGGACCAGTCGCTCTGCCATCTTTTGATGATTGTATGGCCTTTATAACCTCACAGCGTGTTATTAGGGGTCCGTCGCAGTTAGTAATATCGGGAGGTGAACTACTCCTATCGTCTTCGAATAGGTTCGTGACGTAATTTTCCCATTCTTTAAGTTTGTCCTCTACTTCGAATATTACTTTACCATTTTCATCCTATAGCAATGCATTTTGTTTCTTATTGAAGATACCAGCCGCTTCTTTTACTTTTTTATACATGTTAAACGTGTCGTATCTTTTTTCGAGTTCTTCAATGTCATGACACTGTTTGGCTAGATGTTGACTCTTTGCTTCTCGTATTTTACGTCGAATTTCTTTTTGTATGCTATTGTAAAGTGTTTCGTTGGTTTTTGCTAGTCGCCGTTGTTCCATCAAATCCAGTATATCATCTGTCATCCAAGCCTGCTTTTTTGGCTTTGACCTGCCTTGTAAATTTCTCACCATCCTCCATTGTCGTCGAAAAACAAGACAATGGCAATGTAAGAAATTGGGATAAGCATTTTTTAAATTACCTAAACTTGTAACGCTATAACTTTCATTTGAAAAGTGCCTGGAATATATATTTTTATGTTCTTGCTGATACTTTTTTCAGACCTGATAGCGACCAACCATCGTTTTTGTAAAGATTTATTCAAAGGGAAATTTATGAAACATAACATTGTCAGTTTGATTGGAAAATGAATTAAAAATTAAAATGTTCTAAATAACTTATTAAAACTTGCATACCAACTAGGAAACAAGTACCAAACAATGTAAATAAATGGTAGAATAAAATAAGGTTATGTTTTAATACCAAACTCTGACACCAGCGCCTCCTACATGCAAGTGATCTATTCTGTGTGTGGGGTTGAGATATTGACTGCGAAACCGATGGTTTCATTCGCTTAATCGTAAACGAGATAATTTTGTTCAATTTTATGAAAAAATTCTCATTCATTTTGTAAAGTATTATGTAAAGTTTAAAGATAATTTTGTTGTTAAATAATTTGTTCCTTTTTGACGTATCATCGGAGAGTTATAGTATTTGTAGAGCTTTTATGATCAATTACGTGAAACTGAATTAGTGGGAAGAATAATATTTAAGTAAAAAAAATACTAACCCTAAGAAGTTCTGCCTCCATAGGTCGTCTAGTATTGTCCAAATATCTCTTTAAATCCAAATCTAAATATTCAAATACTAAATATAGTTTATCAGTTGTCTGCATTACATCTAGAAGTTCTACTATAGAAGAATGTCTAAGACCTTTAAGTAGACTTATTTCCCGTATAGCTGTTGGAGGCACTCCCTCTGAATCTCCTTTGTTGTAGAATCTTAAATAAAAAAAAATGAGATGTGGTATTACGGGAGTGACTGAGAAGGAGAAGCATAGCTTTCTAATCGTCTACGCAGGAAGCGAAGGTTTTTAATTTAATTTAAATTGAATTCAATTATTTTATTTATTTAGTTTTTTTTTATTAAGAAATACTCATGGAACTGCATTTACTACTCGACGTAGTGCGTGGTTTCATGATCTGTCGTTTCATTGCGTTTCTTTTGTTTTATTTTTCCACAGGATCCATTTCACTGATTAATGCATTCCGTCCGCATTCCACGACAAGAAAGCTATGCTTCCAACAATGTTACATTTTGTTATGTAGATCAGGCAATCAGAAAACAATTATAAAATAATCCAAATATAGATATTCACAGGCAAATCCCATAAGTCCTGTAAACCACTGTGTAAAACCAAATGTGAATGGGTGCATTCCTAGCGTGGTATGTGACCTTGATTGATTCTCTCTACCGTTTTGACTTTCTCCGACTGTGGCTCTGTGTCTGTGTTTTCTCTCAGTCTTTGTTTGCTCTTGAGCAATGAAAGTTGTTTGGCGTGAAATTTTTAAGATTCGTTCCTACTTGACATTGTGATTGTTGTTTGTCCATCGAACTTCGCCTGCAATGACTGTTGGGCGGATCGAGTAGCTTAACAGTCTTTCTTGCAGATCCCAAGCCCGGATAAAGGAGGAGGGTTAAGCGGAAGGCCAACAACCTGTCCTTATAAAAAACAGTCTGTTATGAAAAATGCAAGTTTGTCTTGGAATCGAACAGATACATATGGAAAACGACAATCGCAATGGACAACGACTTTGAATGTTGGAACATGGAATGTTCTAAGTTGGTAATGGACGGGAGCATCTATACATACAATAAAACAGTTAGAAAAAGTAGGAATGGGCATTACGGCAATACAAGAACTAAGGTGGCTAGACAAGGGAATCATAAAAATAGACAAGGCGGTCATTTTCTACAGTGGAAACCAGACAGGAAAACACGAATTTGGCACGGTTTCAAAGTACGAGAAGAATACCTGAACAGCATTATAAGTTTCACGCCCATTAGTGAAAGACTTTGTTATATTAGACTGACAAGAAAATGGTACAATATCTCAATTATATCCGCACATGCTCCGAAGATAAAGACGAACATATTAAAGATTACATCTATAAACTACTCGAAAGAATGCTTGAAAAAATCTCCAAACAAGACATGCAGATAATCTGTGGAGACTTCAACGCAAAAATTGGCAAAGAACCTAACCTAAGACCGACAGTAGGACAACACAGATTCCACGATATCTCAAACGACAATAGACAAAGGGTCGTAGAGCTAGCGTCGGCTAATAGTATGCTTATAAAGTCTACTATGTTTCAAACATAAAAACATTCATAAACAGACTTGTGTCCCTAATGACCATTTCACGCGGAACCAAATTGACCACGTAATTATTGACGCTAGACATGGAAGTAATGTGCTGGATGTAAAAAGCCTCAGGGGAGTAGATGGAGATAGAGACCATCACCTAGTATGAGCAATAATCAGGTTGAGAATATCTTCAGAGAAACCTAAGGCCAACGAAGCATTGGGACAGTGGAACATCGAGAAAATGCAAAATGAGGAAATCCGAGAATATTACAAACAAGAAATTAAACAACATCTAAATACAGTAAACCAAACCAAAGAAATTAAGACACGTATTGAAATAACACGTGCATCATGCATTAAACTTTTGAATGAAAGAAAGAAAAAAGGAAAGGAAAGAAGTTTCTTTGTTGTCGGGATATAAGGTTAAAACTACGCCTGAGAATGCTTCGCTGTTCGTGTTCTCTACTCTTCTTTATGGCTTGGAAGCGTGGACACTAAAACAAGTCCATCTGAATAACTTTATGTATCATAGATTCAAAGAATGTCAAACGTGGAAGTAACTAGAAGGATAAGAAATGAGGCGGAAATAATATTAACTATTAAAAGACGAAAACTTGAGTACTTAGGACATGTAATGAGAGGGCAAAAATACGCATTATTACAACTTTTATTCAAGGCAAAATCCGAGGAAAGCGAAATGTGGGAAGACGAAGAATATCTTGGCTTAAGAACCTAAGGGAATGGTTTGAATGCAGTAGTGTACAACTTTTTAGAGCGGCAGTCAACAGAGTCCGCATAGCCATGATGATTTCCAACCTTCGATAGAAGATGAAACTTAAAGAATAAGAAATACAGCAGATCAGAGCAATGATGTCGAAAGGCTATGGCAACAAATGGAAAAATCAATTACGGAGTCAGCAAATCTAATAATAGGAAAAAGCAGGAAGATAATAAGGAAATGGTTTGATACGACAAGAAAAACTACACGACAGACAGATAAAGCGAAACATTATGCTACAACAAGTGACAGCAGAGATTAAAGAAAACTATGCAACTTCACGTCGAGAAACAAGAAAATTAATTACAGAGAAAAAAGGAAGTATGAACAACAGATTAATGAAGAAACGGAAAGGAATAGGCAACAGTCAAATAGTCGAGCATTTTACAAATCAGTGTCAAACGAAATAGAAGGGTTCAGACCTACATGCAGGTCTGTACTCAGAAAAAATGATGAATTAATAATAAATGAAAAAGAACTGCTCCAAACATGGCAAGAATATTTCAAGACTTTACTAAACATACATCAAGAGGAAGAACATGGAGAAAATATATATTTTGGGGTGGACCTACTGGTAGAGGTCCCCAAAATAGATGAAACATTGCAAGCAATTAACAAATTGAAGAACAGAAAAGTTTCAGGCTCTGACAATATACTCTCTGAATTCCTAAAGCACAGAGGAGAAACTCTATAGACAAATACACAAACTAATAACACTTATATGGAACGAAGAGAAAATACCAACAAAAATGGCACGAAATCCCCTCCCATAAAGAGGGAGACAAAACCAAGTGTTCTAATTATAGAGGTATCTCCCTATTTAATATGGCATATAAAATCTTATTGAACATCCTATTAAGTGAGCTAACACCGTTTGTAGAAAATTTCATGGGGGAATACCAAGCCGGCTTCAGAAAATATAGATTGACCAGAGATCAGATCTTTACTTTAAGACAGCTGGTTGAAGAAGGATGGGAATTCAATAGAACTATCCATAACCTCTTCATAGATTTCCAACAAGTTTACGACAGCAATAAAAGGGATCAGATGTGGAATGCAATGGCAGAACCTTCAGTTCCAAAAAAACTTATCCAGCTTGTTATGTGTGAATAGCTGTAGATCCAGAGTAGTACCAATGGTTTTATTATTGGATGTTATTTAATTGTTGTTTGTTTGAATGAAGATATGTTTGTATTTGGAAATATACTAAAAATTAACTGTAGTTAGTATAAATGTTAATCAATTCATTGTTACTTTTAGAATGATGAAAGCCCTTATTTAAATACAATACCTGCCTGCACCAAGTCGAAGTAAAAAAGAAAGAAAGCTACAATACTTTTTATAATCTTTTAACCACTACTCATAATATATTCTCAAGAGATATTTACCTAATATAAATAAATAGCTATGTTTATTGTTAGAATATTGATATGTGTACAATTCTAATCACAAAGAGAAGTTGTAAAGAAATGAATACTTAAAAATAAATAAAACATAGAAATAACCAGTAATACTTTACCAGTAGTTTGTGAGCTGATTCTTTACAATTTTAATGATTTGTCTTTAACATATTACAATTTTCTTTATTGAATAGTAGGGTAGGTTAGGACTAATTAAATAGGTGTATAAAAATACAACAATTTTTAAATATTATATAATTTAAATAGTAAATGAAAAATCTAGACCAACATCTTCATGTAGAAAAAGAGGAGAAAGAGCACAACAGAAAGATGTCAGAGAAATGGAACTGGCGAAGACATGCATTGAAAGGAAATAGATTTATTAGGTTTAAAAATTAAATTATGCAAAAAAAAATTTTAATAAAAAATAAAGTTATATGTATATTAATAATTCTTCTGAGGTTTTTCCCATAACACAAAAACATTTTATAGGGCTCTCAAACACCTTCAACTTAAGGAAGTTCAATAATGTCTATTTAGCATGTTCAAAATTGTCTCCACTTTGATTTTTCAATTGAATCATTTCAACTGTACAGCCACTTTCATTGGCTAAAATGGGAAACTTTCTTCTTCCATACACATTCTGTTACATATCTGGAATTCATTATACAAAATTTCAGGATCTCTTAGTGAATTGTTTTAGTGGACTTAGTCTGATTGTGAATTTAAAATCTGATCAATAATATAGAATTATCCATACCTGGTTAAAAAAAAAATAGATGAGTGGACTCAATGCAACATTAATTTAAAAATCCTATCAATAATGCAATATTATCCATACCTGGTTTAAAAAGAAAATATATCCAGGGATATCACTAAACTATCAGAAATTAAAATCTCTAATTCTTTTTTTTGTAAGTTGCTGTTTTCGAGAATCATGAGCGGAATGTCACAGCCTAGGTACTATATCCATATCACTCCATACTTTTCATTTTGCAATCTTATAATACTTGGCATTTCAAAGAAAACCATCCTTTCCTGTTTCAGAAATCAATAGCATCTGTATCTCTTGGAAAACGTTGATTAATCCATTTTTAAACTTTCAAGATGATAAAAACATTTACCTAATGACTAGGCCCAGTAAAAGTTAGGAGTGATGAAAAAAAATTATATAATCTTTTATTAACAAATATTTACTATATATTCTCAAAGCATTAAATAAATAATATTTGAAAAAAAAACATGTAAGAAAGGGAAAAGTAAACATTTTTTTAATAAAATAGAGTTTTTTGCCTTGAAATTTTATGTTTTTCCTAAAAAAAAAACTACATAATATTATTTTCTGTCTTTTATTAACCTCTTTTCCATAACTAGTACCTACTTGATACACGACTTAAAAATGCAAAGTTCAATTTGGTTCAATAATCAAAAACAAAATAATTATTATCCCTACTTCGTACCAAATCTACACTGGTTGGTGATACCACTGTGATACTGAATTCATGTCTAATAAATGAGAAAAATAGAACATGTTCTATTTCGCCAATTTCTTCACAAATTACATGAATTTATTCACTGCAAAATTGGATATCAAATTGTGCTTTACACACGTCCAATTTGAACTTGAAGCCACTTCATGAATTTCTTCATGAATGTATTGTTGGTGTAAAGCCCATATAAAAAGTTTGATTTTCAAATATCTTTTGTAAATAAATAAAATTTATTTTAAAAAAACAGGGTTTTTGTAGGAACTTAGCCTTATATAACATAGGACATATCTTGTCAAATATAATGTTACATATTCCCTAAAAACAATGTTTACATTTATTAATTAGTCTATATTAAACAATATAAATCATTAATACAACTAAATACCTATTATATCCTACCTAAATTAATTAAAGCTGAAAGTTACTTACTTCTGCAATTATTAGTGATGACTGTTAGTGGAACTATAAGCTGAATCATGTGGTGCTACGTTTTAAATAAAGTAGAACACTCACAAGATTCAACTCACCATCCCACAAAAATATTAGTAGATTAAATTGCCAGATGAGTTAGCCCTTGATGTAATATAAGATTGTTAACATGAAAAGTAATGATGCTGTAAAACTGTTAAAAGATAGTATAGTGAAACCTCTACTTAACATCTTCAAATAAAAGGGAATTCTAAGTATTTATGTAAATCAATGACCCCTTCTATAAATAGGTCAGATAAGAATAAAGTATATCAAAATAAACCCTTTAATCAATTGAGAACATGGCATAAGGGCTGCAGATATGACTTTAACATAGATTTGTCAAGGGCACATCACATACCTACACACCATGATGACAATTCTTTCTGATACTCCCTATTAGTGGCTGGCTCTGGAGCTAAGTATTTTGCAGCTGATGTATTTCTGCCCAGTTTTCCAGCTCTTTGATTGCTGTGTATTCCCTGGTAACCTGAAACCCATACCAGTGACAGGGATATTTTCTGCCAGTCTGCCAGCTAAACTGCTTGTTGACAAGTTCAAAAAACTTATTATGTTTTGTGTTGTGAGGTTTCACTGTACTTACAAAATTAGATATAATTAAGATTACAAATTGAAATATAATATATAAAAGATTGAAAATAACATAACATGGTTTTAATTGAATAGAAATACTTCAAATATACATTAGAATCAACTTTTTTCACTTATTGCAATCTGTTGACTTACAATATATTTTCATACACAATTGTAACAAACATAATGAACCATATTTGAAGTTTTTTTAGAATGAATGACTGTTATTGTTATGTAGTTTATTAGTCATATGTAAAATGTCAATTAGCCTGCTAAAAAGTTGTAATCAGAGGCTGCCAAGATTATTATTGATGGAATGAGTAATTTAAGCCTATATTTTTATTTTACTGTCATCAAAAAGCTAGTTTTTCTATAGATAATTATGAATTACTGAAGATTCAGATTTATATTAACAGCCTTTTAAAGAAATGATTTATGAGCAATACAGTCACAAATAAATTGGACATTGAACAAGTTTATACAATTTTTTCTTTCAATTGTTGAACTTTTAAAAGCAAGAAGTACTTTTTATGCCCAGATAAAAAGTGAACAATTTAATCAAAAAAATAACACACAATCAGGACAAACTATCGCAAACGTTGTTAATGTCTTTCTGGATGAAATATATTTATTCTGTAACTGTAAATTCTGTTTTAGTATTTAGCATGAGTATTCTAAGGTTAAAACCGATTTTTTACATCCACCGATTCTAAAAGTTATATCATCACTTATTTTCATACACGTATTATATTCTAAAACAATTATTTTAATAAAAATCTAAAATTAGTGCTACAGTGAACCACAAATGCATTTAAAATGGTTATGTCAAAATATTAAAAAGAAACTCACTTTTCCAATTTAATCCTTTTAAGTGCTACATTTTTACCAGTTAACTTATTTTTGGCTTTATAAACCACTCCATATGTACCTTCTCCTGCCTTTGCTAGCTTGATAAATCGATCCAACTTATCCATTTAATATAAATCTTATGGTGGCAGTAGTCGGTAGAACATTCCATTAAAAGCGGGAAAAATACTTGTTTTTCGAGAATCCATTTTTGTTTATTAATTTTTTGCGCATGTGTAGTAAAGCATACGGTCAATAATCATGATGACCAACATTACAAAATTATTTTACATATTATATCATGACTTTCCATTATGGCTAGTACTTCGGATTCCGGTTAATTGAATTATCAAATGTAATTAATTTTTTATAACATAACAGCATTACGCAATATTTCAAATAATTAAAGACTGTATAAATGATAAAAATAGTCGGTAGTAAAATTTGAAGTACTTAATATACTATATAGTACTTAATATATACTATATAGTACTTAATATTGAAATACTTAAGAACAACATAAGTATTATTATAATATTGAATGTTAAAAGGTAGGAAAAAAAAAAGAAATCACATATTCTGGAGACTAGATAGATATAGTCTATATACACTGCTACATTAAAGTGAAGCAAATGTAGTTAAATACAACTATGTACCCAAAAGAAGTTACAGCGCTTTGAAGTTTCAAAATGAAAATCTATTTTTTTTAATTTCTCTTGAACTGATTGACATTTTGTAATGGGAATAGAAAAATAACATGTTTTTTCTAGTTTGAACATTATTCAAAATAAAGTAACTATATATAAATCAAATACATAATCCCTGAATCTCTCTCCTATGTATGTTACGATTAACTCAATCATTAGTGTGACTCGAACACAATGTAATTAAAATTCTTTGGCTCTAGAGGTTTTTAGCGAGATAATGCCTCTTTCAGTGATTTTTCAACTATTCTGCTTAACAAACAGGACAGAAATTACCCTCTAAATCTTACTTACTTATTTCATCATTTGAGATCCTGGTATGTGCTCAGGAGATAATAAGTAAGGCTTGCAGGCAGGACTATCATCTCTATCTGCTCTGATAATCAAGCAGCGCTAAGGGCTTTGGAAACGCCCAAAGCTCTTTGAGTGCAAGAGATAACTTGGTGATGTTGTGCTGATCAATAAGGTTAACTTAATATGGGTACCGAAACACACAGGCGTGGAAGGGAACGAATGGGCTGACACCTTGACAAGACAGGGCTTATCCACTCTGTCCGTGGGACCCAAACCGGTGATTGGAGTGCCGTTCAGAACTTTCTCAAAGACCTTCCTTTATGGAGGTTGCTTTGTTCTTGTACTGCGTTGTTAACTCAATCATTATTGTGACTCGAACACAGTGTCATTAAAATTCTTTGGCTCTAGATGTTTTTAGCGGGATAATGCCTTGCCGTGATCCTTCTGCCGAGCAAATTCTGCTTCTTAATCTGGACTTATGAGTGACCAAGGTATATGCGTATCAGGGTCTCTTCCAATATGTTCTAATCTAAAAGTTGGAACAAATATTCTTTAAAAGACACTACTTTTTTTCTATGGGATAAACACGGTCCATGTACGGAGAAATTGTCAACCTCAGGTAAAAAGACCGGCCCTTAGAATATTACTTAGGCATAAACTTCTATTTATGTTTCTATATTAAGGCCCTGTGACTTAATTTAAGGTGTTTAGAAGCAACCTAGATCTTCTAGATGTTTTTTGTTTGGTTTAAATGATTTAATTTTTTTACGAATTCGAGCTTTTAGTCATTATCTAAAGTGTATTGATTAGTTTTTTATAGGGTTGGTCAATTGACTTCCTGTTAGTGGTGTTGACAGTAGCGCCACCAACATCCGGCTACTTCAATCTCTAAAGCCGACTAAAGATATACGTGAAGAGGGTGTGTATAACGGGGTATAAAATTATTAAAATACAGATAAAAGTTATAGCTTTTTTCCCGCAAGTGTGTGCAAATAATTTCATAGATAGGAGGAACACTTTTAAAGAGGTATGTTTGGTTTTCGTGTAATATTTTCTTAGATATTTCCGTTTGTTAACCATCTTTACGCCGCCATGATGTGGCGTCGGTGAAGCGGCTTCTTTCCATTTGGCTGTAAACAATATATTTAGAATATCGTATCTATTTCAGAGCCGACCATGTCGTCGGAACAATTCTCATTATGTTGGGACAACTTCCACAAGAATATGAGTTCGGGTATGAACTCATTGTTAGAGAATGAAGACTTAGTGGACGTGACGCTTGCCGTGCAAGGAAAATGTCTCAAGGCCCATAAAATGGTACTTTCTGTGTGTAGTCCTTATTTTAAAGAACTTTTTAAGTCGAATCCGTGTCAACACCCCATAGTATTTATGAAAGACGTTAGTTACGAAGCTTTAAGTGATTTATTACAATTTATGTACCAAGGGGAAGTTCAAGTTAGCCAAGAAAATTTAACTACATTTATTAAGACTGCCGAAGCCTTGCAAATCAAAGGACTCACCGGAGATGGAAATGTAAGTAAATTTTTACTACTAATTATCAATGTTTATTGCGGCATATTTTTCTAGTTTGTTTTGTTCCTCAATCGATATTTGTGCGCAGGTTACCAAATTCATTTCAAGGTCTTTTGCTATATGGATTTTCACATTAATTTAAAATATTTGCATTAATTCATACACCAACTTCAAAATATTTTTATGCATGTATAATATATTTAGAATTTAGAAAATACGTTGTTACGAATATTAAATACGAAAAATTATTTTTTAAAAGAAAATAACATTTTTTATTACTCTTAATTTATAAGATTTTTGTTGAGGGTAGCTTTCTGGCCCCACAAGTGGCGTTACTCGGTTTGGACGATCCCATCAAGTTTTTTTTTGTGATATAATCAATAATAGAATTACGTTTTTCCAATTTTTTTTCTGGTCCTTTCTTGCATATATAATAGGTTTACTACGATAATACCTTTTTGCGATTAACTTCTTCCATTACTTCTATATGGATCAGTATAGTCGCTATTGAGTAATTCGTTATCATGGAATTGTTTGCTTCTTTTGTAATTCTAATTTTTTTAAATTAATTTATTCAGCTAAGAACTTAACTAAGGGGTAGTACTTTTATAAAATTGACTGTTTTCTATTTGAGATGTGTTTGTATTAGTGTATGTGACAAGATTATGTGATAATCTTATCACATAAGACATTATAATCAGACCAAGTGGTATTTATATATTCTGGAGTCCTACATTTTTTCTTCTCAAGATGGTTAAAGTATGATTTTTTGTAATTGTTTTGCAGTGTCTTTTATATCTAGATTTAAACCAATTTGAGCCCTGGTCTCCCTCAATAAACCTGTACATTTGTTTTGGTTTATAACCATTCTCTTCCATGATCAACTATGACAAGAGATTTCTTGCAACATCATCCCCTCAATGCTTTCTCAGTCTCCTAATAAGTCTCTTCCCCCTCATTCTTTATTTTAACCCTTTATTTGGAAGCCTGTTTTCTATCCTAAATACATGACAATGTCCTTGTTATATATTATAATTGTTGATTTGATATCTGTTCTTGGTTATAGGGTAGACTCCCTTGATGAGAGAGGGTAGTACAGCATACTCCCTCAACGAGAACTGAAATGGCAGATCAATTACCTTGTTATAAGTTGATCTCATTATATCAGACAATAATAAAGTCAACTTTGCACTACATGATTTTATCCAGTATTCTAGTCCAGTATTATTCTATCTATCATATTGTCTAAAGGTGTGAAACAGTTTTATGCTTCTTCATTTGCGTTTTGTCTTTGGTTGTCTTTGGTTGTCTTTAGATAAAGTTTCTTACAACATTTTAAGCACTTTCTATATCTTATCTATTAGGACCTTCTTGTGTAGATTTACCGTGATTGTTTTCTTGTCTATTAGGATCTTCTATCCACTTCCACTATCCATCTGATCACAAAAAATGATGTCATCATCAATGACAATGAATTCAGCAAACTCTTCATCATTGTTCAGTTGGGTTAGTTCTTGACCTTGCTGTTGTAACCTCAATCACTCTGCTACAGGATATTCATCTTCTTCGTTTTCTACTTCAGTCTCTGTCCACCCCACAGGACCAAAACATTTTCTGGTGGTTTTTTTTATCTATGTGTGTTCATGAGTTGTTAACTAAAAATTTTCTGTAGTGAACTTCAAGGGACCTTCTGATGCCCTGATCCATCGGTTGCAGAACAGATGTGCAATTTGGGGGTAAAAAAGAAGTTGAATGTTTTTTAAACCATTATCTTTCAAATGGGCTGTACAATTGTCAACAATTAAAAGAATCTTTTGATGTCCCAACTCTCTGTCCCACTTCAAAAGTTCTTTACTAAAAATCTCTGCTGTCATCCACAATTTTTTATTAAATTTATATGTGAAAGGAAGCTGATTCACACCTTTGAAACATCGTGCCGTTTGAGATTTCCCAATGACTACTAACTTCTTTTTTCTGAACCGGACATGTTGGCACCCAAAGTACAGTTACCCTTTCTTTTGATAACTTGCCACCTATAAAATGTTCATTTTTTAATTTGAGGGTCATATCTAGAGCAAGTTTAAAAAAGTTCCAGATCGTCAACATTGAAAACATTCCTGTCTCTGTAAATTTGTCTCATTGTGAGCCATGACTTCAACCAGTTGTCGGTGACTTTTTTGGAAACACTCTTCGCTTTACCGCTAATTTTTCCACACATAATTTCGAGCTTGGCCTTAAAACGGTTCTTTCTCGCCTGTGAAAACTATGTTGCTTTTTCTTGAAGCAGTGGTCCACTTATTGGAACATTCGCAGTCCTGTTTACGGGAAACCATTTGACCATTGCAATATCGAGTTCTTTATTAGTTGCGGCAGTAGTTTTTTTGATTTTTTCGAAAAAGATGAACCTACTTTGAAAGTCTTGTTTATTTCTGAGCATGGTAGATAGAGTGGAACTTCAAATTCCTCTTTCACGACAAACTTGTGCCCTCTTACCGTTCTCAACATATTTAGGGATGTTAATTTTTTCTTCTAAAGTAAATGCTTTTTTTTGAGGAGTCATAGTGTGTAATCTATGCGACTATGTAATCTACAACCGAACAAACGATAAACATCTATGACAAAAACAACTGTGAAGTGAAATTTGTTTCATTTGTCATGTTTTTAAGCCTATTTACATAGTTTATTTGGTGCCAATGGTCAAACCCCTGCACTGACACTTGTGAATAATAAATTGTAAATTTTTGACACCACAATATCGGTCGCTAGATTATAAGCACGGTCGAACCGAAAACGTAAAAAAAATTGTTTTTCGATCTTATTTTCTCTCGTTATATCCAAATTTGCCTCGCTGTAGAGGGTTATAGTTCAATAGAAATTTCATGGGACATATAATGTACCTCGTTATAAGTGAAACCTTGTAATAACCATGTTCGTTATAGAGTGAGTACACTGTATTTGTCTCAGTACCTTCCTTTCAAAGATGTCCATGTGGTGTACTGATTTTTGAGTCATTACCCGTTTCACATCCATAGTTCACTATAGGTCAGACTATGGTCTTGTAGATTGGTATTCTAGTTCTTTGATGTACATCTTTTTAATTTAAATATCAGGCTCATAGCAAAGTATGCTGTATTGGCTAGGATGATTCTTCTGCTCAGGTCTTAATTGTCAATGTTACCCTTTGTGATATTGACTGCTAAATAGATAAAGCTCTTTACTTGTCAATTGTCAGGTAGGGTCATGTTGCTCTCTTATTTATAATAATTTTCATTAAACACTTTGTTGTTTGGTATAAAATAGTTTTAAAACTATATATATTGTAATATTCACTAGTTAAGAATAATGCAAACTACATAATTATCATTCTACATTTAAAGTTGGATGTAATTCAGTTAGTCTCAATTGAAAACAAATGTAATTTATATATTACAAGATGTTTAATTCCTTAAGTAATTAAATAACCATTAAAAAAGATTGGACATGATGAAACAGTTACTGATTTTCTCTGATGTATTTTCTGTGGACGTAATTCTGATCGTCACCATAAACAATTGGAACATAAAGCAAACTAATTGAATCATTTTATCAGATTCAAACAAGATATCTTCATTTTCAGGGCTCAACTGATAATGACGTTGTGGAAGTTCCTGTTGAAAAACGTACACCACATGTAGAAGATTACAAGCCAGTTTCTATACCTAGACCAAAGAAACAACAACCCCCTCCTGCTCCAATATCATCCCCTTCTGTGAAGAGACAAAGACTGAGTGCTTCAACTAGTGATACCCAACCCTTACCTCCCCCTGTTACGAAAGTTGAACCCATAGCCCCTCCTCAACCTGTTCCTATTGCAACACCTGAATCTTCACCTCTACATTTTAAGACGGAACCTTATGAACAGTCAGTCAGCCTTCTGGATGAGCCAGGTAAGCTTCTACATGATTTAATAAGTAATTTACTTAATAATAATATAAAATACAATGGTAACGTTCATACAAATAGAAATAATAAAATAAATAAAATAATCTTTGTTATATAGAGATAGTTATGTTGATTTAACTATGGTTTATAAAAATTAAGAAAAAAGTAAGAAATATATGAGGGGTATAGAAGCAAAATCTATCAAAATTTTCAGGAAACTTGAAAAACTATTACAGAGAACTCCTGTGATATTTTTAGTTTTCTGTTTGATTTACTTGTATTCTTGTATGTTTTATTAGAAGAATACAAAATAAAAAAATATTTCAGCTGCAGTTTCGGTATAAAATTAATTATGGACATGGCAGGATTTGCAACAAAATTTAGCAACTTTCGATTGGAAATTTCAGAAAACTTCCAACAAATTTTACATCCAGTTGTGTCTTCTGGAGAAAATTCTTCACATAACTCATTTGTCAATAGTTGTGGATCACTCTCGTCATTATTTAGAGAAAAATGTATGGCATCTTTATAAAACTTCAAATCGGAATTTTCTTGCCAATCAGTTCCATAATACATTTCTAATAGTTTGGCAACACTATGGGCCTTCTTTTTGTCACTTACTCTGCCAGCTTCAAATTTGTCAGGATCAATTGAATGAATATGTTCTCCTTTCTTACAAATGCTCTTTGGAACACTGATGGAAGTATTATAGTTGACTTCGCCCTGAACTTCAATTGTATTATCATTTTGCTTCAAAATCATAATTGAAATTGAAAGTGCCAAGCTCCTGGTGGTTTAATAACTTCTGATACTGACATTTTGCAATCAAATGCATCCCAGTCTTCAACCAATTTATACATTGGGGCGTTTTGCTCTATTAGAGCTATGTATTTCTCTGAATTCGTTATTATTTCTGTTTTTTTAATTTTGTCTTCAAAAATACCAAAAACTATCTGGTGGCATAAAACTGTGTCCTACAACTGGGAATATTAGTTGGGAATATTAGGAATTAAGCATGCCAATCATTGTTTTGTTTTTATTTTGACCTGGACAGCCATCAAAATTTCTTTAACATCTCTGAAACATTTATGTTTTGATAATCTATGAAAAAATGCTGGTGCTATAACACTTGAGTTTTTTGGCAAATCTAAATTGGTCCATAGATAAGCTGAGACTGTGCCAGAGTTAAGTTTTATATTAGAAGTACCATTTACAATTCAAAAATTGTAAAGATTATATTGGGAAGAGAAGTGAGCTCTCTGATCAGGTAATTTTGGAAGAGCTAAGTTTTTTTGACAATCCATTGAAAAAACTTCTTGCTGCTGTTAGTTTTAAGAATTTTTGTAAAATGCTTTTGCTTTAAGTTTATGTAATTCCTGTAAAACATTAAGTTTGTTTTTTTTGCTCCTCATTTTTTTCTTTCCTTATCTTTTCCTCATATCTTAAGCAAAGAGAGTTTGTAATAGGTGTTCCAAAACTTATATTATAGTGTGTTGCAAAATATGAATGACAATAATGTTCCTTAACCATAAGAGAGCTATCCACTGATGTGACTAAGAGCTTTTCTTATATTAAGATCACATGGCAGATAAGTTTTTTCTTGATTTCTACATTTCTGATCAGACATCTAAAACTTTTTCTAGAACGCGGTCGCCCCCCTCGTTTTTCTGATGGAGTTAATCCCTTAAAACAAAAACCTCTTTACCACACCCTGAATTCTATCTTTTTTCACGCCCAAAATTTGCATAAAGGCTCTTCTGCATACACTAATCCATTCGAATCCACCTTGCTTTGGTAATCTATAATTTATTGATACCTATTTTTGAGAAATTTGGCTGCCCACTTCTCTTCCTGCTCGTCTTCTATGTGGTGTCTTAGCCTCACAACATTTTAATATGAAAACAAAGTTCCGATGGAATTTCATAAAATATTTCGTGAACAAATTGCAGATCCCTCATAGTTAATAAATTGCACTTCAAGGCCTTATTTTCATCAAGACATCTTGGTTTTTCAGGCAAACCTTTGCCAAATATCTAAAAACAAAAAATTGATTAACTCGATGCACTAAAACATTATCTAGCTCTATACGCTTACCTATTTTTCATAGCGACCACCCTTTTCTGTTTATCACGCTGTACAATTCTTTTCCGGCTACATTCTGGAGTCGTTTTTTCTATAGAGTTACCAATATTATCGTTATCTATTACAACAAAACAAAAGGAAATTTACGTTACATAAACCTACTTTGAATAATATCCAAACAACACTAAAAACATTACATGGTTAGAAGCTGCCACATGCCATTTCGCGGGAACGGCTAAGTCACGTGTCAGCCCAAACGTTTCGCTATTAGCAAGGCCGGACTTTGCAGTCTTTGCAACTAAATTTTTTTGGACAAGGCGGGTTTTGCAGCTTAAGTGTATTTTCTTGTTTAAATTACTCCGATTTAAGTTGGAATTTGCACCTAAATTATGTTTGAACTTATGTATATAGATTTCACAAAAATGTGACTTGGCGAGTTTTGCTTCTATACCTCTCATATATATCAAAATACAATTATCCACAATCAAACAATAATAAAATTTAAAATCAATTACAAATTATATAAATATTTCTCAACAGACTAAAATATTTGTCTATCAAACTTTTTAAAACAGGATTTAAATATATTTTCATAAAAGTATTTAAAATATATGGAATTTCATTGAATTTCAAGTCTAGTAAATTCCTTTCAGATTTAAAGTCTGTATTTCTTCCAATTGCAGTAAATACAGGGCAGGGTACCAATATTATGTACAGTGTATCCACAAATGAACTGCCTAAGAGGAGAAACTTTTTCTTTTTAGCGAAAAATGTCTGTCTGGCTAAAAAGTTTTGCTTGTAATTAGTGTTGTATCAATCACGATTGATTCATTTGTATCACTTCAATGTATTGAACGACCATATGAACTAGCACTAAACATTTAGCAGGGATCATATTCTTTAAAATTCAGCTGACCCTTGAATAAGATCAAGCTTTCGCCAATTGCCAAATCTTAAAATGGAGAGGTTTCTTAATTTTTTTAACAATATCTAGCACAGGATGGATTTTATGGAGGTAATCATCTTTATCCAAATTGGTGTTATCTACAAAATGAAGGGCACCTAGTGTCAGTAAAAATTTATTCCGAGAGCAAACTTGATTAAACAATGGGGTAGAAATTATTGGACCAGTAATCTGGCAGGCGTGGTTTCTCAACAATACCCATCAAAATACACAGTGTAAAAAAGAGTACAGTTCCTATGGGATTGAGATCTTGCCATTTAGAATATCTTTACCTTTTGGTTTGCAAAACATGTGCATATGCATATGTCTGTTCGGTGATGCAGTTATATTTTCATCAAAAATATAGTGAAAAAATCTACAGCACCGATATGATGCAGAGATAAATTAGGATTTATACCTGAGTTGTTGCGGTTCATATCAATTGGCACAAAAGTATTATCAAAAACCCATGGGTCTTTTGGATAACTTCTTTTGGATCACTTTCTTGGGGAGTGTTTGAAGATGGGTTTGGATTTTTGCTGGCTGCTGCAATCTCAACAACTGATGTAAAATCTATATCATCTTCTGATTCACTTGAATAATTCACTAGATATTCAGATTCATCTGCTTGAGAAATAGTTTTCATTATCTGACGAATAATATTCACTTTCACTATCTTCAAGGTTTTTTTCTTAGTTCATCCTCCTTCAAAAAGCGTTTTCTTTTTTATGATATTGCAACTAACAAATGCCAACAATCGAAAAACAATTCCACTACTTCCATAAAACGAATATAAACAAACTGCCAACAAAGGAAAAACGATTCAAGCACTGCAATAGAAAGAATTTGGCACTGAGTGGCTGTCTCAATTGCCAAATGCAAAATTTTTCGGGCGCCGTATATGAGCAACGCATAACCGATACTTGGCCTACAGCGAAAGGGTTAACAGTTATTAGGTAGTTAAAATCATAAAATACTGCAAAATTAAAATTTGCACAATGACAATAAATGTTTGGATGCAGCACATATTTTCATATAAATTTATAAGTATTTCTGAGTTGTACTAAGAACCTAAAAACAAAAACATTATCAATTCAAGCTTCTTTAATATTTCTTCTAGAATCTAAGCTAAGCCCTACTCCCACTAACATAAACATATGAAGGGCAATGAAGGTGAATACACTTATATGAAATACAGTAAGCAATACTACCGGTTTTCAGTTGATTCAGCTTAATCAATCTTATTTGTTTTAAATGGCAACAAAAAGTATCTAAACAAACAAACAATTGAAATGATTCGATCGTTTTCAGAGTAGGTTACTGATTGATTCTGTCCTTGTAAAATGAAGGATTGACACAACACTATTAGAGATTTCTTCTAATTTATTGTTTATAACAATTTCACTCATAATAGATCATACAGACTTATTGAAGTTGTGTTATATGTTGATTTTTTTAAGTCATTTTATAAACATTCCTTAGAATAGGATTGCATATAGAAATGTTTTTAAATATACAGGTGATCCAATGTAAAATGAAATAAATTTAAATGAAATAAAATCAAAATGTAAAATCCTATTGTATCATGATGTTAAATTACCACAAGGTGCCATTGATATTTTCTTATAGCATCCACTATTACCAACAGAAACTTTATCTTTACATTTTTAACTTACTACTCTGGGTAATATTTTTAATGCTAACCAACTTTTTATTATTGGGACATGATGAATCAGATTCTGACATTCCTTCATTGGAAAATGATGTCTTTCTGTGGACGTAATTCTGATCCCAAACATAAAGTATTATCTGTTTAATGTTACATCATACATGCTTTGTAATTATAAAATGTGGAAAAAGTACACAGAAATTTTCAAGTATTTTGTATTGTGCTGTATGTACATGTATGATAGACATCTGGCAAACATAATAGATGAAGATGCTGAGTTTTTCAATATAACAAAAAGTTTATCTTATGTGTATTAAGTTACTAGTAAATGTTTGTATTAAGGTACTAGTAAATACTGAGAATTAAAAAAAATAGTTCCTATAAACTAAAGGGCGTCTCAATGACTCAAAAAAAGGTATCCGCTGGCAGATATTACTTCTCAGGATTGGATCTGAAACAAAAATTCCAATGGGATCGCTTAAAGGAAGCGCCATTACAAGACAATTTTCTTAAAAAAAATTAAATTAATTTTGATATACAAAAATTGACAAAAAAAATTGCTTTCAAATCAACTTTTTCTTCTAATGCTCGCCATTTTGTTTTCTGATTTTAAAAGTTGATTTAATGAAAATAAAAACCATTAAAAGTGGTTGATGGTCTCGCAAGGACGCTTTCTTTAAGCCACCCCATTGTAATTTTTTGTTTAAGATGTACCAATTCCGAGAATTGTCTGCCAGTGGACACTTTTTTTGTATTCTTAACTTCGACATCCTCTAAAAAACGATCTATTCATGGGAACTAAAATCAAACAAATTTTTTTGTTTAACTGAAGACAACAACTAAATTTTAACTAAAAAAAATCATTTGAATCTAATGAAGAAGCTGAGAGTTTTTTTTTTTTGAAAATATTCATTTTTTTAACCTTCTAATCTATACTAGTATCTTACGATAATATTTTTGTAAGGTGTAGAATCAGTTGTCTACATCATTTGATTTCTATTATATTTCATACATCAATAACATTACATTCTACTAAATTTACAATCTACTAAAACATGGTTTTACTTGTTACAGGTGATGACACTTTTAACGAAGATACATTGGATGAGACTGTAGGCGACGATAACGAAGATTACTCTATGATGGAAAGTGGTAGTGGAGAAGAACCACAGGCAGGAACTAGTACTGATGGAGCAGGCGAAGGACAAGGTAGGTGGTTTTGTTTTTTTCCAAATATTTCTTTGAAAGTGTAACTAAGGTTTTTTTTGGGGCAAGTCATTTTTTAAGGATTACAAAAAACAAACCACCATTATTCTTTTAAAGTTAGATAGGTATAGCCAAATTACTAATTTTTAAGAGATCTGTAATCCTTGGAATTATGATTTTTATAAACCTTTTATTCATTCAAATAAATATATATTAAATTTTTAATAGCGCTCATATATTTCTAGGAATGAAAGTTTTTGTTTTATATTTGGTAACCAATGAGTAAATTTGAAGTTTATGTACCAGCTCTGCATTTTAATTGTATTTTTCTTCAGTGTTTGGGGTATATACTTAAAGTACTCTTACAATACTGAATTATTATTATTTGTTTTATATTTTTATTATTTTGAAGACTTGTTCCAAAAATATATTGACTAATACAGACTTATTAACGATTGCATAAGATTTTTTCAATTTCTATTATCAATAAAATAAATTACAAAAAGAAAGTGTTAACAACACAAAATGTGCCAATTTTCATTTTATGACTTAAATGAAGTAATTCAAATAATAAACAGGTGCCAATAATATTTTGATCCAAATAGTTGCTTATATATGTAGATGCATTTCTCTAAGATTTAATTTCTATCAGAAAAATTAAATATTAAAATTTTCATTTTTTTTTATTTTTCAATCATCGTAAAATTTACTTAGTTACACTTTCAAGAAATATATATGAAAAAACTTGAATACTATTATAAATTAATATTGAATTAGAATTCATTTGCTCTGATTCAAGTTTTTTCATATGCTTTTTTTGTGTTTGGTATTTTGAGATTTTGTGTTCATATTTTTTCATATTTTTATTGCTTTGTAATTTGTTTATTTGTTGTTTACAACAATTGTTGTCAACATACCTTTTTATATTTACACAAAATTGATTTCAGTTTTGTGTTTAATGAAATTTTGATTTTGTCAATTAACTTTGATTTTAACAGTCACTAACTTCTTTTAGTTTGTGATTTTTTTACTTTGGTTATTTATATTTTATAAATAACCAATCATATGTTTGAAAATAATCACTAACTTTTTTTAGTTTGTGACTTTACTAGAATTGATTATTTATTTTTTTAAATAATCCTGTTATTTTGAAAATTGATTATTTATGTTTTTAAATAATCCTGTTATCTCTGAAGCTGCCTGTGAATAATTATCCTGGCGATATTTGTTCCCATGGATAAATCAGAAATCTCTTATTATATGGGTGATCAGTCTGCTTAATGTTTATATTTATGAATATTAAGACAAATAAAAAAAACTTAATAATTACCAAAAAGATCATATTAATCTTTTTGGCATTTTATTCAGTTTACAGTGCTCACTTTTGATTAAAACATTAATCAAAATCATATTAGTGATACTGTTCTAAAGTTTCTAAAATGAGATTTTAGAAAGTTGATTTTAAAAAGTTTTAACAAACCAGTTTGTTTATGCATTCAAATCTGTTTTATTTTATGGAGTGTTTCATAAAATAATCTTTCTCAACATGAGCTCTAGATAATTTCCATGAAGTTTAAATACAATCCAGCTTACTGAAAGTAATATATCAATTGAAATATTACCCTACTGTAAGCAGTGGCAAGTGGATGAAGTTTGTGAGGAAGTTTGAAATAGCGTTTGGGTTATTAGATCATATAATGGGGGATACATTTTTATAAATAGATCTTGCTGGATTTTTATTTTAAAAAATATATTTGAAAGTGACCTTTTTCACTTTTAAATACTATTTACATCAAGAGAATCTGCTTAATTACTTCTTAAGTATATTTTCTTGAAATTATTAAAATCTAGACAAGAATATTACTACCATTAGTAACACAGTACATGTTAATCAATACTTTTGTGTTTGTAATACTCAAGTTTTGATCTCAGTGTTGATTTTTCATTTTATTCAATAGAAAATGCAGAAGAAAGTGTTTCAAGACCATCTAGACGTGTTGGTGTTAAAAATGCAATAGTTATTGATGGTTTCACATACCATCAAAATACAACAAAAAATTCTAAGACTAGGTAAGACTTCAAATTGGTTTGTTACTTACAATCCTTTTTAAATTAACTGAAAAGCTTTAATAGAAACAAGATGTTTGGTGTCTTTCAATACTGACCAACTACTATTGGTTTTTCAATCAATTTTTTTTATGCAGTTAATCAGTTTTACCAGCATCAACAAAGGAATTGAAAAATGATAAATTTTTATGGAACATTTGACACTTGACTGTAAAAGATGCAATGTTACATACACTTTTAATATTTTCTGATTACTGTGTTATCTTAGGAAATGTTACAAAATTAAGATTCCATAAATAAAAAGCTTTTGAATCACTAAAATGCAGACAGTTGTTTGTATTTTAGTTTAATATCATTGAAACTACAAACCACTAAATATAAATGTTACATTTATATAGTTATCCACTTTTTGTTTGTTTGGTTTAAGGATATCCATATGTCCTCTAGACAACTTGTTGTTTTGATCTATTAAGTCATATACTTTAAGTGATTTAATATACTAAAATGACTATTTGTTGCGACATAAACCAAACAAATTGTTTTAATATAAATGTAGCATCACCATTTCATGGTTTCTTTGGTTGCAGATGGTTATGATTGTTTGAAAGCTGTTTATTTGGGGATTTAAAACTAAACTAAATCTTCGCATCTTTTAAAATTCAAATTAATTACAATTTAAAATAAAAGTTACATAAAAGTAAAAGATAATAAATAATCCCAGATTGTTACTAGTTAAATAATATTAGAAAGCTGGTTTTCTGTCTTGTGTACAATTTAAGATTTAAAAATGATAGTCTGTAATGTTTTTTTTTAAAGATGTTTCTTAGGATTATTGAACACTTCACTGGCCCAATAGGAGTGTACCACATCCAACCCTATTTTAATTTTAAAAGCAGCATCTATCTTTAAATCACATTTGATTCATAGACACATACATTTAAGTTCTGTGAATCATATATGGTTTCATTGGGCTGTGAAGTTCTTAATATATTAAGTAAAAGACTACAACTATTCATAATACTCCATTAAGAAAACTTTATATGAGATAGAAAATACGATCAGAGACTTTGTAAGAATTAAATATTTAAAAAAATTCTTTATAACAAAGTTAGCAAAAAACATTTAGTGGAATTCTTCATAGCACAGTATTGAAAGTCTGAAATAACTCTATGATTAACTTTTTTACATTCAGATTGGTAAACAATTTGGAAGAGTACATGTTTTAATTGTATTTTGACAACATTTTCTAATCTGGAAATGGATTAGTTAATAATAAAGTTTTTTCCTTCAGGCTGTAGTCAATTCCCAATTAATGACAATTTTAAAATTAAAAAAGAACTTCCAATTAAATCAGAGATACCATTAACATCTTAAACAAAAGTCAATTGTCTTAATTTTATATAACGATTGAAATTACGTATGGCTTTACAGATATTTAGTTTGTGCAGAATACAAACGATTAGTATGTAAAGCCAGAGCAGTGATACCAGTAGGTGGTTCTTCTCGGGAGTTTGTTTTACGCAAAGAACACAATCATCCACCACTAATAGGAGAGTCTTTAAAGGGGGACTTTATCAAACAGCTAAAAAGAGCTGTCGTAAATGATCCTTTAAAGACTCCAAGAGATATTTACGAAGATCTGGCAGAAGTGTAAGTATATATTAACATTAGTGTGAACAAAAATGTGCAAATGTTTTAATCGTAATTGTTTTATATATGATTTTTACACTTTCAAAGGTTCTATATGACCCATATATTCGTGAGAATGTTTGTATTGACTGTGAGTGATAATGAGCTGAGAATAATGAGCAAATTTATATGATTGCTGTTTGTTGTGTATGTATTTGTGGTATTTGTGTGTTAAAAGATATGTGGTTAGTGGTTTATATGGATCATATAGGTACTTGTAATAAATACAAAGATATGTTACGATTTTCACATTCAGTACAAAACGAATCTTCATGTTTGTAAGGGTATAACCTGTTCAGATAGAATTAAACAAGGTAATGTTTTGGTACAGTATGAAACTTATTGACTTGCTTTCAATAGGCTAACAACAACCTTTGAATATTTTTTATGTGGATAGTGGAGTTGGTTTTTTAGTTTATTCTTATTTGGTAGATAAAATCCTGTTAGAGAAATAAAAAGTCTGCGTATCTACATACATACAAAATGATTGCTCAGTTTTTGTACAAAAAATTATTTATCTATTGTTTTTATTTTGTGTAATAGTTTCTCTGTAAGTCAAAATTTGAATTTGTATAGAAAAAAGCATGGTACTGTATTTGTGATAAAGTTTTTGGACTTGCCAAGTGCATAATAAAATCAATACACTGATAGGTAACTTCTAATTTCAAACAAAAATCTTAACCGACTTTAATCTGACCAATTTTTAAAAATCATAAGAAAAATACTGTAAAATTCAAAAAGAAGTTGATGTAGGAATAGATTTTGGCAAATTTTTCTCACATTTTATATTTGTTTAAATGAAATTATTTAATAGAGCCCAAAATAGAGTTATTCCCTTGAATGAAAAAGATATATTCTGATATTTTTTTGATACTTTTTGTACAAAATAAAAAGGCCATCATATGCCGTTTATTAAATTATTGACAAAGTAAAAAAATCTACAAATCAGTGGACCAATAAATCGTACTATTTTACAATTTTTGCATTGCCAATTAATGAGACTTCTATAAAAATTAAATCTATTAAATTATTACAGTTAACACAAACATTGATTTTTTTCTAAACTGAAGTTCAAAATATTTTTATACTAGATGCTATAATTTGTTACCACATTAGAAGTCATTCAAAAATATTTTGAAGCATAATAGAACACTCTGTTATCTACATATATTTTAATCATATGAAATTTGTTTCAAAGAGAAGCAAGTTCTATCTAAAATCTCTACATGGTTTTAAAACAAAGTATTAAAGAGGTTCTCAAACTGTTTCCTTTTCGCATATTTAGTTAAATATTTTATGTATGTGGAATTAAGTCGCTATTGATTGTAATAAAAATTACATTTTTGTTTGTTTTTGACGTTTAGATATCGAATTAAATTATTACAACCTGTAGATGTTCATACTTGCCGGTTTGTAGCCAATGTGACATTTGACCTACTTGGCCTCGATCTTGTAGATAAATAGTCATTTTAGGTGAAATGTTAAGGGTGATTTAAAATCACAACTTGTGATTAATCGGATGGTACAACATCACTCTCAGAATCTCAAAACAAAAACATGGGTATTCGCCTACAAAATAGAGGTCAAGTAAGTTTACTGTCAAATTGGCTGCTACAAAGCACAATAATAAACACCTACAGCTTGAAATCAGTTCTTAAATTATAATAAAATGTAATTTTTATTATAAACAGTTGTGATTTAAACCCGTATAAATACAATATTAAACAAAATACTGTTTTTCCACTTGTTAAATAAAGTAGAACTTTTAAAAGAGACTTTTTCTCTAAAACAATGATAATTTATATGATTGCAATTTATGTAGACACACATGTATAATCAGATTTCGCAAGTTTATCCAATTTTATAAATGGAAACCCCACCAAATATACAAATAGGTATCCTGAAGCATCCACCCTATGCCCATTTAACAAGATCCATTCATCGATCCGGAGATGGCGTCGGTTAGCAAACACGGACAATTGGAAGATTGATACTCCACACCATTCCTGATGATCGAAGGTTTATAGATAATCTTTTCATTAAATATATTTATTAGATGTTGTTTTTAATTTCACAATCCCTTACTATTTGACAGGAAGGTCAGAGCTATTTGAAAATTTTTCGTCAAAATTCGGCAATTACTTTCCATAGAGTAGTTTTCATCACCATTTTTGTATAAAATTGAAAAATTTGATAAAACTTTAACGAATTTGATTTGATAAAACGAACTTTAAAACTATTTCCGAGTTTTGATGCAAAAATAAAAAAACTAGTTGATGATAAGCTCGAAATAAAATGAGTGAGGTAGTAAAAGCAATTTATTTTTATCAGATTATGTGAAAGAGACGAGGATTATACCACGCAAAAGAAGAGTAACTTCAAGAACGAGATTTATCTATCAAGGATTTGTTTATCATAATAATGTCATATCAGGCACTCCACCTTTACGGTAAATATGTTTTTGGGCAAATAAATTGGTTGTACCTAAAAATGTTTATTGTAGTACTTAGGATACAATAACATCTTTTTGATTTGTTCATTAAGGCCATTCATTTTTGTTTTATTGTAGCGTATTATCTGCTGCAGTGCATCGAACATTCTCTTAAAGACATGAGTTATGCATGCGACAAGGTCCAAGTCACTTGCATAGATCGATAGTTTTATTAAATATTGTACCTCTGATATTCAATTCTGCATTTCAAAGATTTATTTAGCGGGGTATTAAATAGACAGTACGCCAGCGCATTCGCCCTGTCTGAGTCATTTCTTGGTGTTGTTTTCCAAACTGATTCTAAGGACCTGCTTAGGTTGCAAACTATCTCAGCCGATAGTTTGGTCGGCTTCTTAATCAATATAGAGAGGTATGCATACGCGAACATTACACCGATTCAGTATCGGCCGATAAAAAAGGTTGCTTGCTAGGTGTCCCGATTGCCTTCAAACTAATCTATCGGCTGACTCATTAATCAGTGTTTGCCAACTACGACTTATCGGTAGATAATTCAGTTCTTTCCTAGCTTTGGGGTCCGACTGGCATAATATTTTTTGAATACTTCACCAAATTATCTGCCGATAAAATTTCTGCAGTTTGCGGGCCCCTTACTTTATATATCTTCTTTACCATGCGCTGTGCAGCAAGTAGGTGTTCATGCTGGTTGTCGAATGTACAGTGATCCTTTTTCCGCTTTTATTATACTAACATCAGGTGCTTTTGCCCAGGTCCTCTTCGACCTTCAACTTATTTAGGTTTTATTTGTTGTTTCGTAGAATGTGGCACATTATGAAATCTTTCACTGCTTAATGACATCTAACGATTCTCTTTTGGCATTAACTCTTCTTGGGACCTCTACATTTGTTACATGGACCACTCATGAAATTCTATGTATCCTTTTGAGATATTATATTTCAAAAGTCCACACGATTCAGAGGTCTCATTTTTAAATAAGCAGGTCTCACTTCCGTACATCAAGATAAGCCATATGTAGTATTTCAAGACTCGGATTCTTAGGGTTAAAGGAACTATTATTTTCAGTCCCAGGTCAATCGGTCCTACTTGTTGTTTAATGTAGCTCCGAGGTATTTAAATCTTTCAACCCGTTCAGTAGTTCTATTGTTTCTATTTAACTGAGCATCTATATAGGGTTGTCTTCTGATTATCATGTATTTTGATTTTGCTATCTTGATGTTTCATATTCCCACTCCGTGTGTGATATTCACTAAATCTTAAAGCTCCGTTATATTATTTACTTCGGCCGTATCGTCAGCATATCTTGGTTATTAATCGAAAGACCATTAATTTTGATGTCTTTTTCGTTCTCCTGCGCAAGCTGAAATATCTTTTCTACATACTTGTTGGAACAATAATGAGGAGAGAATACAACTCTACTTGTTTTGCTATCTCTGTTTCTTCTATATATAGGCCATTGGCTTAGTCGAAAAAACAGCACCTCGCCAACCTAACTCTTAGCTCCAATTTTAAATCCCTTGTACATATTCTTTTGATTTGTTGAAATTTGCTCTAGCCTTTTCTATTCTGATTTTAATCTCCTGAATAATCATTTGTGGAGTTAATCATTGTTCCCAGATATGCATATTTGTCCACTTGTTCGACGTTGGCTCAGTTTATTAGAAGATTCTAGTTATTTCTTTGAGTTTTAGATATTCTCATAAATTTCGTCTTCTTGACATTCATTGTTAAACCATACTCTTTTCCACACTCCGCTATTCTGGTCACCAGTCTCGAAGATCTTCAATATTTTCAGCTAAGATCTTAGTGTCGTCCGCATATATAATGTTGTTAATGTGAACTCCATTTACCTTTATTCCAGCTGTTTCTTTTTCTGACAGCTGTTCGTTAACACGTACTTTTGCTCGCTGTTTATAGTATAAATTTGATATGATCCTGAAGCCGTTGTAGTCAATCTTCTTTGATTTCATGATATTCATTAATCGTTTATGTCGTACTTTATCGAATGCTTTATTATAGTCAGTAAAACATACATATATATCCTGATTGACTTTCAGGCATCTTTGTATCAGTATATGAAATGAAAAAAGAGCTTCAGTGGCTCCTAGGCTTTTGCGAAAACCAAATTGTGTATCATTAACGTCTATGTCCACTGGTTTTTTTAATGCGTATTCTTATTTCTTTTTAACTCCATTCCATACGCTTCTTTTTATCTCGCGTGCAATAAAATTTGTGCTGTCATCATTTTCAAATGTACTATAAACAGTAAACCCTTGAAATGTCCCACCCTTCTCTTGAGGGTGTTCTCATTATTAGCCATTATATTGTCTTCCTTGTCCGTACGCAGATTTAATTCAGTCTAAATTTTGTGCACTATTAATCTTCTATATGTAGTACAGTTATTACTTTTAATTTTTTGGGTACAATCAGTTTGGTCGACAATTATAGTTTTAAAAACAAAAAAATGTAGTTACCTAGGGTGCGCAGAACACAAAAAAGCCGGCTGTCGTGGTAGAGCTACAATACCTGTAGGTGGTTGGATAAATGAACTTAAAATGACAAGACCACATAATCATCCGCCAGATATAAATGCAGAAGAGAAGGAAGCATTTCTTAAAGAACTAAAATCTGCCGTGAGGTCAGAATCTATGGCGAATGCTACACTGAAGAAAGTCTATGAGACGGTTGCTACAGCGTAAGTATGAGAACTGATATTTTTTTTTGCAACGATGTGAGGCACTAGTTATTCTTTTGTTGTGAGTCCAGTATATTTTGATGCTTATATTTTAGTTTGAAAATGTTTAAGTAAGGCTTTAATACCCTCTTAAAGCAAACAAAATTTCTAAAGAATTTGTCACAACCACCTAGGTGTGAAGAGAAGTTTTTGTTTTGAAATTTCTGAGAGCAATGTAATAAAAATAATAAAATTGTAGAAGTATTCGATACCGTAGGTTCGACAGTAATATATTTTTTTATAAAACAAGAGAATTTGGTCCCATAAGGACTCATCACGGTCTTTTCTCCAAGCTTCTATCTACAATGTCTTCGTTGCAAATGTTTCACGCTCATTACCTTCCTGATGGTAGTTTGTTTCGCATCGTTTCAAGCGTTCTTCTCTTGACTGCCATCCAATTTTACGCTGCTTTTAGAAGTCACGATGACATATATTTACATGTGAATATCATTTTAAGTATTGTTCCATATTTTACACGATTGTCTTTTAGGCACCAATGATTTCTTTTATTTTTTTCTGTCTCTTAATGTTACGCTTGATCTCCGCCATACACCCATTTTCATAGCTGTCGATCGTTTTTTGTCATATTCTGACCACCTCGCCAAAAATAGATCTGTTGTCTCTACACTTCATTGAGGTAGTTTGATTTAATCACATTTCATCAATTTGTTGCTGAGTCTTGTACTTTGGCATATATTTAACCGTCATTTTGTTTTCTGTATTATCTTGCCAGTATTAGCTGGTCCTGATTGTATATAACTCTGTGTTAACCGATGATGTAACCATTACGCGGCTTTTTCCAATTTATTAATTCATATTCGATATCTGCTGTGGACCAAAAATCTGGAAACGAAAAATTAATTTCCTTAATTTGAAAATTGATGTTGGTAATTTTGCCAGATTTACCATTTTTCTTATATCATTAGTCATTTTGGTTTTTGAAATACAACATCGTGTATATGGTACCTTTATCTAAATCTCCACTTCAATACTAGTTCAACCGTATCCAGTCCTTGTGGAAACATCTTAAAAGATAATACAATAGTCTAGAAATCTATGTTAGAATGCGTCTATTACATTTTTTTAATGTCCAATTTATCCAAATTAATTTCTCTAGAAATTAATTTGAATGCATTGATAATTCTTGGATAATTCTTAGCTTTGCAACTGTCGCTGGTTTAATTTTATGAATTCCACTTTTGAAGTATCTCTAATAAAAATAATCTAGCGATTCAAATCGGGTGAACGAGGAGGCCATTTAATGAGCCAAACTAATCTATCAATCCATCATCTGGGAAATTGATCTATTATATAAACGTGGAACTTATGTTAGTACATTTTAAATGTTTACACATGACCGAAAAAATAGACATGAAGCAACTTCGACATTCGAAAATAGGCTTGTTAGGATGGAGATCTAATTTTTTATTTATGATTTATTAAATTTGATAAACATAATACAGCAGTAACTAAGTCAAAAGGCATTGGTGCTAATGCCTTTTGCAATATCAGTAAATTGAGCCGAAGGTCATCACTCCAGAATTTTATCAGATACAAAAAAGTCAAAAGTTCAGTTAAATATAAAACCAATAGAGGAAAGTGATCCTTAACACAAGAAAAAAAGTAAAATTTTATTTTAAATTTACATAATTTATGTAAACTTTCATGCTTTAAACATTGCCACTATAAGTAGCTTCCGAAACATCCCTAAGCAATTGTCAATAGTTGTCTACAAGGATAATCATTTTATTTTTTTTGTTGTTACTGTTTTTCCAAATCTAATATCTCCTGATAAAACCTTTCACCCTGTTCATCAATGATCTCTACTAAATTTGTAGGTACAAAATCTCAATGGC